CTAGGGTAAAGTTTAAGGTTTTTGGCGTTAGGGTTAAAATCACTGTCCAAAACTTTTGTAGGAACTCTTTTCCAACCTTTTGGAGTTAGTTTGACCAAAAAAAAAGAAAAATGAAAAAAAAATATTTGGGGTGTTCAGGCTTCCTAAAAGTAATACCCGGGTATTAGGTTATGGGGCTATGGTAAGGTTTAACGTTTTGGCGTTAGGTTTAAAATCACTGTCCAAAACCTTTGTAGGAACTCTTTTCCAAACTTTTGGAGTTAGTTAGACCAAAAAAAAATGAAAAATTAAAAAACAATATTTGGGGTTTTCGGGGTTCCTAAAAGTAATACCCGGGTATTAGGTTATGGGGCTAGGGTAAGGTTTAAGGTTTTTGGCGTTAGGGTTGAAATCACTGTCCAAAACCTTTGTAGGAACTCTTTTCCAACCTTTTGGAGTTGGTTACACCAAAAAAAAATGTAAAATGAAAAAAAAAATATTTGGGGTGTTCAGGCTTCCTGAATGTAATACCCGGGTATTAGATTTTAAGGCTAGGGTAAGGTTTAAGTTTTTTGGCGTTAGGGTTAAAATCACTGTCCAAAACCTTTGTAGGAACACTTTTCCAACCTTTTGGAGTTGGTTAGACCAAAAAAAAAAGAAAAATAAAAAAAAAATATTTGGGGTGTTCAGGCTTCCTAAAAGTAATATCCAGGTATTAGGTTATGGGGCTATGGTAAGGTTTAAGGTTTTTGGCGTTAGGGTTAAAATCACTGTCATAAACCTTTGTAGGAACTCTTTTCCAACCTTTTGGAGTTAGTTAGACCAAAAAAAATGAAAAAAGAAAAAAATATTATTGGGGGTTTTCGGGCTCCCTGAAAGTAATACCCGGGGATTCGGTTTTGGGACTAGGGAAAGGTTTAAGGTTTTTGGCGTTAGGGTTAAAATCACTGTCCAAAACCTTTGTAGGAACTCTTTTCCAACGTTTTGGAGTTAGTTAAACCAAAAAAAAAATGTAAAATGAAAAAAAAAAAATATTTGGGGTTTACGGGCTTCCTGAATGTAATACCCGGGTATTAGATTTTAAGGTTAGGGTAAGGTTTAAGTTTTTTGGCGTTAGGGTTAAAATCACTGTCCAAAACCTTTGTAGGAACTCTTTTCCAACCTTTTGGAGTTGGTTACACCAACAAAAATGTAAAATGAAAAAAAAATATTTGGGGTGTTCGGGCTTCCTGAAGGTAATACCCGGGAATTAGGTTATGGGGCTATGGTAAGTTTTAAGGTTTTTGGCGTTAGGGTTAAAATCACTGTCCAAAACCTTTGTAGGAACTCTTTTCCAACCTTTTGGAGTTGGTTACACCAACAAAAATGTAAAATGAAGAAAAAAATATTTTCGGTGTTCGGGCTTCCTGAAGGTAATACCCGGGTATTAGATTTTAAGGCTAGGGTAAGGTTTAAGGTTTTTGGCGTTAGGGTTAAAATCACTGTCCAAAACCTTTGTAGGAACTCTTTTCCAACCTTTTGGAGTTAGTTAGACCAAAAAAAATGAAAAAAGAAAAAAAAATTATTGGGGGTTTTCGGGCTCCCTGAAAGTAATACCCGGGTATTAGGTTTTGGGACTAGGGAAAGGTTTAAGGTTTTTGGCGTTAGGGTTAAAATCACTGTCCAAATCCTTTGTAGGAACTCTTTTCCAACCTTTTGGAGTTAGTTAGACAAAAAAAAAAGAATAATGAAAAAACAATATTTGGGGTGATCAGGCTTCCTTATTGTAATACCCGGGTATTAGATTTTAATGCCAGGGTTAGGTTTAAGTTTTTTGGCGTTAGGGTTAAAATCACTGTCCAAAACCTTTGTAGGAACTCTTTTCCAACCTTTTGGAGTTAGTTAGACCAAAAAAAAAAAGAAAAATGAAAAAAAAATATTTGGGGTGTTCAGGCTTCCTAAAAGTAATACCCGGGTATTAGGTTATGGGGCTAGGGTAAGGTTTAAGGTTTTTGGCGTTAGGGTTTAAATCACTGTCCAAAACCTTTGTAGGAACTCTTTTCCAACCTTTTGGATTTAGTTAGACCAAAAAAAAAGAAAAATGAAAAAAAAAATATTTGGGGTGTTCAGGCTTCCTAAAAGTAATATCCGGGTATTAGGTTATGGGGCTATGGGAAGGTTTAAGGTTTTTGGCGTTAGGGTTAAAATCACTGTCCAAAACCTTTGTAGGAACTCTTTTCCAACGTTTTGGAGTTAGTTAAACCAAAAAAAAAATGAAAAATGAAAAAAAAAATATTTGGGGTTTACGGGCTTCCTGAATGTAATACCCGGGTATTAGATTTTAAGGCCAGGGTAAGGTTTAAGTTTTTTGGCGTTAGGGTTAAAATCACTGTCCAAAACCTTTGTAGGAACACTTTTCCAACCTTTTGGAGTTGGTTAGACCAAAAAAAAAAGAAAAATGAAAAAAAAATATTTGGGGTGTTCAGGCTTCCTAAAAGTAATACCCAGGTATTAGGTTATGGGGCTATGGTAAGGTTTAAGTTTTTTGGCGTTAGGGTTAAAATCACTGTCCAAAACCTTTGTAGGAACTCTTTTCCAACCTTTTGGAGTTAGTTAGACCAAAAAAAAATTAAAAAATTAAAAAAAAACAATATTTGGGGTTTTCGGGGTTCCTGAATGTAATACCCGGGTATTAGATTTTGAGGCTAGGGTAAGGTTTAAGTTTTTTGGCGTTAGGGTTAAAATCACTGTCCAAAACCTTTGTAGGAACTCTTTTCCAACCTTTTGGAGTTGGTTACACCAACAAAAATGTAAAATGAAGAAAAAAATATTTGGGGTGTTCAGGCTTCCTGAAGGTAATACCCGGGTATTAGGTTTTGGGACTAGGGAAAGGTTTAAGGTTTTTGGCGTTAGGGTTAAAATCACTGTCCAAAACCTTTGTAGGAACTCTTTTCCAACCTTTTGGAGTTGGTTACACCAACAAAAATGTAAAATGAAGAAATAAATATTTGGGGTGTTCAGGCTTCCTGAAGGTAATACCCGGGTATTAGGTTTTGGGACTAGGGAAAGGTTTAAGGTTTTTGGCGTTAGGGTTAAAATCACTGTCCAAAACCTTTGTAGGAACTCTTTTCCAACCTTTTGGAGTTAGTTAGACCAAAAAAAAAGAAAAATGAAAAAAAAATATTTGGGGTGTTCAGGCTTCCTAAAAGTAATACCCAGGTATTAGGTTATGGGGCTATGGTAAGGTTTAAGTTTTTTGGCGTTAGGGTTAAAATCACTGTCCAAAACCTTTGTAGGAACTCTTTTCCAACCTTTTGGAGTTAGTTAGACCAAAAAAAAATGAAAAATGAAAAAACAATATTTGGGGTGTTCAGGCTTCCTGAAGGTAATACCCGGGTATTAGATTTTAAGGCCAGGGTAAGGTTTAAGTTTTTTGGCGTTAGGGTTAAAATCACTGTCCAAAACCTTTGTAGGAACTCTTTTCCAACCTTTTGGAGTTAGTTAGACCAAAAAAAAATGAAAAATGAAAAAAAAAATATTTGGGGTTTTCGGGCTTCCTGAATGTAATACCCGGGTATTAGATTTTAAGGCCAGGGTAAGGTTTAAGTTTTTTGGCGTTAGGGTTAAAATCACTGTCCAAAACCTTTGTAGGAACTCTTTTCCAACCTTTTGGAGTTAGTTAGACCAAAAAAAAAAGAAAAATGAAAAAAAAATATTTGGGGTGTTCAGGCTTCCTAAAAGTAATACCCAGGTATTAGGTTATGGGGCTATGGTAAGGTTTAAGGTTTTTGGCGTTAGGGTTAAAATCACTGTCCAAAACCTTTGTAGGAACTCTTTTCCAACCTTTTGGAGTTAGTTAGACCAAAAAAAAAAAGAAAAATGAAAAAAAAAATATTTGGGGTGTTCAGGCTTCCTAAAAGTAATAGCTGGGTATTAGGTTATGGGGCTATGGTAAGGTTTAAGTTTTTTGGCGTTAGGGTTAAAATCACTGTCCAAAACCTTTGTAGGAACTCTTTTCCAACCTTTTGGAGTTGGTTACACCAAAAAAAATGTAAAATGAAAAAAAAATATTTGGGGTGTTCAGGCTTCCTAAAAGTAATACCCAGGTATTAGGTTATGGGGCTATGGTAAGGTTTAAGTTTTTTGGCGTTAGGGTTAAAATCACTGTCCAAAACCTTTGTAGGAACTCTTTTCCAACCTTTTGGAGTTAGTTAGACCAAAAAAAAATGAAAAATGAAAAAACAATATTTGGGGTTTTCGGGGTTCCTGAATGTAATACCCGGGTATTAGATTTTGAGGCTAGGGTAAGGTTTAAGTTTTTTGGCATTAGGGTTAAAATCACTGTCCAAAACCTTTGTAGGAACTCTTTTCCAACCTTTTGGAGTTGGTTACACCAACAAAAATGTAAAATGAAGAAAAAAATATTTGGGGTGTTCAGGCTTCCTGAAGGTAATACCCGGGTATTAGGTTTTGGGACTAGGGAAAGGTTTAAGGTTTTTGGCGTTAGGGTTAAAATCACTGTCCAAAACCTTTGTAGGAACTCTTTTCCAACCTTTTGGAGTTAGTTAGACCAAAAAAAAATGAAAAATGAAAAAAAAATATTTGGGGTTTTCGGGGTTCCTGAATGTAATACCCGGGTATTAGATTTTAAGGCCAGGGTAAGGTTTAAGTTTTTTGGCGTTAGGGTTAAAATCACTGTCCAAAACCTTTGTAGGAACTCTTTTTTCAACCTTTTGGAGTTAGTTAGACCAAAAAAAAATGAAAAATGAAAAAAAAAATATTTGGGGTTTTCGGGGTTCCTGAATGTAATACCCGGGTATTAGATTTTAAGGCCAGGGTAAGGTTTAAGTTTTTTGGCGTTAGGGTTAAAATCACTGTCCAAAACCTTTGTAGGAACTCTTTTCCAACCTTTTGGAGTTAGTTAGACCAAAAAAAAAAGAAAAATGAAAAAAAAATATTTGGGGTGTTCAGGCTTCCTAAAAGTAATACCCAGGTATTAGGTTATGGGGCTATGGTAAGGTTTAAGGTTTTTGGCGTTAGGGTTAAAATCACTGTCCAAAACCTTTGTAGGAACTCTTTTCCAACCTTTTGGAGTTAGTTAGACCAAAAAAAAAAGAAAAATGAAAAAAAAAATATTTGGGGTGTTCAGGCTTCCTAAAAGTAATAGCTGGGTATTAGGTTATGGGGCTATGGTAAGGTTTAAGTTTTTTGGCGTTAGGGTTAAAATCACTGTCCAAAACCTTTGTAGGAACTCTTTTCCAACCTTTTGGAGTTGGTTACACCAAAAAAAATGTAAAATGAAAAAAAAAAATATTTGGGGTGTTCGGGCTTCCTGAATGTAATACCCGGGTATTAGATTTTAAGGCCAGGGTAAGGTTTAAGTTTTTTGGCATTAGGGTTAAAATCACTGTCCAAAACCTTTGTAGGAACACTTTTCCAACCTTTTGGAGTTGGTTAGACCAAAAAAAAAAGAAAAATGAAAAAAAAATATTTGGGGTGTTCAGGCTTCCTAAAAGTAATACCCAGGTATTAGGTTATGGGGCTATGGTAAGGTTTAAGGTTTTTGGCGTTAGGGTTAAAATCACTGTCCAAAACCTTTGTAGGAACTCTTTTCCAACCTTTTGGAGTTAGTTAGACCAAAAAAAAATGAAAAATGAAAAAACAATATTTGGGGTTTTCGGGGTTCCTGAATGTAATACCCGGGTATTAGATTTTGAGGCTAGGGTAAGGTTTAAGTTTTTTGGCATTAGGGTTAAAATCACTGTCCAAAACCTTTGTAGGAACTCTTTTCCAACCTTTTGGAGTTGGTTACACCAACAAAAATGTAAAATGAAGAAAAAAATATTTGGGGTGTTCAGGCTTCCTGAAGGTAATACCCGGGTATTAGATTTCAAGGCTAGGGTAAGGTTTAAGTTTTTTGGCATTAGGGTTAAAATCACTGTCCAAAACCTTTGTAGGAACTCTTTTCCAACCTTTTGGAGTTGGTTACACCAACAAAAATGTAAAATGAAGAAAAAAATATTTGGGGTGTTCAGGCTTCCTGAAGGTAATACCAGGGTATTAGATTTTAAGGCTAGGGTAAGGTTTAAGGTTTTTGGCGTTAGGGTTAAAATCACTGTCCAAAACCTTTGTAGGAACTCTTTTCCAACCTTTTGGAGTTAGTTAGACCAAAAAATATGAAAAAAGAAAAAAATATTATTGGGGGTTTTCGGGCTCCCTGAAAGTAATACCCGGGTATTAGGTTTTGGGGCTATGGTAAGGTTTAAGTTTTTTGGCGTTAGGGTTAAAATCACTGTCCAAAACCTTTGTAGGAACTCTTTTCCAACCTTTTGGAGTTAGTTTGACCAAAAAAAAATGAAAAATGAAAAAAAAATATTTGGGGAGTTCAGGCTTCCTAAAAGTAATACCCAGGTATTAGGTTTTGTGGCTAGGGTAAGGTTTAAGTTTTTTGGCATAAGGGTTAAAATCACTGTCCAAAACCTTTGTAAGAACACTTTTCCAACCTTTTGGAATTAGATAAACCAAAAAAAAATGAAAAATGAAAAAATATATATTTGGGGTTTTCGGGCTTCCTGAATGTAATACCCGGGTATTAGATTTTAAGGCTAGGGTAAGGTTTAAGTTTTTTGGCGTTAGGGTTAAAATCACTGTCCAAAACCTTTGTAGGAACTCTTTTCCAACCTTTTGGAGTTAGTTAGACCAAAAAAAAAAAGAAAAACAAAAAAAATATTATTGGGGGTTTTCGGGGTTCCTGAATGTAATACCCGGGTATTAGATTTTAAGGCTAGGGTAAGGTTTAAGGTTTTTGGCGTTAGGGTTAAAATCACTGTCCAAAACCTTTGTAGGAACTCTTTTCCAACCTTTTGGAGTTAGTTAGACCAAAAAAAAATGAAAAATGAAAAAAAAAATATTTGGGGTTTACGGGCTTCCTGAATGTAATACCCGGGTATTAGATTTTAAGGCCAGGGTAAGGTTTAAGTTTTTTGGCGTTAGGGTTAAAATCACTGTCCAAAACCTTTGTAGGAACTCTTTTCCAACCTTTTGGAGTTAGTTAGACCAAAAAAAAAAAGAAAAATGAAAAAAAAATATTTGGGGTGTTCAGGCTTCCTAAAAGTAATACCTGGGTATTAGGTTATGGGGCTATGGTAAGGTTTAAGGTTTTTGGCGTTAGGGTTAAAATCACTGTCCAAAACCTTTGTAGGAACTCTTTTCCAACCTTTTGGAGTTGGTTACACCAACAAAAATGTAAAATGAAAAAAAAATATATGGGGTGTTCAGGCTTCCTAAAAGTAATACCTGGGTATTAGGTTATGGGGCTATGGTAAGGTTTAAGGTTTTTGGCGTTAGGGTTAAAATCACTGTCCAAAACCTTTGTAGGAACTCTTTTCCAACCTTTTGGAGTTGGTTACACCAAAAAAAATGTAAAATGAAAAAAAAAAAATATTTGGGGTTTTTGGGCTTCCTGAATGTAATACCCGGGTATTAGATTTTAAGGCTAGGGTAAGGTTTAAGTTTTTTGGCGTTAGGGTTAAAATCACTGTCCAAAACCTTTGTAGGAACTCTTTTCCAACCTTTTGGAGTTAGTTAGACCAAAAAAAAAAGAAAAATGAAAAAAATATTATTGGGGGTTTTCGGGGTTCCTGAATGTAATACCCGGGTATTAGATTTTAAGGCTAGGGTAAGGTTTAAGGTTTTTGGCGTTAGGGTTAAAATCACTGTCCAAAACCTTTGTAGGAACTCTTTTCCAACCTTTTGGAGTTAGTTAGACCAAAAAAAAATGAAAAATGAAAAAAAAAATATTTGGGGTTTTCGGGCTTCCTGAATGTAATACCCGGGTATTAGATTTTAAGGCTAGGGTAAGGTTTAAGTTTTTTGGCGTTAGGGTTAAAATCACTGTCCAAAACCTTTGTAGGAACTCTTTTCCAACCTTTTGGAGTTAGTTAGACCAAAAAAAAAAGAAAAATGAAAAAAAAAATATTTGGGGTGTTCAGGCTTCCTAAAAGTAATACCTGGGTATTAGGTTATGGGGCTATGGTAAGGTTTAAGGTTTTTGGCGTTAGGGTTAAAATCACTGTCCAAAACCTTTGTAGGAACTCTTTTCCAACCTTTTGGAGTTGGTTACACCAACAAAAATGTAAAATGAAAAAAAAATATATGGGGTGTTCAGGCTTCCTAAAAGTAATACCTGGGTATTAGGTTATGGGGCTATGGTAAGGTTTAAGGTTTTTGGCGTTAGGGTTAAAATCACTGTCCAAAACCTTTGTAGGAACTCTTTTCCAACCTTTTGGAGTTAGTTACACCAAAAAAAATGTAAAATGAAAAAAAAAAAATATTTGGGGTTTTTGGGCTTCCTGAATGTAATACCCGGGTATTAGATTTTAAGGCTAGGGTAAGGTTTAAGTTTTTTGGCGTTAGGGTTAAAATCACTGTCCAAAACCTTTGTAGGAACTCTTTTCCAACCTTTTGGAGTTGGTTACACCAAAAAAAATGTAAAATGAAAAAAAAATATTTGGGGTGTTCGGGCTTCCTGAAGGTAATACCCGGGTATTAGGTTATGGGGCTATGGTAAGGTTTAAGGTTTTTGGCGTTAGGGTTAAAATCACTGTCCAAAACCTTTGTAGGAACTCTTTTCCAACCTTTTGGAGTTGGTTACACCAACAAAAATGTAAAATAAAGAAAAAAATATTTTGGGTGTTCGGGCTTCCTGAAGGTAATACCCGGGTATTAGATTTTAAGGCTAGGGTAAGGTTTAAGGTTTTTGGCGTTAGGGTTAAAATCACTGTCCAAAACCTTTGTAGGAACTCTTTTCCAACCTTTTGGAGTTAGTTAGACCAAAAAAAATGAAAAAAGAAAAAAAAATTATTGGGGGTTTTCGGGCTCCCTGAAAGTAATACCCGGGTATTAGGTTTTGGGACTAGGGAAAGGTTTAAGGTTTTTGGCGTTAGGGTTAAAATCACTGTCCAAATCCTTTGTAGGAACTCTTTTCCAACCTTTTGGAGTTAGTTAGACAAAAAAAAAAGAATAATGAAAAAAAAATATTTGGGGTGATCAGGCTTCCTTATTGTAATACCCGGGTATTAGATTTTAATGCCAGGGTTAGGTTTAAGTTTTTTGGCGTTAGGGTTAAAATCACTGTCCAAAACCTTTGTAGGAACTCTTTTCCAACCTTTTGGAGTTAGTTAGACCAAAAAAAAAAAGAAAAATGAAAAAAAAAATATTTGGGGTGTTCAGGCTTCCTAAAAGTAATACCCGGGTATTAGGTTATGGGGCTAGGGTAAGGTTTAAGGTTTTTGGCGTTAGGGTTAAAATCACTGTCCAAAACCTTTGTAGGAACTCTTTTCCAACCTTTTGGAGTTGGTTACACCAACAAAAATGTAAAATGAAAAAAAAATATATGGGGTGTTCAGGCTTCCTAAAAGTAATACCTGGGTATTAGGTTATGGGGCTATGGTAAGGTTTAAGGTTTTTGGCGTTAGGGTTAAAATCACTGTCCAAAACCTTTGTAGGAACTCTTTTCCAACCTTTTGGAGTTGGTTACACCAAAAAAAATGTAAAATGAAAAAAAAAAAATATTTGGGGTTTTTGGGCTTCCTGAATGTAATACCCGGGTATTAGATTTTAAGGCTAGGGTAAGGTTTAAGTTTTTTGGCGTTAGGGTTAAAATCACTGTCCAAAACCTTTGTAGGAACTCTTTTCCAACCTTTTGGAGTTAGTTAGACCAAAAAAAAAAAAGAAAAATGAAAAAAAAATATTTGGGGTGTTCAGGCTTCCTAAAAGTAATACCCGGGTATTAGGTTATGGGGCTATGGTAAGGTTTAAGGTTTTTGGCGTTAGGGTTAAAATCACTGTCCAAAACCTTTGTAGGAACTCTTTTCCAACCTTTTGGAGTTGGTTACACCAACAAAAATGTAAAATGAAAAAAAAATATATGGGGTGTTCAGGCTTCCTAAAAGTAATACCTGGGTATTAGGTTATGGGGCTATGGTAAGGTTTAAGGTTTTTGGCGTTAGGGTTAAAATCACTGTCCAAAACCTTTGTAGGAACTCTTTTCCAACCTTTTGGAGTTAGTTACACCAAAAAAAATGTAAAATGAAAAAAAAAAAATATTTGGGGTTTTTGGGCTTCCTGAATGTAATACCCGGGTATTAGATTTTAAGGCTAGGGTAAGGTTTAAGTTTTTTGGCGTTAGGGTTAAAATCACTGTCCAAAACCTTTGTAGGAACTCTTTTCCAACCTTTTGGAGTTGGTTACACCAACAAAAATGTAAAATGAAAAAAAAATATTTGGGGTGTTCGGGCTTCCTGAAGGTAATACCCGGGTATTAGGTTATGGGGCTATGGTAAGGTTTAAGGTTTTTGGCGTTAGGGTTAAAATCACTGTCCAAAACCTTTGTAGGAACTCTTTTCCAACCTTTTGGAGTTAGTTACACCAACAAAAATGTAAAATAAAGAAAAAAATATTTTGGGTGTTCGGGCTTCCTGAAGGTAATACCCGGGTATTAGATTTTAAGGCTAGGGTAAGGTTTAAGGTTTTTGGCGTTAGGGTTAAAATCACTGTCCAAAACCTTTGTAGGAACTCTTTTCCAACCTTTTGGAGTTAGTTAGACCAAAAAAAATGAAAAAAGAAAAAAAATTATTGGGGGTTTTTCGGGCTTCCTGAAAGTAATACCCGGGTATTAGGTTTTGGGACTAGGGTAAGGTTTAAGGTTTTTGGCGTTAGGGTTAAAATCACTGTCCAAAACCTTTGTAGGAACTCTTTTCCAACCTTTTGGAGTTAGTTAGACCAAAAAAAAAAAGAAAATGAAAAAAAAAATATTTGGGGTGATCAGGCTTCCTTATTGTAATACCCGGGTATTAGATTTTAATGCCAGGGTTAGGTTTAAGTTTTTTGGCGTTAGGGTTAAAATCACTGTCCAAAACCTTTGTAGGAACTCTTTTCCAACCTTTTGGAGTTAGTTAGACCAAAAAAAAATGAAAAATGAAAAAACAATATTTGGGGTTTTCGGGGTTCCTGAATGTAATACCCGGGTATTAGATTTTAAGGCTAGGGTAAGGTTTAAGGTTTTTGGCGTTAGGGTTAAAATCACTGTCCAAAACCTTTGTAGGAACTCTTTTCCAACCTTTTGGAGTTGGTTAGACCAAAAAAAATATAAAATGAAGAAAAAAATATTTGGGGTGTTCAGGCTTCCTGAAGGTAATACCCGGGTATTAGATTTTAAGGCTAGGGTAAGGTTTAAGGTTTTTGGCGTTAGGGTTAAAATCACTGTCCAAAACCTTTGTAGGAACTCTTTTCCAACCTTTTGGAGTTGGTTACACCAACAAAAATGTAAAATGAAGAAAAAAATATTTGGGGTGTTCAGGCTTCCTGAAGGTAATACCCGGGTATTAGGTTTTGGGACTAGGGAAAGGTTTAAGGTTTTTGGCGTTAGGGTTAAAATCACTGTCCAAAACCTTTGTAGGAACTCTTTTCCAACCTTTTGGAGTTAGTTAGACCAAAAAAAAAAGAAAAATGAAAAAAAAATATTTGGGGTGTTCAGGCTTCCTAAAAGTAATACCCGGGTATTAGGTTATGGGGCTAGGGTAAGGTTTAAGGTTTTTGGCGTTAGGGTTAAAATCACTGTCCAAAACCTTTGTAGGAACTCTTTTCCAACCTTTTGGAGTTAGTTAGACCAAAAAAAAAGAAAAATGAAAAAAAAAATATTTGGGGTGTTCAGGCTTCCTAAAAGTAATACCCGGGTATTAGGTTATGGGGCTATGGGAAGGTTTAAGGTTTTTGGCGTTAGGGTTAAAATCACTGTCCAAAACCTTTGTAGGAACTCTTTTTCAACCTTTTGGAGTTAGTTAGACCAAAAAAAAAATGAAAAATGAAAAAAAAAATATTTGGGGTTTACGGGCTTCCTGAATGTAATACCCGGGTATTAGATTTTAAGGCTAGGGTAAGGTTTAAGTTTTTTGGCGTTAGGGTTAAAATCACTGTCCAAAACCTTTGTAGGAACTCTTTTCCAACCTTTTGGAGTTAGTTAGACCAAAAAAAAAAAGAAAAATGAAAAAAAAATATTTGGGGTGTTCAGGCTTCCTACAAGTAATACCTGGGTATTAGGTTATGGGGCTATGGTACGGTTTAAGGTTTTTGGCGTTAGGGTTAAAATCACTGTCCAAAACCTTTGTAGGAACTCTTTTCCAACCTTTTGGAGTTAGTTAGACCAAAAAAAATGTAAAATGAAAAAAATATATATTTGGGGTGTTCGGGCTTCCTCAAAGTAATACCCAGGTATTAGGTTATGGGGCTATGGTAAGGTTTAAGGTTTTTGGCGTTAGGGTTAAAATCACTGTCCAAAACCTTTGTAGGAACTCTTTTCCAACCTTTTGGAGTTGGTTACACCAAAAAAAATGTAAAATGAAAAAAATATATATTTGGGGTGTTCAGGCTTCCTAAAAGTAATAACCAGGTATTAGGTTATGGGGCTATGGTAAGGTTTAAGTTTTTTTGGCGTTAGGGTTAAAATCACTGTCCAAAACCTTTGTAGGAACTCTTTTCCAACCTTTTGGAGTTAGTTAGACCAAAAAAAAATGAAAAATTAAAAAACAATATTTGGGGTTTTCGGGGTTCCTGAATGTAATACCCGGGTATTAGATTTTGAGGCTAGGGTAAGGTTTAAGTTTTTTGGCATTAGGGTTAAAATCACTGTCCAAAACCTTTGTAGGAACTCTTTTCCAACCTTTTGGAGTTGGTTACACCAAAAAAAAAAGAAAAATGAAAAAAAAATATTTGGGGTGTTCAGGCTTCCTGAAGGTAATACCCGGGTATTAGGTTTTGGGACTAGGGAAAGGTTTAAGGTTTTTGGCGTTAGGGTTAAAATCACTGTCCAAAACCTTTGTAGGAACTCTTTTCCAACCTTTTGGAGTTAGTTAGACCAAAAAAAAAAAGAAAAATGAAAAAAAAATATTTGGGGTGTTCAGGCTTCCTAAAAGTAATACCCGGGTATTAGGTTATGGGGCTAGGGTAAGGTTTAAGGTTTTTGGCGTTAGGGTTAAAATCACTGTCCAAAACCTTTGTAGGAACTCTTTTCCAACCTTTTGGAGTTAGTTAGACCAAAAAAAAAAGAAAAATGAAAAAAAAATATTTGGGGTGTTCAGGCTTCCTAAAAGTAATACCCGGGTATTAGGTTATGGGGCTATGGGAAGGTTTAAGGTTTTTGGCGTTAGGGTTAAAATCACTGTCCAAAACCTTTGTAGGAACTCTTTTCCAACCTTTTGGAGTTAGTTAAACCAAAAAAAAAATGAAAAATGAAAAAAAAAATATTTGGGGTGTTCAGGCTTCCTGAAGTAATACCCGGGTATTAGATTTTAAGGCTAGGGTAAGGTTTAAGGTTTTTGGCGTTAGGGTTAAAATCACTGTCCAAAACCTTTGTAGGAACTCTTTTCCAACCTTTTGGAGTTAGTTAGACCAAAAAAAAATGAAAAATGAAAAAAAAAATATTTGGGGTTTACGGGCTTCCTGAAAGTAATACCCGGGTATTAGATTTTAAGGCTAGGGTAAGGTTTAAGTTTTTTGGCGTTAGGGTTAAAATCACTGTCCAAAACCTTTGTAGGAACTCTTTTCCAACCTTTTGGAGTTAGTTAGACCAAAAAAAAAAAGAAAAATGAAAAAAAAATTATTGGGGTGTTCAGGCTTCCTAAAAGTAATACCTGGGTATTAGGTTATGGGGCTAGGGTAAGGTTTAAGGTTTTTGGCGTTAGGGTTAAAATCACTGTCCAAAACCTTTGTAGGAACTCTTTTCCAACCTTTTGGAGTTAGTTAGACCAAAAAAAATGAAAAAAGAAAAAAAAAATTATTGGGGGTTTTCGGGCTCCCTGAAAGTAATACCCGGGTATTAGATTTCAAGGCTAGGGTAAGGTTTAAGGTTTTTGGCGTTAGGGTTAAAATCACTGTCCAAAACCTTTGTAGGAACTCTTTTCCAACCTTTTGGAGTTAGTTAGACCAAAAAAAATGAAAAATGAAGAAAAAAATATTTGGGGTGTTCAGGCTTCCTGAATGTAATACCCGGGTATTAGGTTTTGGGGCTAGGGTAAGGTTTAAGTTCTTTGGCGTTAGGGTTAAAATCACTGTCAAAACCTTTGTAGGAACTCTTTTCCAACCTTTTGGAGTTAGTTAGACCAAAAAAAGAAAAAAAAAAAATATTATTGGGGGTTTTCGGGCTCCCTGAAAGTAATACCCGGGGATTCGGTTTTGGGACTAGGGAAAGGTTTAAGGTTTTTGGCGTTAGGGTTAAAATCACTGTCCAAAACCTTTGTAGGAACTCTTTTCCAACCTTTTGGAGTTAGTTAGACCAAAAAAAAAAGAAAAATGAAAAAAAAATATTTGGGGTGTTCAGGCTTCCTAAAAGTAATACCCGGGTATTAGGTTATGGGGCTAGGGTAAGGTTTAAGGTTTTTGGCGTTAGGGTTAAAATCACTGTCCAAAACCTTTGTAGGAACTCTTTTCCAACCTTTTGGAGTTAGTTAGACCAAAAAAAAAAGAAAAATGAAAAAAAAATATTTGGGGTGTTCGGGCTTCCTGAATGTAATACCCGGGTATTAGATTTTAAGGCTAGGGTAAGGTTTAAGTTTTTTGGCGTTAGGGTTAAAATCACTGTCCAAAACCTTTGTAGGAACTCTTTTCCAACCTTTTGGAGTTAGTTAGACCAAAAAAAAAAAAGAAAAAGAAAAAAAAATTATTGGGGGTTTTCGGGCTTCCTGAAAGTAATACCCGGGTATTAGGTTTTGGGGCTAGGGTAAGGTTTAAGGTTTTTGGCGTTAGGGTTAAAATCACTGTCCAAAACCTTTGTAGGAACTCTTTTCCAACCTTTTGGAGTTAGTTAGACAAAAAAAAAAGAATAATGAAAAAAAAATATTTGGGGTGTTCAGGCTTCCTTAATGTAATACCCTTAATGTAATAATTAGATTTTAATGCAAGGGTAAGGTTTAAGGTTTTTGGCGTTAGGGTTAAAATCACTGTCCAAAACCTTTGTAGGAACTCTTTTCCAACCTTTTGGAGTTAGTTAGACCAATAAAAAATGAAAAAAGAAAAAAAAGATATTTGGGGTTTTCGGGCTTCCTGGAAGTAATACCCGAGTATTAAGTTTTGGGGCTGGAAAAAGGTTTAAGGTTTTTGGCGTTAGGGTTAAAATCACTGTCCAAAACCTTTGTAGGAACTCTTTTCCAACCTTTTGGAGTTAGTTAGACCAAAAAAAAAAAGAAAAATGAAAAAAAAATATTTGGGGTGTTCAGGCTTCCTAAAAGTAATACCCGGGTATTAGGTTATGGGGCTATGGTAAGGTTTAAGGTTTTTGGCGTTAGGTTTAAAATCACTGTCCAAAACCTTTGTAGGAACTCTTTTCCAACCTTTTGGAGTTAGTTAGACCAAAAAAAAAAATGAAAAATTAAAAAACAATATTTGGGGTTTTCGGGGTTCCTGTATGTAATACCCGGGTATTAGATTTTAAGGCGAGGGAAAGGTTTAAGTTTTTTGGCGTTAGGGTTAAAATCACTGTCCAAAACCTTTGTAGGAACTCTTTTCCAACCTTTTGGAGTTAGTTAGACCAAAAAAAAATGAAAAATGAAAAAAAAATATTTGGGGTGTTCAGGCTTCCTGAAGGTAATACCCGGGTATTAGATTTTAAGGCTAGGGTAAGGTTTAAGTTTTTTGGTGTTAGGGTTAAAATCACTGTCCAAAACCTTTGTAGGAACTCTTTTCCAACCTTTTGGAGTTAGTTAGACCAAAAAAAAAATGAAAAATTAAAAAACAATATTTGGGGTTTTTCGGGGTTCCTGAATGTAATACCCGGGTATTAGATTTTAAGGCTAGGGTAAGGTTTAAGGTTTTTGGCGTTAGGGTTAAAATCACTGTCCAAAACCTTTGTAGGAACTCTTTTCCAACCTTTTGGAGTTAGTTAGACCAAAAAAATGAAAAAAGAAAAAAATATTTGGGGTGTTCAGGCTTCCTGAAGGTAATACCCGGGTATTAGGTTATGGGGCTAGGGTAAGGTTTAAGGTTTTTGGCGTTAGGGTTAAAATCACTGTCCAAAACCTTTGTAGGAACTCTTTTCCAACCTTTTGGAGTTAGTTAGACCAAAAAAAAATGTAAAATGAAAAAAAAATATATTTGGGGTGTTCAGGCTTCCTAAAAGTAATACCCGGGTATTAGGTTATGGGGCTATGGTAAGGTTTAAGGTTTTTGGCGTTAGGGTTAAAATCACTGTCCAAAACCTTTGTAGGAACTCTTTTCCAACCTTTTGGAGTTAGTTAGACCAAAAAAAATGAAAAATTAAAAAACAATATTTGGGGTTTTCGGGGTTCCTGAATGTAATACCCGGGTATTAGATTTTAAGGCTAGGGAAAGGTTTAAGTTTTTTGGCATTAGGGTTAAAATCACTGTCCAAAACCTTTGTAGGAACTCTTTTCCAACCTTTTGGAGTTGGTTACACCAACAAAAATGTAAAATGAAGAAAAAAATATTTGGGGTGTTCAGGCTTCCTGAAGGTAATACCCGGGTATTAGATTTTAAGGCCAGGGTAAGGTTTAAGTTTTTTGGTGTTAGGGTTAAAATCACTGTCCAAAACCTTTGTAGGAACTCTTTTCCAACCTTTTGGAGTTAGTTAGACCAAAAAAAAAAAGAAAAATGAAAAAAATATTATTGGGGGTTTTCGGGGTTCCTGAATGTAATACCCGAGTATTAGATTTTAAGGCTAGGGTAAGGTTTAAGGTTTTTGGCGTTAGGGTTAAAATCACTGTCCAAAACCTTTGTAGGAACTCTTTTCCAACCTTTTGGAGTTAGTTAGACCAAAAAAAAATGAAAAATGAAAAAAAAAATATTTGGGGTTTACGGGCTTCCTGAATGTAATACCCAGGTATTAGATTTTAAGGCCAGGGTAAGGTTTAAGTTTTTTGGCGTTAGGGTTAAAATCACTGTCCAAAACCTTTGTAGGAACTCTTTTCCAACCTTTTGGAGTTAGTTAGACCAAAAAAAATGTAAAATGAAGAAAAAAATATTTGGGGTGTTCAGGCTTCCTGAAGGTAATACCCGGGTATTAGGTTTTGGGACTAGGGAAAGGTTTAAGGTTTTTGGCGTTAGGGTTAAAATCACTGTCCAAAACCTTTGTAGGAACTCTTTTCCAACCTTTTGGAGTTAGTTAGACCAAAAAAAAAAGAAAAATGAAAAAAAAATATTTGGGGTGTTCAGGCTTCCTAAAAGTAATACCCGGGTATTAGGTTATGGGGCTAGGGTAAGGTTTAAGGTTTTTGGCGTTAGGGTTGAAATCACTGTCCAAAACCTTTGTAGGAACTCTTTTCCAACCTTTTGGATTTAGTTAGACCAAAAAAAAAGAAAAATGAAAAAAAGAATATTTGTGGTGTTCAGGCTTCCTAAAAGTAATACCCGGGTATTAGGTTATGGGGCTATGGTAAGGTTTAAGGTTTTTGGCGTTAGGGTTAAAATCACTGTCCAAAACCTTTGTAGGAACTCTTTTCCAACCTTTTGGAGTTAGTTAGACCAAAAAAAAAGAAAAATGAAAAAAAAATATTTGGGGTGTTCAGGCTTCCTAAAAGTAATACCCGGGTATTAGGTTATGGGGCTATGGGAAGGTTTAAGGTTTTTGGCGTTAGGGTTAAAATCACTGTCCAAAACCTTTGTAGGAACTCTTTTCCAACCTTTTGGAGTTAGTTAAACCAAAAAAAAAATGAAAAATGAAAGAATGTATATTTGGGGTTTTCGGGCTTCCTGAATGTAATACCCGGGTATTAGATTTTAAGGCTAGGGTAAGGTTTAAGGGCTTTTGGCGTTAGGGTTAAAATCACTGTCCAAAACCTTTGTAGGAACTCTTTTCCAACCTTTTGGAGTTAGTTAGACCAAAAAAAAATGAAAAATAAAATAAAAAATATTTGGGGTTTCCCGGCTTCCTGATTGTAATACCCGGGTATTAGATTTTAAGGCCAGGGTAAGGTTTAAGGTTTTTGGCGTTAGGGTTAAAATCACTGTCCAAAACCTTTGTAGGAACTCTTTTCCAACCTTTTGGAGTTAGTTAGACCAAAAAAAAAAGAAAAATGAAAAAAAAATATTTGGGGTGTTCAGGCTTCCTGAAAGTAATACCCGGGTATTAGATTTTAAGGCTAGGGTAAGGTTTAAGGTTTTTGGCGTTAGGGTTAAAATCACTGTCCAAAACCTTTGTAGGAACTCTTTTCCAACCTTTTGGAGTTAGTTAGACCAAAAAAAAATGAAAAAAGAAAAAAAAATATTTGGGGGTGTTCGGGCTTCCTGAAAGTAATACCTGGGTATTAGGTTATGGGGCTAGGGTAAGGTTTAAGGTTTTTGGCGTTAGGGTTAAAATCACTGTCCAAAACCTTTGTAGGAACTCTTTTCCAACCTTTTGGAGTTAGTTAGACCAAAAAAAAATGTAAAATGAAGAAAAAAATATTTGGGGTGTTCAGGCTTCCTGAAGGTAATACCCGGGTATTAGATTTTAAGGCTAGGGTAAGGTTTAAGTTTTTTGGCGTTAGGGTTAAAATCACTGTCCAAAACCTTTGTAGGAACTCTTTTCCAACCTTTTGGAGTTAGTTAGACCAAAAAAAGAAAAAAAAAAAAAATATTTGGGGTGTTCGGGCTCCCTGAAAGTAATACCCGGGGATTCGGTTTTGGGACTAGGGAAAGGTTTAAGGTTTTTGGCGTTAGGGTTAAAATCACTGTCCAAATCCTTTGTAGGAACTCTTTTCCAACCTTTTGGAGTTAGTTAGACCAAAAAAAAAGAAAAATGAAAAAAAAATATTTGGGGTGTTCAGGCTTCCTAAAAGTAATACCCGGGTATTAGGTTATGGGGCTATGGTAAGGTTTAACGTTTTGGCGTTAGGTTTAAAATCACTGTCCAAAACCTTTGTAGGAACTCTTTTCCAACCTTTTGGAGTTAGCTAGACCAAAAAAAAAAGAAAAATGAAAAAAAAATATTTGGGGTGTTCAGGCTTCCTGAATGTAATACCCGGGTATTAGATTTTAAGGCTAGGGTAAGGTTTAAGTTTTTTGGCATTAGGGTTAAAATCACTGTCCAAAACCTTTGTAGGAACTCTTTTCCAACCTTTTGGAGTTAGTTAGACCAAAAAAAATGAAAAAAGAAAAAAAATATATTGGGGGTTTTCGGGCTCCCTGAAAGTAATACCCGGGTATTAGGTTTTGGGACTAGGGAAAGGTTTAAGGTTTTTGGCGTTAGGGTTAAAATCACTGTCCAAATCCTTTGTAGGAACTCTTTTCCAACCTTTTGGAGTTAGTTAGACAAAAAAAAAAGAATAATGAAAAAAAAATATTTGGGGTGTTCAGGCTTCCTTAATGTAATACCCTTAATGTAATAATTAGATTTTAATGCCAGGGTAAGGTTTAAGGTTTTTGGCGTTAGGGTTAAAATCACTGTCCAAAACCTTTGTAGGAACTCTTTTTCAACCTTTTGGAGTTAGTTAGACCAAAAAAAATGAAAAAAGAAAAAAAAATATTGGGGGTTTTCGGGCTTCCTGAAAGTAATACCCGGGTATTAGGTTATGGGGCTAGGGTAAGGTTTAAGGTTTTTGGCGTTAGGGTTAAAATCACTGTCCAAAACCTTTGTAGGAACTCTTTTCCAACCTTTTGGAGTTAGTTAGACCAAAAAAAAATGAAAAATGAAAAAAAAATATTTGGGGTGTTCAGGCTTCCTGAAGGTAATACCTGGGTATTAGATTTTAAGGCTAGGTAAGGTTTAAGGTTTTTGGCGTTAGGGTTAAAATCACTGTCCAAAACCTTTGTAGGAACTCTTTTCCAACCTTTTGGAGTTGGTTACACCAACAAAAATGTAAAATGAAAAAAAAAATATTTGGGGTGTTCAGGCTTCCTGAAGGTAATACCTGGGTATTAGATTTTAAGGCTAGGGTAAGGTTTAAGTTTTTTGGCGTTAGGGTTAAAATCACTGTCCAAAACCTTTGTAGGAACTCTTTTCCAACCTTTTGGAGTTAGTTAGACCAAAAAAAAAAGAAAAATGAAAAAAATATTATTGGGGGTTTTCGGGGTTCCTGAATGTAATACCCGGGTATTAGATTTTAAGGCTAGGGTAAGGTTTAAGGTTTTTGGCGTTAGGGTTAAAATCACTGTCCAAAACCTTTGTAGGAACTCTTTTCCAACCTTTTGGAGTTGGTTACACCAAAAAAAATGTAAAATGAAAAAAAAAAAATATTTGGGGTTTTTGGGCTTCCTGAATGTAATACCCGGGTATTAGGTTTTAAGGCTAGGGTAAGGTTTAAGGTTTTTGGCGTTAGGGTTAAAATCACTGTCCAAAACCTTTGTAGGAACTCTTTTCCAACCTTTTGGAGTTGGTTACACCAAAAAAAAATGTAAAATGAAAAAAAAATATTTGGGGTGTTCGGGCTTCCTGAATGTAATACCTGGGTATTAGGTTATGGGGCTAGGGTAAGGTTTAAGGTTTTTGGCGTTAGGGTTAAAATCACTGTCCAAAACCTTTGTAGGAACTCTTTTCCAACCTTTTGGAGTTAGTTACACCAACAAAAATGTAAAATAAAGAAAAAAATATTTTGGGTGTTCGGGCTTCCTGAAGGTAATACCCGGGTATTAGGTTTTAAGGCTAGGGTAAGGTTTAAGGTTTTTGGCGTTAGGGTTAAAATCACTGTCCAAAACCTTTGTAGGAACTCTTTTCCAACCTTTTGGAGTTAGTTAGACCAAAAAAAATGAAAAAAGAAAAAAAATCAATGGGGGTTTTCGTGCTCCCTGAAAGTAATACCCGGGTATTAGATTTTGAGGCTAGGGTAAGGTTTAAGTTTTTTGGCGTTAGGGTTAAAATCACTGTCCAAAACCTTTGTAGGAACTCTTTTCCAACCTTTTGGAGTTAGTTAGACAAAAAAAAAAAAAAAAGAATAATGAAAAAACAATATTTGGGGTGATCAGGCTTCCTTATTGTAATACCCGGGTATTAGATTTTAATGCCAGGGTTAGGTTTAAGTTTTTTGGCGTTAGGGTTAAAATCACTGTCCAAAACCTTTGTAGGAACTCTTTTCCAACCTTTTGGAGTTAGTTAGACCAAAAAAAATGAAAAATTAAAAAACAATATTTGGGGTTTTCGGGGTTCCTGAATGTAATACCCGGGTATTAGATTTTAAGGCTAGGGTAAGGTTTAAGGTTTTTGGCGTTAGGGTTAAAATCACTGTCCAAAACCTTTGTAGGAACTCTTTTCCAACCTTTTGGAGTTAGTTAGACCAAAAAAAAATGTAAAATGAAAAAAAATATTTGGGGTGTTCAGGCTTCCTGAAGGTAATACCCGGGTATTAGGTTTTGGGACTAGGGAAAGGTTTAAGGTTTTTGGCGTTAGGGTTAAAATCACTGTCCAAAACCTTTGTAGGAACTCTTTTCCAACCTTTTGGAGTTAGTTAGACCAAAAAAAAAAGAAAAATGAAAAAAAAATATTTGGGGTGTTCAGGCTTCCTGAAGGTAATACCCGGGTATTAGGTTATGGGGCTAGGGTAAGGTTTAAGGTTTTTGGCGTTAGGGTTAAAATCACTGTCCAAAACCTTTGTAGGAACTCTTTTCCAACCTTTTGGAGTTAGTTAGACCAAAAAAAAAAAAGAAAAATGAAAAAAAAATATTTGGGGTGTTCAGGCTTCCTGAAAGTAATACCCGGGTATTAGGTTATGGGGCTATGGGAAGGTTTAAGGTTTTTGGCGTTAGGGTTAAAATCACTGTCCAAAACCTTTGTAGGAACTCTTTTTCAACCTTTTGGAGTTAGTTAGACCAAAAAAAAATGAAAAATGAAAAAAAAAATATTTGGGGTTTTCGGGCTTCCTGAATGTAATACCCGGGTATTAGATTTTAAGGCTAGGGTAAGGTTTAAGGTTTTTGGCGTTAGGGTTAAAATCACTGTCCAAAACCTTTGTAGGAACTCTTTTCCAACCTTTTGGAGTTAGTTAGACCAAAAAAAAAAAGAAAAATGAAAAAAAAATATTTGGGGTGTTCAGGCTTCCTAAAAGTAATACCCGGGTATTAGGTTATGGGGCTAGGGTAAGGTTTAAGGTTTTTGGCGTTAGGGTTAAAATCACTGTCCAAAACCTTTGTAGGAACTCTTTTCCAACCTTTTGGAGTTGGTTACACCAAAAAAAAATGTAAAATGAAAAAAAAATATATTTGGGGTGTTCGGGCTTCCTGAAAGTAATACCCAGGTATTAGATTTTAAGGCCAGGGTAAGGTTTAAGTTTTTTGGCGTTAGGGTTAAAATCACTGTCCAAAACCTTTGTAGGAACTCTTTTCCAACCTTTTGGAGTTGGTTAGACCAAAAAAAAAAGAAAAATGAAAAAAAAATATTTGGGGTGTTCAGGCTTCCTAAAAGTAATACCCGGGTATTAGGTTATGGGGCTATGGTAAGGTTTAACGTTTTGGCGTTAGGTTTAAAATCACTGTCCAAAACCTTTGTAGGAACTCTTTTCCAACCTTTTGGAGTTAGCTAGACCAAAAAAAAAAGAAAAATGAACAAAAAAATATTTGGGGTTTTCGGGCTTCCTGAATGTAATACCCGGGTATTAGATTTTAAGGCTAGGGTAAGGTTTAAGTTTTTTGGCATTAGGGTTAAAATCACTGTCCAAAACCTTTGTAGGAACTCTTTTCCAACCTTTTGGAGTTAGTTAGACCAAAAAAAAAATAAAAATGAACAAAAAAATTATTGGGGGTTTTCGGGCTCCCTGAAAGTAATACCCGGGTATTAGGTTTTGGGACTAGGGAAAGGTTTAAGGTTTTTGGCGTTAGGGTTAAAATCACTGTCCAAATCCTTTGTAGGAACTCTTTTCCAACCTTTTGGAGTTAGTTAGACAAAAAAAAAAGAATAATGAAAAAAAAATATTTGGGGTGTTCAGGCTTCCTTAATGTAATACCCTTAATGTAATAATTAGATTTTAATGCCAGGGTAAGGTTTAAGGTTTTTGGCGTTAGGGTTAAAATCACTGTCCAAAACCTTTGTAGGAACTCTTTTTCAACCTTTTGGAGTTAGTTAGACCAAAAAAAATGAAAAAAGAAAAAAATATTATTGGGGGTTTTCGGGCTCCCTGAAAGTAATACCCGGGTATTAGGTTTTGGGACTAGGGAAAGGTTTAAGGTTTTTGGCGTTAGGGTTAAAATCACTGTCCAAAACCTTTGTAGGAACTCTTTTCCAACCTTTTGGAGTTAGTTAGACCAAAAAAAAAAAAGAAAAATGAAAAAAAAATATTTGGGGTGTTCAGGCTTCCTAAAAGTAATACCCGGGTATTAGGTTATGGGGCTATGGTAAGGTTTAAGGTTTTTGGCGTTAGGGTTAAAATCACTGTCCAAAACCTTTGTAGGAACTCTTTTCCAACCTTTTGGAGTTAGTTAGACCAAAAAAAAATGAAAAATGAAAAAACAATATTTGGGGTTTTCGGGGTTCCTGAATGTAATACCCGGGTATTAGGTTTTGGGGCTAGGGTAAGGTTTAAGGTTTTTGGCGTTAGGGTTAAAATCACTGTCCAAAACCTTTGTAGGAACTCTTTTCCAACCTTTTGGAGTTAGTTAGACCAAAAAAAAAAAAAAAAGAAAAAAAAATATTGGGGGTTTTCAGGCTTCCTGAAAGTAATACCCGGGTATTAGGTTTTGGGACTAGGGAAAGGTTTAAGGTTTTTGGCGTTAGGGTTAAAATCACTGTCCAAAACCTTTGTAGGAACTCTTTTCCAACCTTTTGGAGTTAGTTAGACAAAAAAAAAAGAATAATGAAAAAAAAATATTTGGGGTGTTCAGGCTTCCTTAATGTAATACCCTTAATGTAATAATTAGATTTTAATGCCAGGGTAAGGTTTAAGGTTTTTGGCGTTAGGGTTAAAATCACTGTCCAAAACCTTTGTAGGAACTCTTTTTCAACCTTTTGGAGTTAGTTAGACCAAAAAAAAGAAAAAAAAAAAAAAATTATTAGGGGTTTTCGGGCTCCCTGAAAGTAATACCCGGGTATTAGGTTTTGGGACTAGGGAAAGGTTTAAGGTTTTTGGCGTTAGGGTTAAAATCACTGTCCAAAACCTTTGTAGGAACTCTTTTCCAACCTTTTGGAGTTAGTTAGACCAAAAAAAAATGAAAAAAGAAAAAAAAATTATTTGGGGTGTTCAGGCTTCCTAAAAGTAATACCCGGGTATTAGGTTATGGGGCTAGGGTAAGGTTTAAGGTTTTTGGCGTTAGGGTTAAAATCACTGTCCAAAACCTTTGTAGGAACTCTTTTCCAACCTTTTGGAGTTAGTTAGACAAAAAAAAATGAAAAATGAAAAAAACAATATTTGGGGTTTTCGGGGTTCCTGAATGTAATACCCGGGTATTAGATTTTAAGGCTAGGGAAAGGTTTAAGTTTTTTGGCATTAGGGTTAAAATCACTGTCCAAAACCTTTGTAGGAACTCTTTTCCAACCTTTTGGAGTTAGTTAGACCAAAAAAAAATGAAAAATGAAAAAAAAATATTTGGGGTGTTCAGGCTTCCTGAATGTAATACCTGGGTATTAGATTTTAAGGCTAGGGTAAGGTTTAAGGTTTTTGGCGTTAGGGTTAAAATCACTGTCCAAAACCTTTGTAGGAACTCTTTTCCAACCTTTTGGAGTTAGTTAGACCAAAAAAAAAGAAAAATGAAAAAAAATTAGTGGGGGTTTTCGGGCTTCCTGAAGGTAATACCTGGGTATTAGATTTTAAGGCTAGGGTAAGGTTTAAGGTTTTTGGCGTTAGGGTTAAAATCACTGTCCAAAACCTTTGTAGGAACTCTTTTCCAACCTTTTGGAGTTAGTTAGACCAAAAAAAAAAAGAAAAATGAAAAAAAAAAATATGGGGTGTTCAGGCTTCCTAAAAGTAATACCCGGGTATTAGGTTATGGGGCTATGGTAAGGTTTAAGGTTTTTGGCGTTAGGGTTAAAATCACTGTCCAAAACCTTTGTAGGAACTCTTTTCCAACCTTTTGGAGTTGGTTACACCAACAAAAATGTAAAAGGAAAAAAAAATATATGGGGTGTTCAGGCTTCCTGAATGTAATACCCGGGTATTAGGTTATGGGGCTATGGTAAGGTTTAAGGTTTTTGGCGTTAGGGTTAAAATCACTGTCCAAAACCTTTGTAGGAACTCTTTTCCAACCTTTTGGAGTTGGTTACACCAAAAAAAATGTAAAATGAAAAAAAAAAAATATTTGGGGTTTTGGGCTTCCTGAATGTAATACCCGGGTATTAGATTTTAAGGCTAGGGTAAGGTTTAAGTTTTTTGGCGTTAGGGTTAAAATCACTGTCCAAAACCTTTGTAGGAACTCTTTTCCAACCTTTTGGAGTTGGTTAGACCAAAAAAAAAAAAGAAAAATGAAAAAAAAATATATTTGGGGTGTTCGGGCTTCCTGAAAGTAATACCCAGGTATTAGGTTATGGGGCTATGGTAAGGTTTAAGTTTTTTGGCGTTAGGGTTAAAATCACTGTCCAAAACCTTTGTAGGAACTCTTTTCCAACCTTTTGGAGTTAGTTAGACCAAAAAAAAAATGAAAAATTAAAAAACAATATTTGGGGTGTTTAGGCTTCCTGAAGGTAATACCAGGGTATTAGATTTTAAGGCTAGGGTAAGGTTTAAGGTTTTTGGCGTTAGGCCTAAAATCAGTGTCCAAAACCTTTGTAGGAACTCTTTTCCAACCTTTTGGAGTTAGTGAGACAAAAAATTTGAAAAAAGAAAAAAATATTATTGGGGGTGTTCGGGCTCCCTGAAGGTAATACCCGGGTATTAGGTTTTGGGACTAGGGTAAGGTTTAAGGTTTTTGGCGTTAGGGTTAAAATCACTGTCCAAAACCTTTGTAGGAACTCTTTTCCAACCTTTTGGAGTTAGTTAGACCAAAAAAAAAAAGAAAAATGAAAAAAAAATATTTGGGGTGATCAGGCTTCCTTATTGTAATACCCGGGTATTAGATTTTAATGCCAGGGTTAGGTTTAAGTTTTTTGGCGTTAGGGTTAAAATCACTGTCCAAAACCTTTGTAGGAACTCTTTTCCAACCTTTTGGAGTTAGTTAGACCAAAAAAAAATGTAAAATGAAAAAAAAATATTTGGGGTGTTCAGGCTTCCTAAAAGTAATACCCGGGTATTAGGTTATGGGGCTATGGTAAGGTTTAAGGTTTTTGGCGTTAGGGTTAAAATCACTGTCCAAAACCTTTGTAGGAACTCTTTTCCAACCTTTTGGAGTTAGTTAGACCAAAAAAAATGTAAAATGAAAAAAAAATATTTGGGGTGTTCAGGCTTCCTGAAAGTAATACCCGGGTATTAGATTTTAAGGCCAGGGTAAGGTTTAAGTTTTTTGGCGTTAGGGTTAAAATCACTGTCCAAAACCTTTGTAGGAACTCTTTTCCAACCTTTTGGAGTTAGTTAGACCAAAAAAAAAAAGAAAAATGAAAAAAAAATATTTGGGGTGTTCAGGCTTCCTAAAAGTAATACCCGGGTATTAGGTTATGGGGCTATGGTAAGGTTTAAGTTTTTTGGCGTTAGGGTTAAAATCACTGTCCAAAACCTTTGTAGGAACTCTTTTCCAACCTTTTGGAGTTAGTTAGACCAAAAAAAAATGAAAAATGAAAAAAAAATATTTGGGGTGTTCAGGCTTCCTGAAAGTAATACCTGGGTATTAGGTTTTGGGCTAGGGTAAGGTTTAAGGTTTTTGGCGTTAGGGTTAAAATCACTGTCCAAAACCTTTGTAGGAACTCTTTTCCAACCTTTTGGAGTTAGTTAGACCAAAAAAAAAAAGAAAAATGAAAAAAAAAATATTTGGGGTGTTCAGGCTTCCTGAAAGTAATACCCGGGTATTAGGTTTTGGGGCTATGGTAAGGTTTAAGGTTTTTGGCGTTAGGGTTAAAATCACTGTCCAAAACCTTTGTAGGAACTCTTTTCCAACCTTTTGGAGTTAGTTAGACCAAAAAAAAATGAAAAATTAAAAAACAATATTTGGGGTTTTCGGGGTTCCTGAATGTAATACCCGGGTATTAGATTTTGAGGCTAGGGTAAGGTTTAAGGTTTTTGGCGTTAGGGTTAAAATCACTGTCCAAAACCTTTGTAGGAACTCTTTTCCAACCTTTTGGAGTTGGTTAGACCAAAAAAAAATGTAAAATGAAAAAAAAATATTTGGGGTGTTCGGGCTTCCTGAAGGTAATACCCGGGTATTAGGTTTTGGGACTAGGGAAAGGTTTAAGGTTTTTGGCGTTAGGGTTAAAATCACTGTCCAAAACCTTTGTAGGAACTCTTTTCCAACCTTTTGGAGTTAGTTAGACCAAAAAAAAAAAAGAAAAATGAAAAAAAAATATTTGGGGTGTTCAGGCTTCCTAAAAGTAATACCCGGGTATTAGGTTATGGGGTTAGGGTAAGGTTTAAGGTTTTTGGCGTTAGGGTTGAAATCACTGTCCAAAACCTTTGTAGGAACTCTTTTCCAACCTTTTGGAGTTAGTTAGACCAAAAAAAAAAGAAAAATGAAAAAAAAATATTTGGGGTGTTCAGGCTTCCTAAAAGTAATATCCGGGTATTAGGTTATGGGGCTATGGGAAGGTTTAAGGTTTTTGGCGTTAGGGTTAAAATCACTGTCCAAAACCTTTGTAGGAACTCTTTTCCAACCTTTTGGAGTTAGTTAGACCAAAAAAATATGAAAAAAGAAAAAAATATTATTGGGGGTTTTCGGGCTCCCTGAAAGTAATACCCGGGTATTAGGTTTTGGGGCTATGGTAAGGTTTAAGTTTTTTGGCGTTAGGGTTAAAATCACTGTCCAAAACCTTTGTAGGAACTCTTTTCCAACCTTTTGGAGTTAGTTAGACCAAAAAAAAATGAAAAATGAAAAAACAATATTTGGGGTATTTGGGGTTCCTGAATGTTATACCCGGGTATTAGATTTTAAGGCTAGGGTAAGGTTTAAGTTTTTTGGCGTTAGGGTTAAAATCACTGTCCAAAACCTTTGTAGGAACTCTTTTCCAACCTTTTGGAGTTGGTTACACCAACAAAAATGTAAAATGAAAAAAAAAATATTTGGGGTGTTCAGGCTTCCTGAAGGTAATACCCGGGTATTAGATTTTAAGGCTAGGGTAAGGTTTAAGGTTTTTGGCGTTAGGGTTAAAATCACTGTCCAAAACCTTTGTAGGAACTCTTTTCCAACCTTTTGGAGTTAGTGAGACAAAAAATTTGAAAAAAGAAAAAAATATTATTGGGGGTGTTCGGGCTCCCTGAAGGTAATACCCGGGTATTAGGTTTTGGGACTAGGGAAAGGTTTAAGGTTTTTGGCGTTAGGGTTAAAATCACTGTCCAAAACCTTTGTAGGAACTCTTTTCCAACCTTTTGGAGTTAGTTAGACCAAAAAAAAATGAAAAATTAAAAAACAATATTTGGGGTTTTCGGGGTTCCTGAATGTAATACCCGGGTATTAGGTTTTGGGACTAGGGTAAGGTTTAAGGTTTTTGGCGTTAGGGTTAAAATCACTGTCCAAAACCTTTGTAGGAACTCTTTTCCAACCTTTTGGAGTTAGTTAGACCAAAAAAAATGTAAAATGAAGAAAAAAATATTTGGGGTGTTCAGGCTTCCTGAAGTAATACCCGGGTATTAGGTTTTGGGACTAGGGAAAGGTTTAAGGTTTTTGGCGTTAGGGTTAAAATCACTGTCCAAAACCTTTGTAGGAACTCTTTTCCAACCTTTTGGAGTTAGTTAGACCAAAAAAAAAAAAAGAAAAATGAAAAAAAAATATTTGGGGTGTTCAGGCTTCCTAAAAGTAATACCCGGGTATTAGGTTATGGGGTTAGGGTAAGGTTTAAGGTTTTTGGCGTTAGGGTTAAAATCACTGTCCAAAACCTTTGTAGGAACTCTTTTCCAACCTTTTGGAGTTAGTTAGACCAAAAAAAAAGAAAAATGAAAAAAAAATATTTGGGGTGTTCAGGCTTCCTAAAAGTAATACCCGGGTATTAGGTTATGGGGCTATGGGAAGGTTTAAGGTTTTTGGCGTTAGGGTTAAAATCACTGTCCAAAACCTTTGTAGGAACTCTTTTCCAACCTTTTGGAGTTAGTTAGACCAAAAAAATATGAAAAAAGAAAAAAATATTATTGGGGGTTTTCGGGCTCCCTGAAAGTAATACCCGGGTATTAGGTTTTGGGGCTATGGTAAGGTTTAAGTTTTTTGGCGTTAGGGTTAAAATCACTGTCCAAAACCTTTGTAGGAACTCTTTTCCAACCTTTTGGAGTTAGTTAGACCAAAAAAAAATGAAAAATGAAAAAACAATATTTGGGGTATTTGGGGTTCCTGAATGTTATACCCGGGTATTAGGTTTTGGGGCTAGGGTAAGGTTTAAGGTTTTTGGCGTTAGGGTTAAAATCACTGTCCAAAACCTTTGTAGGAACTCTTTTCCAACCTTTTGGAGTTGGTTACACCAACAAAAATGTAAAATGAAAAAAAAAATATTTGGGGTGTTCAGGCTTCCTGAAGGTAATACCCGGGTATTAGATTTTAAGGCTAGGGTAAGGTTTAAGGTTTTTGGCGTTAGGGTTAAAATCACTGTCCAAAACCTTTGTAGGAACTCTTTTCCAACCTTTTGGAGTTAGTTAGACAAAAAAAAAAAAAAAGAAAAAAATATTTGGGGTGTTCAGGCTTCCTGAAGGTAATACCCGGGTATTAGGTTTTGGGACTAGGGAAAGGTTTAAGGTTTTTGGCGTTAGGGTTAAAATCACTGTCCAAATCCTTTGTAGGAACTCTTTTCCAACCTTTTGGAGTTAGTTAGACAAAAAAAAAAGAATAATGAAAAAAAAATATTTGGGGTGATCAGGCTTCCTTATTGTAATACCCGGGTATTAGATTTTAATGCCAGGGTTAGGTTTAAGTTTTTTGGCGTTAGGGTTAAAATCACTGTCCAAAACCTTTGTAGGAACTCTTTTCCAACCTTTTGGAGTTAGTTAGACCAAAAAAAAATGAAAAATTAAAAAACAATATTTGGGGTTTTCGGGGTTCCTGAATGTAATACCCGGGTATTAGATTTTAAGGCTAGGGTAAGGTTTAAGGTTTTTGGCGTTAGGGTTAAAATCACTGTCCAAAACCTTTGTAGGAACTCTTTTCCAACCTTTTGGAGTTGGTTACACCAACAAAAATATAAAATGAAGAAAAAAATATTTGGGGTGTTCAGGCTTCCTGAAGGTAATACCCGGGTATTAGATTTTAAGGCTAGGGTAAGGTTTAAGGTTTTTGGCGTTAGGGTTAAAATCACTGTCCAAAACCTTTGTAGGAACTCTTTTCCAACCTTTTGGAGTTGGTTACACCAACAAAAATGTAAAATGAAAAAAAAATATTTGGGGTGTTCGGGCTTCCTGAAGGTAATACCCGGGTATTAGGTTATGGGGCTAGGGTAAGGTTTAAGGTTTTTGGCGTTAGGGTTAAAATCACATTCCAAAACCTTTGTAGGAACTCTTTTCCAACCTTTTGGAGTTAGTTACACCAACAAAAATGTAAAATAAAGAAAAAAATATTTTGGGTGTTCGGGCTTCCTGAAGGTAATACCCGGTATTAGATTTTTAGGCTACGGTAAGGTTTAAGGTTTTTGGCGTTAGGGTTAAAATCACTGTCCAAAACCTTTGTAGGAACTCTTTTCCAACCTTTTGGAGTTAGTTAGACCAAAAAAAATGAAAAAAGAAAAAAAAAAAATTTGGGGTTTTCGGGCTTCCTGAAAGTAATACCCGGGTATTAGGTTATTGGGCTAGGGTAAGGTTTAAGGTTTTTGGCGTTAGGGTTAAAATCACTGTCCAAAACCTTTGTAGGAACTCTTTTCCAACCTTTTGGAGTTGGTTACACCAACAAAAATGTAAAATTAAGAAAAAAATATTTGGGGTGTTCAGGCTTCCTGAAGGTAATACCCGGGTATTAGATTTTAAGGCTAGGGTAAGGTTTAAGGTTTTTGGCGTTAGGGTTAAAATCACTGTCCAAAACCTTTGTAGGAACTCTTATCCAACCTTTTGGAGTTGGTTACACCAACAAAAATGTAAAATGAAGAAAAAAATATTTGGGGTGTTCAGGCTTCCTGAAGGTAATACCCGGGTATTAGATTTTGGGGCTAGGGTAAGGTTTAAGGTTTTTGGCGTTAGGGTTAAAATCACTGTCCAAAACCTTTGTAGGAACTCTTTTCCAACCTTTTGGAGTTAGTTAGACCAAAAAATATGAAAAAAGAAAAAAATATTTTTGGGGGTTTTCGGGCTCCCTGAAAGTAATACCCAGGTATTAGGTTTTGGGACTAGGGAGAGGTTTAAGGTTTTTGGCGTTAGGGTTAAAATCACTGTCCAAAACCTTTGTAGGAACTCTTTTCCAACCTTTTGGAGTTAGTTAGACCAAAAAAAAAAAGAAAAATGAAAAAAAAATATTTGGGGTGTTCAGGCTTCCTAAAAGTAATACCCGGGTATTAGGTTATGGGGCTAGGGTAAGGTTTAAGGTTTTTGGCGTTAGGGTTAAAATCACTGTCCAAAACCTTTGTAGGAACTCTTTTCCAACCTTTTGGAGTTAGTTAGACCAAAAAAATGTAAAATGAAGAAAAAAATATTTGGGGTGTTCAGGCTTCCTGAAGGTAATACCCGGGTATTAGATTTCAAGGCTAGGGTAAGGTTTAAGGTTTTTGGCGTTAGGGTTAAAATCACTGTCCAAAACCTTTGTAGGAACTCTTTTCCAACCTTTTGGAGTTAGTTAGACCAAAAAATATGAAAAAAGAAAAAAAGTATTTGTGGGGGTTTTCGGGCTCCCTGAAAGTAAAACCCAGGTAGTAGGTTTTGGGACTAGGGTAAGGTTTAAGGTTTTTGGCGTTAGGGTTAAAATCACTGTCCAAAACCTTTGTAGGAACTCTTTTCCAACCTTTTGGAGTTAGTTAGACCAAAAAAAAAGAAAAATGAAAAAAATATTATTGGGGGTTTTCGGGGTTCCTGAATGTAATACCCGGGTATTAGATTTTAAGGCTAGGGTAAGGTTTAAGGTTTTTGGCGTTAGGGTTAAAATCACTGTCCAAAACCTTTGTAGGAACTCTTTTTCAACCTTTTGGAGTTAGTTAGACCAAAAAAAAAATGAAAAATGAAAAAAAAAATATTTGGGGTTTACGGGCTTCCTGAATGTAATACCCGGGTATTAGGTTTTGGGGCTATGGTAAGGTTTAAGTTTTTTGGCGTTAGGGTTAAAATCACTGTCCAAAACCTTTGTAGGAACTCTTTTCCAACCTTTTGGAGTTAGTTAGACCAAAAAATATGAAAATAGAAAAAAATATTTTTGGGGGTTTTCGGGCTTCCTGAAAGTAATACCCGGGTATTAGGTTTTGGGGCTATGGTAAGGTTTAAGTTTTTTGGCGTTAGGGTTAAAATCACTGTCCAAAACCTTTGTAGGAACTCTTTTCCAACCTTTTGGAGTTAGTTAGACCAAAAAATATGAAAAAAGAAAAAAATATTATTGGGGGTTTTCGGGCTCCCTGAAAGTAATACCCGGGTATTAGGTTTTGGGGCTATGGTAAGGTTTAAGGTTTTTGGCGTTAGGGTTAAAATCACTGTCCAAAACCTTTGTAGGAACTCTTTTCCAACCTTTTGGAGTTGGTTACACCAACAAAAATGTAAAATGAAGAAAAAAATATTTGGGGTGTTCAGGCTTCCTGAATGTAATACCCGGGTATTAGATTTTAAGGCTAGGGTAAGGTTTAAGGTTTTTGGCGTTAGGGTTAAAATCACTGTCCAAAACCTTTGTAGGAACTCTTTTCCAACCTTTTGGAGTTAGTTTGACCAAAAAAAAAGAAAAATGAAAAAAAAATATTTGGGGAGTTCAGGCTTCCTAAAAGTAATACCCGGGTATTAGGTTTTGTGGCTAGGGTAAGGTTTAAGTTTTTTGGCATAAGGGTTAAAATCACTGTCCAAAACCTTTGTAGGAACTCTTTTCCAACCTTTTGGAGTTAGTTAGACCAAAAAAATGAAAAAAGAAAAAAAGATTTTGGGGTTTTCGGGCTTCCTGAAAGTAATACCCGGGTATTAGGTTTTGGGACTAGGGAGAGGTTTAAGGTTTTTGGCATTAGGGTTAAAATCACTGTCCAAAACCTTTGTAGGAACTCTTTTCCAACCTTTTGGAGTTAGTTAGACCAAAAAAAAAAGAAAAATGAAAAAAATATTATTGGGGGTTTTCGGGGTTCCTGAATGTAATACCCGGGTATTAGATTTTAAGGCTAGGGTAAGGTTTAAGGTTTTTGGCGTTAGGGTTAAAATCACTGTCCAAAACCTTTGTAGGAACTCTTTTCCAACCTTTTGGAGTTAGTTAGACCAAAAAAAAAATGAAAAATGAAAAAAAAAATATTTGGGGTTTTTCGGGCTTCCTGAATGTAATACCCGGGTATTAGATTTTAAGGCTAGGGTAAGGTTTAAGGTTTTTGGCGTTAGGGTTAAAATCACTGTCCAAAACCTTTGTAGGAACTCTTTTCCAACCTTTTGGAGTTAGTTAGACCAAAAAAAATGAAAAAAGAAAAAAATATTTGGGGGTTTTCGGGCTTCCTGAATGTAATACCCGGGTATTAGGTTTTGGGGCTATGGTAAGGTTTAAGTTTTTTGGCGTTAGGGTTAAAATCACTGTCCAAAACCTTTGTAGGAACTCTTTTCCAACCTTTTGGAGTTAGTTAGACCAAAAAAAAATGAAAAATGAAAAAACAATATTTGGGGTTTTCGGGGTTCCTGAATGTAATACCCGGGTATTAGATTTTAAGGCTAGGGTAAGGTTTAAGGTTTTTTGGCGTTAGGGTTAAAATCACTGTCCAAAACCTTTGTAGGAACTCTTTTCCAACCTTTTGGAGTTAGTTAGACCAAAAAATATGAAAAAAGAAAAAAATATTATTGGGGGTTTTCGGGCTCCCTGAAAGTAATACCCGGGTATTAGGTTTTGGGACTAGGGAAAGGTTTAAGGTTTTTGGCGTTAGGGTTAAAATCACTGTCCAAAACCTTTGTAGGAACTCTTTTCCAACCTTTTGGAGTTAGTTAGACCAAAAAAAAAAGAAAAATGAAAAAAAAATATTTGGGGTGTTCAGGCTTCCTAAAAGTAATACCCGGGTATTAGGTTATGGGGCTATGGTAAGGTTTAACTTTTTGGCGTTAGGGTTAAAATCACTGTCCAAAACCTTTGTAGGAACTCTTTTCCAACCTTTTGGAGTTAGTTAGACCAAAAAAAAAAGAAAAATGAAAAAAAAATATTTGGGGTGTTCAGGCTTCCTAAAAGTAATACCCGGGTATTAGGTCATGGGGCTATGGTAAGGTTTAAGTTTTTTGGCGTTAGGGTTAAAATCACTGTCCAAAACCTTTGTAGGAACTCTTTTCCAACCTTTTGGAGTTAGTTAGACCAAAAAATATGAAAAAAGAAAAAAATATTTTTGGGGGTTTTCGGGCTCCCTGAAAGTAATACCCGGGTATTAGGTTTTGGGGCTAGGGTAAGGTTTAAGGTTTTTGGCGTTAGGGTTAAAATCACTGTCCAAAACCTTTGTAGGAACTCTTTTCCAACCTTTTGGAGTTAGTTAGACCAAAAAATATGAAAAAAGAAAAAAATATTATTGGGGGTTTTCGGGCTCCCTGAAAGTAATACCCGGGTATTAGGTTTTGGGGCTATGGTAAGGTTTAAGTTTTTTGGCGTTAGGGTTAAAATCACTGTCCAAAACCTTTGTAGGAACTCTTTTCCAACCTTTTGGAGTTAGTTAGACCAAAAAAAAATGAAAAATGAAAAAACAATATTTGGGGTTTTCGGGGTTCCTGAATGTAATACCCGGGTATTAGATTTTAAGGCTAGGGTAAGGTTTAAGGTTTTTGGCGTTAGGGTTAAAATCACTGTCCAAAACCTTTGTAGGAACTCTTTTCCAACCTTTTGGAGTTAGTTAGACCAAAAAAAAAAGAAAAATGAAAAAAAAATATTTGGGGGTTTTCGGGCTCCCTGAAAGTAATACCCGGGTATTAGGTTTTGTGGCTAGGGTAAGGTTTAAGTTTTTTGGCGTTAGGGTTAAAATCACTGTCCAAAACCTTTGTAGGAACTCTTTTCCAACCTTTTGGAGTTAGTTAGACCAAAAAAAAATGAAAAATGAAAAAAAAATATTTGGGGTTTTCGGGCTTCCTGAATGTAATACCCGGGTATTAGATTTTAAGGCTAGGGTAAGGTTTAAGTTTTTTGGCGTTAGGGTTAAAATCACTGTCCAAAACCTTTGTAGGAACTCTTTTCCAACCTTTTGGAGTTAGTTAGACCAAAAAAAAAAGAAAAATGAAAAAAATATTTGGGGGTTTCAGGCTTCCTAAAAGTAATACCCAGGTATTAGGTTTTGTGGCTAGGGTAAGGTTTAAGTTTTTTGGCATAAGGGTTAAAATCCCTGTCCAAAACCTTTGTAGGAACTCTTTTCCAACCTTTTGGAGTTAGTTAGACCAAAAAATATGAAAAAAGAAAAAAAGTATTTGTGGGGGTTTTCGGGCTCCCTGAAAGTAATACCCAGGTAGTAGGTTTTGGGACTAGGGAGAGGTTTAAGGTTTTTGGCATTAGGGTTAAAATCACTGTCCAAAACCTTTGTAGGAACTCTTTTCCAACCTTTTGGAGTTAGTTAGACCAAAAAAAAAATGAAAAATGAAAAAAAAAATATTTGGGGTTTACGGGCTTCCTGAATGTAATACCCGGGTATTAGATTTTAAGGCCAGGGAAAGGTTTAAGTTTTTTGGCGTTAGGGTTAAAATCACTGTCCAAAACCTTTGTAGGAACTCTTTTCCAACCTTTTGGAGTTAGTTAGACCAAAAAAAATGAAAAATGAAAAAAAAATATTTGGGGTGTTCAGGCTTCCTGAAAGTAATACCCGGGTATTAGGTTTTGGGGCTATGGTAAGGTTTAAGGTTTTTGGCATTAGGGTTAAAATCACTGTCCAAAACCTTTGTAGGAACTCTTTTCCAACCTTTTGGAGTTAGTTAGACCAAAAAAAAAAAATGAAAAATGAAAAAAAAAATTTGGGGTGTTCAGGCTTCCTAAAAGTAATACCCGGGTATTAGGTTATGGGGCTATGGTATAGTTTAAGGTTTTTGGCATTAGGTTTAAAATCACTGTCCAAAATCTTTGTAGGAACTCTTTTCCAACCTTTTGGAGTTGGTTAGACCAAAAAAAAAAGAAAAAATGAAAAAAAAATATTTGGGGTGTTCAGGCTTCCTAAAAGTAATACCCGGGTATTAGGTTATGGGGCTATGGTAAGGTTTAAGGCTTTTGGCATTAGGGTTAAAATCACTGTCCAAAACCTTTGAAGGAACTCTTTTCCAACCTTTTGGAGTTAGTTAGACCAAAAAAAAAAAGAAAAATAAAAAAATATATATTTGGGGTTTACGGACTTCCTGAATGTAATACCTGGGTATTAGATTTTAAGGCTAGGGTAAGGTTTAAGTTTTTTGGCGTTAGGGTTAAAATCACTGTCCAAAACCTTTGTAGGAACTTTTTTCCAACCTTTTGGAGTTAGTTAGACCAAAAAAAAAAGAAAAATGAAAAAAAAAAATTTGGGGTGTTCAGGCTCCCTTAAAGTAATACCTGGGTACTAGGTTATGGGGCTATGGTAAGGTTTAAGGTTTTTGGCGTTTGGGTAAAAATCACTGTCCAAAACCTTTGTAGGAACTCTTTTCCAACCTTTGTGAGTTAGTTAGACCAAAAAAAATGAAAAAAGAAAAAAAAATTATTGGGGGTTTTCGGGCTCCCTAAAAGTAATACCCGGGTATTAGGTTTTGGGACTAGGGAAAGGTTTAAGTTTTTTGGCGTTAGGGTTAAAATCACTGTCCAAAACCTTTGTAGGAACTCTTTTCCAACCTTTTGGAGTTAGTTAGACAAAAAAAAAAGAAAAATAAAAAAAAATATTTGGGGTGTTTAGGCTTCCTGAATGTAATACCCGGGTGGTAGATTTTAAGGCTAGGGTAAGGTTTAAGTTTTTTGGTGTTAGGGTTAAAATCACTGTCCAAAACCTTTGTAGGAACTCTTTTCCAACCTTTTGGAGGTAGTTAGACCAAAAAAAAAGAAAAATGAAAAAAAAAAATTTGGGGTGTTCAGGCTCCCTTAAAGTAATACCTGGGTACTAGGTTATGGGGCTATGGTAAGGTTTAAGGTTTTTGGCGTTTGGGTAAAAATCACTGTCCAAAACCTTTGTAGGAACTCTTTTCCAACCTTTGTGAGTTAGTTAGACCAAAAAAAATGAAAAAAGAAAAAAAAATTATTGGGGGTTTTCGGGCTCCCTAAAAGTAATACCCGGGTATTAGGTTTTGGGACTAGGGAAAGGTTTAAGTTTTTTGGCGTTAGGGTTAAAATCACTGTCCAAAACCTTTGTAGGAACTCTTTTCCAACCTTTTGGAGTTAGTTAGACCAAAAAAATAAGAAAAATGAAAAAAAATATTTGGGGTGTTCAGGCTTCCTAAAAGTAATACCCGGGTATTAGGTTATGGGGCTATGGTAAGGTTTAACGTTTTGGCGTTAGGTTTAAAATCACTGTCCAAAACCTTTGTAGGAACTCTTTTCCAACCTTTTGGAGTTAGACCAAAAAAAGAATGAAAAATGAAAAAAAAAATATTTGGGGTTTTCGGGCTTCCTTAATGTAATACCCGGGTATTAAGTTTTAAGGCCAGGGTAAGGTTTAAGTTTTTTGGCATTAGGGTTAAAATCACTGTCTAAAACCTTTGTAGGAACTCTTTTCCAACCTTTTGGATTTGGTTAGACCAAAAAAAAAGAAAAATGAAAGAAAAATATTTGGGGTGTTCAGACTTCCTAAAAGTATTAGGTTATGGGGCTATGGTAAGGTTTAAGGTTTTTGGCGTTAGGGTTAAAATCACTGTCCAAAACCTTTGTAGGAACTCTTTTCCAACCTTTTGGAGTTGGTTAGACAAAAAAAAATGTAAAATGAAAAAAAAAAATATTTGGGGTTTAAGGGCTTCCTGAAGGTAATACCCGGGTATTAGGTTTTGGGGCTAGGGTAAGGTTTAAGGTTTTTGGCATTAGGGTTAAAATCACTGTCCAAAACCTTGTAGGAACTATTTTCCAACCTTTTGGAGTTGGTTACACCAAAAAAAAATTAAAATGAAAAAAAAAATATTTGGGGTGTTCGGGCTTCCTGAAGGTAATACCCGGGTATTAGATTTTAAGGTTAGGGTAAGGTTTAAGGTTTTTGGCGTTAGGGTTAAAATCACTGTCCAAAACCTTTGTAGGAACTCTTTTCCAACCTTTTGGAGTTAGTTAGACCAAAAAAAAATGAAAAAAGAAAAAAAATATTTGGGGTTTTCGTGCTCCCTGAAAGTAATACCCGGGTATTAGGTTTTGGCACTAGGGAAAGGTTTAAGGTTTTTGGCGTTAGGGTTAAAATCACTGTCCAAAACCTTTGTAGGAACTCTTTTCCAACCTTTTAGAGTTAGACAAAAAAAAAAAATGTAAAATGAAAAAAAAATGTTTGGGGTTTTCGGGCTTCCTGAAGGTAATACCCGGGTATTAGGTTATGGGGCTATGGTATGGTTTAAGGTTTTTGGCATTAGGTCTAAAATCACTGTCCAAAACCTTTGTAGGAACTCTTTTCCAACCTTTTGGAGTTACTTAGACCAAAAAAATATGAAAAAGGAAAAAAAAATATTTGGGGTTTTCGGGCTTCCTGTGGTAATACCCGGGTATTAGATTTAAAGGCTATGGTAAGGTTTAAGGTTTTGGCGTTAGGGTTAAAATCACTGTCCAAAACCTTTGTAGGAACTCTTTTCCAACCTTTTGGAGTTAGTTAGACCAAAAAAAAATGAAAAAGAAAAAAAAATATTTGGGGGTTTTCGGGCTTCCTGAAAGTAATACCCGGGTATTAGGTTTTGGGACTAGGGTAAGGTTTAAGGTTTTTGGCGTTAGGGTTAAAATCACTGTCCAAAACCTTTGTAGGAACTCTTTTCCAACCTTTTGGAGTTAGTTAGACCAAAAAAAAATGAAAAATGAAAAAAAAATATTTGGGGTGTTCAGGCTTCCTAAAAGTAATACCCGGGTATTAGGTTTTGGGGCTATGGTAAGGTTTAAGGTTTTTGGCGTTAGGGTTAAAATCACTGTCCAAAACCTTTGTAGGAACTCTTTTCCAACCTTTTGGAGTTAGTTAGACCAAAAAATATGAAAAAGGAAAAAAAAATATTTGGGGTGTTCGGGCTTCCTGAAGGTAATACCCAGGTATTAGGTTATGGGGCTATGGTAAGGTTTAAGGTTTTTGGCATTAGGTTTAAAATCACTGTCCAAAACCTTTGTAGGAACTCTTTCCCAACCTTTTGGAGTTAGTTAGACCAAAAAAAAAAAAAGAAAAATGAAAAAAAAAATATTTGGGGTGTTCAGGCTTCCTAAAAGTAATACCCGGGTATTAGGTTATGGGGCTATGGTAAGGTTTAAAGTTTTTGGCATTAGGGTTAAAATCACTGTCCAAAACCTTTGTAGGAACTCTTTCCAAACCTTTTGGAGTTAGTTAGACCAAAAAAAAAAAAGAAAAATGAAAAAAAAATATTTGGGGTGTTCAGGCTTCCTAAAAGTAATACCCGGGTATTAGGTTATGGGGCTATGGTAAGGTTTAAGGTTTTTGGCATTAGGTTTAAAATCACTGTCCAAAACCTTTGTAGGAACTCTTTTCCAACCTTTTGGAGTTAGTTAGACCAAAAAAAAAAGAAAAATGAAAAAAAAATATTTGGGGTGTTCAGGCTTCCTAAAAGTAATACCCGGGTATTAGGTTATGGGGCTATGGTAAGGTTTAAGGCTTTTGGCATTAGGGTTAAAATCACTGTCCAAAACCTTTGTAGGAACTCTTTTCCAACCTTTTGGAGTTAGTTAGACCAAAAAAAAATGAAAAATAAAAAAATATATATTTAGGGTTTACGGGCTTCCTGAATGTAATACCTGGGTATTAGATTTTAAGGCTAGGGTAAGGTTTAAGTTTTTTGGCGTTAGGGTTAAAATCACTGTCCAAAACCTTTGTAGGAACTCTTTTCCAACCTTTTGGAGTTAGTTAGACCAAAAAAAAAAATGAAAAATGAAAAAAAAATATTTGGGGTGTTTAGGCTTCCTGAATGTAATACCCGGGTATTAGATTTTAAGGCTAGGGTAAGGTTTAAGTTTTTTGGCGTTAGGGTTAAAATCACTGTCCAAAACCTTTGTAGGAACTCTTTTCCAACCTTTTGGAGTTAGTTAGACCAAAAAAAAAAAAAAAAAAAAAAAAAAAATTTGGGGTGTTCAGGCTCCCTTAAAGTAATACCTGGGTACTAGGTTATGGGGCTATGGTAAGGTTTAAGGTTTTTGGCGTTTGGGTAAAAATCACTGTCCAAAACCTTTGTAGGAACTCTTTTCCAACCTTTGTGAGTTAGTTAGACCAAAAAAAATGAAAAAAGAAAAAAAAATATTTGGGGTTTTCGGGCTTCCTAAAAGTAATACCCGGGTATTAGGTTTTGGGCTAGGGTAAGGTTTAAGGTTTTTGGCGTTAGGGTTAAAGTCACTGTCCAAAACCTTTGTAGGAACTCTTTTCCAACCTTTTGGAGTTAGACCAAAAAAATAAGAAAAATGAAAAAAAAATATTTGGGGTGTTCAGGTTTCCTAAAAGTAATACCCGGGTATTAGGTTATGGGGCTATGGTAAGGTTTAACGTTTTGGCGTTAGGTTTAAAATCACTGTCCAAAACCTTTGTAGGAACTCTTTTCCAACCTTTTGGAGTTAGACCAAAAAAAGAATGAAAAATGAAAAAAAAAATATTTGGGGTTTTCGGGCTTCCTTAATGTAATACCCGGGTATTAAGTTTTAAGGCCAGGGTAAGGTTTAAGTTTTTTGGCGTTAGGGTTAAAATCACTGTCCAAAACCTTTGTAGGAACTCTTTTCCAACCTTTTGGATTTGGTTAGACCAAAAAAAAGAAAAATGAAAAAAAAATATTTGGGGTGTTCAGGCTTCCTAAAGTAATACCCGGGTATTAGGTTATGGGGCTATGGTAAGGTTTAAGGTTTTTGGCGTTAGGGTTAAAATCACTGTCCAAAACCTTTGTAGGAACTCTTTTCCAACCTTTTGGAGTTGGTTAGACAAAAAAAAAATGTAAAATGAAAAAAAAAATATTTGGGGTTTAAGGGCTTCCTGAAGGTAATACCCGGGTATTAGGTTTTGGGGCTAGGGTAAGGTTTAAGGTTTTTGGCATTAGGGTTAAAATCACTGTCCAAAACCTTTGTAGGAACTCTTTTCCAACCTTTTAGAGTTAGACCAAAAAAAAAAATGTAAAATGAAAAAAAAATGTTTGGGGTTTTCGGGCTTCCTGAAGGTAATACCCGGGTATTAGGTTATGGGGCTATGGTATGGTTTAAGGTATTTGGCATTAGGTCTAAAATCACTGTCCAAAACCTTTGTAGGAACTCTTTCCCAACCTTTTGGAGTTTGTTAGACCAAAAAAAAATGTCAAATGAAAAAAAAATGTTTGGGGTTTTCGGGCTTCCTGAAGGTAATACCCGGGTATTAGGTTATGGGGCTATGGTAAGGTTTAAGGTTTTTGGCGTTAGGGTTAAAATCACTGTCCAAAACCTTTGTAGGAACTCTTTTCCAACCTTTTGGAGTTACTTAGACCAAAAAAATATGAAAAAGGAAAAAAAAATATTTGGGGTTTTCGGGCTTCCTGTGGTAATACCCGGGTATTAGATTTAAAGGCTATGGTAAGGTTTAAGCTTAATGGCGTTAGGGTTAAAATCACTGTCCAAAACCTTTGTATGAACTCTTTTCCAACCTTTTGGAGTTAGACAAAAAAAAAAATGAAAAATGAAAAAAAAATATTTGGGGTGTTCAGGCTTCCTAAAAGTAATACCCGGGTATTAGGTTATGGGGCTATGGTAAGGTTTAAGGTTTTTGGCGTTAGGGTTAAAATCACTGTCCAAAACCTTTGTAGGAACTCTTTCCCAACCTTTTGGAGTTTGTTAGACCAAAAAAAATGTAAAATGAAAAAAAAATGTTTGGGGTTTTCGGGCTTCCTGAAGGTAATACCCGGGTATTAGGTTATGGGGCTATGGTAAGGTTTAAGGTTTTTGGCATTAGGTTTAAAATCACTGTCCAAAACCTTTGTAGGAACTCTTTTCCAACCTTTTGGAGTTAGTTAGACCAAAAAAATATGAAAAAGGAAAAAAAAATATTTGGGGTTTTCGGGCTTCCTGTGGTAATACCCGGGTATTAGATTTAAAGGCTATGGTAAGGTTTAAGCTTAATGGCGTTAGGGTTAAAATCACTGTCCAAAACCTTTGTAGGAACTCTTTTCCAACCTTTTGGAGTTACTTAGACCAAAAAAAAAAATGAAAAAAGAAAAAAAAATTATTGGGGGTTTTCGGGCTCCCTGAAAGTAATACCCGGGTATTAGGTTTTGGGACTAGGGAAAAGTTTAAGGTTTTTGGCGTTAGGGTTAAAATCACTGTCCAAAACCTTTGTAGGAACTCTTTTCCAACCTTTTGGAGTTAGTTAGACCAAAAAAAAATGAAAAATGAAAAAAAAATGTTTGGGGTGTTCAGGCTTCCTAAAAGTAATACCCGGGTATTAGGTTTTGGGGCTATGGTAAGGTTTAAGGTTTTTGGCGTTAGGGTTAAAATCACTGTCCAAAACCTTTGTAGGAACTCTTTTCCAACCTTTTGGAGTTAGTTAGACCAAAAAATATGAAAAAGGAAAAAAAAATATTTGGGGTTTTCGGGCTTCCTGAAGGTAATACCCGGGTATTAGGTTATGGGGCTATGGTAAGGTTTAAGGTTTTTGGCATTAGGGTTAAAATCACTGTCCAAAACCTTTGTAGGAACTCTTTTCCAACCTTTTGGAGTTAGTTAGACCAAAAAAAAAAATGAAAAATGAAAAAAAAAAATTTGGGGTGTTCAGGCTTCCTAAAAGTAATACCCGGGTATTAGGTTATGGGGCTATGGTAAGGTTTAAGGTTTTTGGCGTTAGGGTTAAAATCACTGTCCAAAACCTTTGTAGGAACTCTTTTCCAACCTTTTGGAGTTAGTTAGACCAAAAAATGTCTGAAAAATGAAAAAAAATTATTTGGGGTGTTCAGGCTTCCTAAAAGTAATACCCGGGTATTAGGTTATGGGGCTATGGTATGGTTTAAGGTTTTTGGCATTAGGTTTAAAATCACTGTCCAAAATCTTTGTAGGAACTCTTTTCCAACCTTTTGGAGTTGGTTAGACCAAAAAAAAAAAAAGGAAAAATGAAAAAAAAATATTTGGGGTGTTCAGGCTTCCTAAAAGTAATACCCGGGTATTAGGTTATGGGGCTATGGTAAGGTTTAAGGTTTTTGGCATTAGGGTTAAAATCACTGTCCAAAACCTTTGTAGGAACTCTTTTCCAACCTTTTGGAGTTAGTTAGACCAAAAAAAAATGAAAAATAAAAAAATATATATTTGGGGTTTACGGGCTTCCTGAATGTAATACCCGGGTATTAGATTTTAAGGCTAGGGTAAGGTTTAAGTTTTTTGGCGTTAGGGTTAAAATCACTGTCCAAAACCTTTGTAGGAACTCTTTTCCAACCTTTTGGAGTTAGTTAGACCAAAAAAAAAGAAAAATGAAAAAAAAAAATTTGGGGTGTTCAGGCTTCCTAAAGTAATACCCGGGTATTAGGTTATGGGGCTATGGTAAGGTTTAAGGTTTTTGGCGTTAGGGTTAAAATCACTGTCCAAAACCTTTGTAGGAACTCTTTTCCAACCTTTTGGAGTTAGTTAGACCAAAAAAAAATGAAAAAAAGAAAAAAAAATTATTGGGGGTTTTCGGGCTCCCTAAAAGTAATACCCGGGTATTAGGTTTTGGGACTAGGGAAAGGTTTAAGTTTTTTGGCGTTAGGGTTAAAATCACTGTCCAAAACCTTTGTAGGAACTCTTTTCCAACCTTTTGGAGTTGGTTAGACAAAAAAAAATGTAAAATGAAAAAAAAAAATATTTGGGGTTTAAGGGCTTCCTGAAGGTAATACCCGGGTATTAGGTTTTGGGGCTAGGGTAAGGTTTAAGGTTTTTGGCGTTAGGGTTAAAATCACTGTCCAAAACCTTTGTAGGAACTCTTTTCCAACCTTTTGGAGTTGTTTACACCAAAAAAAAATTAAAATGAAAAAAAAAATATTTGGGGTGTTCGGGCTTCCTGAAGGTAATACCCGGGTATTAGATTTTAAGGTTAGGGTAAGGTTTAAGGTTTTTGGCGTTAGGGTTAAAATCACTGTCCAAAACCTTTGTAGGAACTCTTTTCCAACCTTTTAGAGTTAGACAAAAAAAAAAAATGTAAAATGAAAAAAAAATGTTTGGGGTTTTCGGGCTTCCTGAAGGTAATACCCGGGTATTAGGTTATGGGGCTATGGTATGGTTTAAGGTTTTTGGCATTAGGTCTAAAATCACTGTCCAAAACCTTTGTAGGAACTCTTTTCCAACCTTTTGGAGTTAGTTAGACCAAAAAAAAATGTAAAATGAAAAAAAAATATTTGGGGTTTTCGGGCTTCCTGTGGTAATACCCGGGTATTAGATTTAAAGGCTATGGTAAGGTTTAAGCTTAATGGCGTTAGGGTTAAAATCACTGTCCAAAACCTTTGTAGGAACTCTTTTCCAACCTTTTGGAGTTAGTTAGACCAAAAAAAATGAAAAAGAAAAAAAAATTATTGGGGGTTTTCGGGCTCCCTGAAAGTAATACCCGGGTATTAGGTTTTGGGGCTAGGGTAAGGTTTAAGGTTTTTGGCGTTAGGGTTAAAATCACTGTCCAAAACCTTTGTAGGAACTCTTTTCCAACCTTTTGGAGTTAGTTAGACCAAAAAAAATGAAAAATGAAAAAAAAATATTTGGGGTGTTCAGGCTTCCTAAAAGTAATACCCGGGTATTAGGTTTTGGGGCTATGGTAAGGTTTAAGGTTTTTGGCGTTAGGGTTAAAATCACTGTCCAAAACCTTTGTAGGAACTCTTTTCCAACCTTTTGGAGTTAGTTAGACCAAAAAAAAATGAAAAATGAAAAAAAATATTTGGGGTTTTCGGGCTTCCTGAAGGTAATACCCAGGTATTAGGTTATGGGGCTATGGTAAGGTTTAAGGTTTTTGGCGTTAGGGTTAAAATCACTGTCCAAAACCTTTGTAGGAACTCGTTTCCAACCTTTTGGAGTTAGTTAGACCAAAAAAAAAAAAATGAAAAATGAAAAAAAAATATTTGGGGTGTTCAGGCTTCCTAAAAGTAATACCCGGGTATTAGGTTATGGGGCTATGGTAAGGTTTAAGGTTTTTGGCATTAGGGTTAAAATCACTGTCCAAAACCTTTGTAGGAACTCTTTCCCAACCTTTTGGAGTTAGTTAGACCAAAAAAAAAATGAAAAATGAAAAAAAATTATTTGGGGTGTTCAGGCTTCCTAAAAGTAATACCCGGGTATTAGGTTATGGGGCTATGGTAAGGTTTAAGGTTTTTGGCGTTAGGGTTAAAATCACTGTCCAAAACCTTTGTAGGAACTCTTTTCCAACCTTTTGGAGTTAGTTAGACCAAAAAAAAAAAAGGAAAAATGAAAAAAAAATATTTGGGGTGTTCAGGCTTCCTAAAAGTAATACCCGGGTATTAGGTTATGGGGCTATGGTAAGGTTTAAGGCTTTTGGCATTAGGGTTAAAATCACTGTCCAAAACCTTTGAAGGAACTCTTTTCCAACCTTTTGGAGTTAGTTAGACCAAAAAAAATGAAAAATAAAAAAATATATATTTGGGGTTACCCGGGCTTCCTGAATGTAATACCTGGGTATTAGATTTTAAGGCTAGGGTAAGGTTTAAGTTTTTTGGCGTTAGGGTTAAAATCACTGTCCAAAACCTTTGTAGGAACTTTTTTCCAACCTTTTGGAGTTAGTTAGACCAAAAAAAAAGAAAAATGAAAAAAAAATATTTGGGGTGTTTAGGCTTCCTGAATGTAATACCCGGGTGGTAGATTTTAAGGCTAGGGTAAGGTTTAAGTTTTTTGGTGTTAGGGTTAAAATCACTGTCCAAAACCTTTGTAGGAACTCTTTTCCAACCTTTTGGAGTTAGTTAGACCAAAAAGAGAAAGAAAAATGGACAAAAAAATATTTGGGGTGTTCAGGCTTCCTAAAAGTAATACCCGGGTATTAGGTTATGGGGCTATGGTAAGGTTTAAGGTTTTTGGCGTTAGGGTTAAAATCACTGTCCAAAACCTTTGTAGGAACTCTTTTCCAACCTTTTGGAGTTAGTTAGACCAAAAAAAATGAAAAAAGAAAAAAAAATTATTGGGGGTTTTCGGGCTCCCTAAAAGTAATACCCGGGTATTAGGTTTTGGGACTAGGGAAAGGTTTAAGTTTTTTGGCGTTAGGGTTAAAATCACTGTCCAAAACCTTTGTAGGAACTCTTTTCCAACCTTTTGGAGTTAGTTAGACCAAAAAAATAAGAAAAATGAAAAAAAAATATTTGGGGTGTTCAGGCTTCCTAAAAGTAATACCCGGGTATTAGGTTATGGGGCTATGGTAAGGTTTAACGTTTTGGCGTTAGGTTTAAAATCACTGTCCAAAACCTTTGTAGGAACTCTTTTCCAACCTTTTGGAGTTAGACCAAAAAAAAATGAAAAATGAAAAAAAAAATATTTGGGGTTTTCGGGCTTCCTTAATGTAATACCCGGGTATTAGATTTTAAGGCCAGGGTAAGGTTTAAGTTTTTTGGCATTAGGGTTAAAATCACTGTCCAAAACCTTTGTAGGAACTCTTTTCCAACCTTTTGGATTTGGTTAGACCAAAAAAAAAGAAAAATGAAAGAAAAATATTTGGGGTGTTCAGACTTCCTAAAAGTATTAGGTTATGGGGCTATGGTAAGGTTTAAGGTTTTTGGCGTTAGGGTTAAAATCACTGTCCAAAACCTTTGTAGGAACTCTTTTCCAACCTTTTGGAGTTAGTTAGACCAAAAAAAAATGAAAAATTAAAAAAAAATATTTGGGGTTTAAGGGCTTCCTGAAGGTAATACCCGGGTATTAGGTTTTGGGGCTAGGGTAAGGTTTAAGGTTTTTGGCATTAGGGTTAAAATCACTGTCCAAAACCTTGTAGGAACTATTTTCCAACCTTTTGGAGTTGGTTACACCAAAAAAAAATTAAAATGAAAAAAAAAATATTTGGGGTGTTCGGGCTTCCTGAAGGTAATACCCGGGTATTAGATTTTAAGGTTAGGGTAAGGTTTAAGGTTTTTGGCGTTAGGGTTAAAATCACTGTCCAAAACCTTTGTAGGAACTCTTTTCCAACCTTTTGGAGTTAGTTAGACCAAAAAAAATGAAAAAAGAAAAAAAATATTTGGGGTTTTCGTGCTCCCTGAAAGTAATACCCGGGTATTAGGTTTTGGCACTAGGGAAAGGTTTAAGGTTTTTGGCGTTAGGGTTAAAATCACTGTCCAAAACCTTTGTAGGAACTCTTTTCCAACCTTTTGGAGTTAGTTAGACCAAAAAAAAATGTAAAATGAAAAAAAAATGTTTGGGGTTTTCAGGCTTCCTGAAGGTAATACCCGGGTATTAGGTTATGGGGCTATGGTAAGGTTTAAGGTTTTTGGCATTAGGGTTAAAATCACTGTCCAAAACCTTTGTAGGAACTCTTTTCCAACCTTTTGGAGTTTGTTAGACCAAAAAAAAAATGTAAAATGAAAAAGAAATATTTGGGGTTTTCGGGCTTCCTGAAGGTAATATCCGGGTATTAGGTTATGGGGCTATGGTAAGGTTTAAGGTTTTTGGCGTTAGGGTTAAAATCACTGTCCAAAACCTTTGTAGGAACTCTTTTCCAACCTTTTGGAGTTAGTTAGACCAAAAAAAATGAAAAAAGAAAAAAAATATTTGGGGTTTTCGTGCTCCCTGAAAGTAATACCCGGGTATTAGGTTTTGGCACTAGGGAAAGGTTTAAGGTTTTTGGCGTTAGGGTTAAAATCACTGTCCAAAACCTTTGTAGGAACTCTTTTCCAACCTTTTAGAGTTAGACAAAAAAAAAATGTAAAATGAAAAAAAAATGTTTGGGGTTTTCGGGCTTCCTGAAGGTAATACCCGGGTATTAGGTTATGGGGCTATGGTATGGTTTAAGGTTTTTGGCATTAGGTCTAAAATCACTGTCCAAAACCTTTGTAGGAACTCTTTTCCAACCTTTTGGAGTTACTTAGACCAAAAAAATATGAAAAAGGAAAAAAAAATATTTGGGGTTTTCGGGCTTCCTGTGGTAATACCCGGGTATTAGATTTAAAGGCTATGGTAAGGTTTAAGCTTAATGGCGTTAGGGTTAAAATCACTGTCCAAAACCTTTGTAGGAACTCTTTTCCAAACTTTTGGAGTTACTTAGACCAAAAAAAAAAATGAAAAAAGAAAAAAAAATTATTGGGGGTTTTCGGGCTCCCTGAAAGTAATACCCGGGTATTAGGTTTTGGGACTAGGGAAAAGTTTAAGGTTTTTGGCGTTAGGGTTAAAATCACTGTCCAAAACCTTTGTATGAACTCTTTTCTAACCTTTTGGAGTTAGTTAGACCAAAAAAAAATGAAAAATGAAAAAAAAATATTTGGGGTGTTCAGGCTTCCTAAAAGTAATACCCCAGTATTAGGTTTTGGGGCTATGGTAAGGTTTAAGGTTTTTGGCGTTAGGGTTAAAATCACTGTCCAAAACCTTTGTAGGAACTCTTTTCCAACCTTTTGGAGTTACTTAGACCAAAAAATATGAAAAAGGAAAAAAAAATATTTGGGGTTTTCGGGCTTCCTGAAGGTAATACCCAGGTATTAGGTTATGGGGCTATGGTAAGGTTTAAGGTTTTTGGCATTAGGTTTAAAATCACTGTCCAAAACCTTTGTAGGAACTCTTTCCCAACCTTTTGGAGTTAGTTAGACCAAAAAAAAAATGAAAAATGAAAAAAAAATATTTGGGGTGTTCAGGCTTCCTAAAAGTAATACCCGGGTATTAGGTTATGGGGCTATGGTAAGGTTTAAAGTTTTTGGCATTAGGGTTAAAATCACTGTCCAAAACCTTTGTAGGAACTCTTTCCCAACCTTTTGGAGTTAGTTAGACCAAAAAAAAAAAAGAAAAATGAAAAAAAAATATTTGGGGTGTTCAGGCTTCCTAAAAGTAATACCCGGGTATTAGGTTATGGGGCTATGGTATGGTTTAAGGTTTTTGGCATTAGGTTTAAAATCACTGTCCAAAATCTTTGTAGGAACTCTTTTCCAACCTTTTGGAGTTGGTTAGACCAAAAAAAAAGAAAAATGAAAAAAAAATATTTGGGGTGTTCAGGCTTCCTAAAAGTAATACCCGGGTATTAGGTTATGGGGCTATGGTAAGGTTTAAGGCTTTTGGCATTAGGGTTAAAATCACTGTCCAAAACCTTTGAAGGAACTCTTTTCCAACCTTTTGGAATTAGTTAGACCAAAAAAAAATGAAAAATAAAAAAATATATATTTAGGGTTTACGGGCTTCCTGAATGTAATACCTGGGTATTAGATTTTAAGGCTAGGGTAAGGTTTAAGTTTTTTGGCGTTAGGGTTAAAATCACTGTCCAAAACCTTTGTAGGAACTTTTTTCCAACCTTTTGGAGTTAGTTAGACCAAAAAAAAAGAAAAATGAAAAAGGAAAAAAAATATTTGGGGTGTTTAGGCTTCCTGAATGTATTACCCGGGTGGTAGATTTTAAGGCTAGGGTAAGGTTTAAGTTTTTTGGTGTTAGGGTTAAAATCACTGTCCAAAACCTTTGTAGGAACTCTTTTCCAACCTTTTGGAGGTAGTTAGACCAAAAAAAAAAGAAAAATGAAAAAAAAAAATTTGGGGTGTTCAGGCTCCCTTAAAGTAATACCTGGGTACTAGGTTATGGGGCTATGGTAAGGTTTAAGGTTTTTGGCGTTTGGGTAAAAATCACTGTCCAAAACCTTTGTAGGAACTCTTTTCCAACCTTTGTGAGTTAGTTAGACCAAAAAAAATGAAAAAAGAAAAAAAAATTATTGGGGGTTTTCGGGCTCCCTAAAAGTAATACCCGGGTATTAGGTTTTGGGACTAGGGAAAGGTTTAAGTTTTTTGGCGTTAGGGTTAAAATCACTGTCCAAAACCTTTGTAGGAACTCTTTTCCAACCTTTTGGAGTTAGACCAAAAAAATAAGAAAAATGAAAAAAAAATATTTGGGGTGTTCAGGTTTCCTAAAAGTAATACCCGGGTATTAGGTTATGGGGCTATGGTAAGGTTTAACGTTTTGGCGTTAGGTTTAAAATCACTGTCCAAAACCTTTGTAGGAACTCTTTTCCAACCTTTTGGAGTTAGACCAAAAAAAGAATGAAAAATGAAAAAAAAAATATTTGGGGTTTTCGGGCTTCCTTAATGTAATACCCGGGTATTAAGTTTTAAGGCCAGGGTAAGGTTTAAGTTTTTTGGCATTAGGGTTAAAATCACTGTCTAAAACCTTTGTAGGAACTCTTTTCCAACCTTTTGGATTTGGTTAGACCAAAAAAAAAGAAAAATGAAAGAAAAATATTTGGGGTGTTCAGACTTCCTAAAAGTATTAGGTTATGGGGCTATGGTAAGGTTTAAGGTTTTTGGCGTTAGGGTTAAAATCACTGTCCAAAACCTTTGTAGGAACTCTTTTCCAACCTTTTGGAGTTGGTTAGACAAAAAAAAAAAAGTAAAATGAAAAAAAAAATATTTGGGGTTTAAGGGCTTCCTGAAGGTAATACCCGGGTATTAGGTTTTGGGGCTAGGGTAAGGTTTAAGGTTTTTGGCATTAGGGTTAAAATCACTGTCCAAAACCTTGTAGGAACTCTTTTCCAACCTTTTAGAGTTAGACAAAAAAAAAAAATGTAAAATGAAAAAAAAATGTTTGGGGTTTTCGGGCTTCCTGAAGGTAATACCCGGGTATTAGGTTATGGGGCTATGGTATGGTTTAAGGTTTTTGGCATTAGGTCTAAAATCACTGTCCAAAACCTTTGTAGGAACTCTTTCCCAACCTTTTGGAGTTTGTTAGACCAAAAAAAAATGTCAAATGAAAAAAAAATGTTTGGGGTTTTCGGGCTTCCTGAAGGTAATACCCGGGTATTAGGTTATGGGGCTATGGTATGGTTTAAGGTTTTTGGCATTAGGTCTAAAATCACTGTCCAAAACCTTTGTATGAACTCTTTTCCAACCTTTTGGAGTTACTTAGACCAAAAAAATATGAAAAAGGAAAAAAAAATATTTGGGGTTTTCGGGCTTCCTGTGGTAATACCCGGGTATTAGATTTAAAGGCTATGGTAAGGTTTAAGCTTAATGGCGTTAGGGTTAAAATCACTGTCCAAAACCTTTGTATGAACTCTTTTCCAACCTTTTGGAGTTAGACAAAAAAAAAAATGAAAAATGAAAAAAAAATATTTAGTGTTCAGGGTTCCTAAAAGTAATACCCGGGTATTAGGTTATGGGGCTATGGTATGGTTTAAGGTTTTTGGCATTAGGTCTAAAATCACTGTCCAAAACCTTTGTAGGAACTCTTTCCCAACCTTTTGGAGTTTGTTAGACCAAAAAAAATGTAAAATGAAAAAAAAATGTTTGGGGTTTTCGGGCTTCCTGAAGGTAATACCCGGGTATTAGGTTATGGGGCTATGGTAAGGTTTAAGGTTTTTGGCGTTAGGGTTAAAATCACTGTCCAAAACCTTTGTAGGAACTCTTTTCCAACCTTTTGGAGTTACTTAGACCAAAAAAATATGAAAAAGGAAAAAAAAATATTTGGGGTTTTCGGGCTTCCTGTGGTAATACCCGGGTATTAGGATTTAAAGGCTATGGTAAGGTTTAAGCTTAATGGCGTTAGGGTTAAAATCACTGTCCAAAACCTTTGTAGGAACTCTTTTCCAAACTTTTGGAGTTACTTAGACCAAAAAAAAAAATGAAAAAAGAAAAAAAAATTATTGGGGGTTTTCGGGCTCCCTGAAAGTAATACCCGGGTATTAGGTTTTGGGACTAGGGAAAAGTTTAAGGTTTTTGGCGTCAGGGTTAAAATCACTGTCCAAAACCTTTGTATGAACTCTTTTCTAACCTTTTGGAGTTAGTTAGACCAAAAAAAAATGAAAAATGAAAAAAAAATGTTTGGGGTGTTCAGGCTTCCTAAAAGTAATACCCCGGTATTAGGTTTTGGGGCTATGGTAAGGTTTAAGGTTTTTGGCGTTAGGGTTAAAATCACTGTCCAAAACCTTTGTAGGAACTCTTTTCCAACCTTTTGGAGTTACTTAGACCAAAAAATATGAAAAAGGAAAAAAAAATATTTGGGGTTTTCGGGCTTCCTGAGGTAATACCCAGGTATTAGGTTATGGGGCTATGGTAAGGTTTAAGGTTTTTGGCATTAGGGTTTAAAATCACTGTCCAAAACCTTTGTAGGAACTCTTTCCCAACCTTTTGGAGTTAGTTAGACCAAAAAAAAAAATAAAAAATGAAAAAAAAAATTTGGGGTGTTCAGGCTTCCTAAAAGTAATACCCGGGTATTAGGTTATGGGGCTATGGTAAGGTTTAAGGTTTTTGGCATTAGGGTTAAAATCACTGTCCAAAACCTTTGTAGGAACTCTTTTCCAACCTTTTGGAGTTAGTTAGACCAAAAAAAAAATGAAAAATGAAAAAAAAATATTTGGGGTGTTCAGGCTTCCTAAAAGTAATACCCGGGTATTAGGTTATGGGGCTATGGTAAGGTTTAAGGTTTTTGGCATTAGGTTTAAAATCACTGTCCAAAACCTTTGTAGGAACTCTTTTCCAACCTTTTGGAGTTGGTTAGACCAAAAAAAAAAAAAAGGAAAATGAAAAAAAAATATTTGGGGTGTTCAGGCTTCCTAAAAGTAATACCCGGGTATTAGGTTATGGGGCTATGGTAAGGTTTAAGGTTTTTGGCATTAGGGTTAAAATCACTGTCCAAAACCTTTGAAGGAACTCTTTTCCAACCTTTTGGAGTTAGTTAGACCAAAAAAAATGAAAAAAAAAAAAATATATTTGGGGTTTTCGGGCTTCCTGAATGTAATACCCGGGTATTAGATTTTAAGGCTAGGGTAAGGTTTAAGTTTTTTGGCGTTAGGGTTAAAATCACTGTCCAAAACCTTTGTAGGAACTCTTTTCCAACCTTTTGGAGTTAGTTAGACCAAAAAAAAAAGAAAAATGAAAAAAAAAAATTTGGGGTGTTCAGGCTCCCTTAAAGTAATACCTGGGTACTAGGTTATGGGGCTATGGTAAGGTTTAAGGTTTTTGGCGTTAGGGTTAAAATCACTGTCCAAAACCTTTGTAGGAACTCTTTTCCAACCTTTTGGAGTTAGTTAGACCAAAAAAAAAAATGAAAAAATAAAAAAAAATATTTGGGGTGTTCGGGCTTCCTGAATGTAATACCCGGGTATTAGGTTTTGGGCTAGGGAAAGGTTTAAGTTTTTTGGCGTTAGGGTTAAAATCACTGTCCAAAACCTTTGTAGGAACTCTTTTCCAACCTTTTGGAGTTGGTTAGACCAAAAAAAAAATGTAAAATGAAAAAAAAAATATTTGGGGTGTTCAGGCTTCCTGAAGGTAATACCCGGGTATTAGGTTATGGGGCTATGGTAAGGTTTAAGGTTTTTGGCATTAGGGTTAAAATCACTGTCCAAAACCTTTGTAGGAACTCTTTTCCAACCTTTTGGAGTTAGTTAGACCAAAAAAAAAGAAAATGAAAAAAAAATATTTGGGGTGTTCGGGCTTCCTGAAGTAATACCCGGGTATTAGATTTTAAGGCTAGGGTAAGGTTTAAGGTTTTTGGCGTTAGGGTTAAAATCACTGTCCAAAACCTTTGTAGGAACTCTTTTCCAACCTTTTGGAGTTGTTAGACCAAAAAAAAAATGTAAAATGAAAAAAAAATATTTGGGGTTTTCGGGCTTCCTGAAGGTAATACCCGGGTATTAGGTTATGGGGCTATGGTAAGGTTTAAGGTTTTTGGCATTAGGGTTAAAATCACTGTCCAAAACCTTTGTAGGAACTCTTTTCCAACCTTTTGGAGTTAGTTAGACCAAAAAAAATGAAAAATGAAAAAAAAATATTTGGGGTTTTCGGGCTTCCTGAAGTAATACCCGGGTATTAGATTTAAAGGCTATGGTAAGGTTTAAGTTTTTGGCGTTAGGGTTAAAATCACTGTCCAAAACCTTTGTAGGAACTCTTTTCCAACCTTTTGGAGTTACTTAGACCAAAAAAAAAATGAAAAAAGAAAAAAAAATTATTGGGGGTTTTCGGGCTTCCTGAAAGTAATACCCGGGTATTAGGTTATGGGGCTAGGGTAAGGTTTAAGGTTTTTGGCGTTAGGGTTAAAATCACTGTCCAAAACCTTTGTAGGAACTCTTTTCCAACCTTTTGGAGTTAGTTAGACCAAAAAAAAATGAAAAATGAAAAAAAAATATTTGGGGTGTTCAGGCTTCCTAAAAGTAATACCCCGGTATTAGGTTTTGGGGCTATGGTAAGGTTTAAGGTTTTTGGCGTTAGGGTTAAAATCACTGTCCAAAACCTTTGTAGGAACTCTTTTCCAACCTTTTGGAGTTACTTAGACCAAAAAATATGAAAAAGGAAAAAAAAATATTTGGGGTTTTCGGGCTTCCTGAAGGTAATACCCGGGTATTAGGTTATGGGGCTATGGTAAGGTTTAAGGTTTTTGGCGTTAGGGTTAAAATCACTGTCCAAAACCTTTGTAGGAACTCTTTTCCAACCTTTTGGAGTTAGTTAGACCAAAAAAAAATGAAAAATGAAAAAAAAATATTTGGGGTGTTCAGGCTTCCTAAAAGTAATACCCGGGTATTAGGTTATGGGGCTATGGTAAGGTTTAAGTTTTTGGCATTAGGGTTAAAATCACTGTCCAAAACCTTTGTAGGAACTCTTTTCCAACCTTTTGGAGTTAGTTAGACCAAAAAAAAAAGAAAAATGAAAAAAAAATATTTGGGGTGTTCAGGCTTCCTAAAAGTAATACCCGGGTATTAGGTTATGGGGCTATGGTAAGGTTTAAGGTTTTTGGCATTAGGTTTAAAATCACTGTCCAAAATCTTTGTAGGAACTCTTTTCCAACCTTTTGGAGTTGGTTAGACCAAAAAAAAAAAAGGAAAAATGAAAAAAAAATATTTGGGGTGTTCAGGCTTCCTAAAAGTAATACCCGGGTATTAGGTTATGGGGCTATGGTAAGGTTTAAGGTTTTTGGCATTAGGGTTAAAATCACTGTCCAAAACCTTTGTAGGAACTCTTTTCCAACCTTTTGGAGTTAGTTAGACCAAAAAAAAATGAAAAATAAAAAAAAAATATTTGGGGTTTTCGGGCTTCCTGAATGTAACCTGGGTATTAGATTTTAAGGCTAGGGTAAGGTTTAAGGTTTTTGGCGTTAGGGTTAAAATCACTGTCCAAAACCTTTGTAGGAACTTTTTTCCAACCTTTTGGAGTTAGTTAGACCAAAAAAAAAGAAAAATGAAAAAAAAATATTTGGGGTGTTTAGGCTTCCTGAATGTAATACCCGGGTGGTAGATTTTAAGGCTAGGGTAAGGTTTAAGGTTTTTGGCGTTAGGGTTAAAATCACTGTCCAAAACCTTTGTAGGAACTCTTTTCCAACCTTTTGGAGTTAGTTAGACCAAAAAAAAAAAAAAAATGAAAAAAAAAAATTTGGGGTGTTCAGGCTCCCTTAAAGTAATACCCGGGTATTAGGTTATGGGGCTATGGTAAGGTTTAAGGTTTTTGGCGTTAGGGTTAAAATCACTGTCCAAAACCTTTGTAGGAACTCTTTTCCAACCTTTGTGAGTTAGTTAGACCAAAAAAAATGAAAAAAGAAAAAAAAATTATTGGGGGTTTTCGGGCTCCCTAAAAGTAATACCCGGGTATTAGGTTTTGGGACTAGGGAAAGGTTTAAGTTTTTTGGCGTTAGGGTTAAAATCACTGTCCAAAACCTTTGTAGGAACTCTTTTCCAACCTTTTGGAGTTAGTTAGACCAAAAAAATAAGAAAAATGAAAAAAAAATATTTGGGGTGTTCAGGCTTCCTAAAAGTAATACCCGGGTATTAGGTTATGGGGCTATGGTAAGGTTTAACGTTTTGGCGTTAGGGTTTAAAATCACTGTCCAAAACCTTTGTAGGAACTCTTTTCCAACCTTTTGGAGTTAGACCAAAAAAAGAATGAAAAATGAAAAAAAAAATATTTGGGGTTTTCGGGCTTCCTGAATGTAATACCCGGGTATTAGATTTTAAGGCCAGGGTAAGGTTTAAGTTTTTGGCATTAGGGTTAAAATCACTGTCCAAAACCTTTGTAGGAACTCTTTTCCAACCTTTTGGAGTTGGTTAGACCAAAAAAAAGAAAAATGAAAAAAAATATTTGGGGTGTTCAGGCTTCCTAAAAGTAATACCCGGTTTATGGGGCTATGGTAAGGTTTAAGGTTTTTGGCGTTAGGGTTAAAATCACTGTCCAAAACCTTTGTAGGAACTCTTTTCCAACCTTTTGGAGTTGGTTAGACAAAAAAAAATGTAAAATGAAAAAAAAAAATATTTGGGGTTTCGGGCTTCCTGAAGGTAATACCCGGGTATTAGGTTTTGGGGCTAGGGTAAGGTTTAAGGTTTTTGGCATTAGGGTTAAAATCACTGTCCAAAACCTTTGTAGGAACTCTTTTCCAACCTTTTGGAGTTGGTTAGACCAAAAAAAAATTAAAATGAAAAAAAAAATATTTGGGGTGTTCGGGCTTCCTGAAGGTAATACCCGGGTATTAGATTTTAAGGTTAGGGTAAGGTTTAAGGTTTTTGGCGTTAGGGTTAAAATCACTGTCCAAAACCTTTGTAGGAACTCTTTTCCAACCTTTTGGAGTTAGTTAGACCAAAAAAAAAAAAGAAAAAAAAATATTTGGGGTTTTCGTGCTCCCTGAAAGTAATACCCGGGTATTAGGTTTTGGCACTAGGGAAAGGTTTAAAGTTTTTGGCATTAGCGTTAAAATCACTGTCCAAAACCTTTGTAGGAACTCTTTCCCAACCTTTTGGAGTTTGTTAGACCAAAAAAAAATGTAAAATGAAAAAAAAAAAAAATGTTTGGGGTTTTCAGGCTTCCTGAAGGTAATTCCCGGGTATTAGGTTATGGGGCTATGGTAAGGTTTAAGGTTTTTGGCATTAGGTTAAAATCACTGTCCAAAACCTTTGTAGGAACTCTTTCCCAACCTTTTGGAGTTTGTTAGACAAAAAAAAAAATGTAAAATGAAAAAAAAAAATATTTGGGGTGTTCGGGCTTCCTGAAGGTAATACCCGGGTATTAGGTTATGGGGCTATGGTAAGGTTTAAGGTTTTTGGCATTAGGGTTAAAATCACTGTCCAAAACCTTTGTAGGAACTCTTTTCCAACCTTTTGGAGTTACTTAGACCAAAAAAATATGAAAAAGGAAAAAAAAATATTTGGGGTTTTCGGGCTTCCTGTGGTAATACCCGGGTATTAGATTTAAAGGCTATGGTAAGGTTTAAGTTTTATGGCGTTAGGGTTAAAATCACTGTCCAAAACCTTTGTAGGAACTCTTTTCCAACCTTTTGGAGTTACTTAGACCAAAAAAAAAATGAAAAAAGAAAAAAAAAATATTGGGGGTTTTCGGGCTTCCTGGAAGTAATACCCGGGTATTAAGTTTTGGGGCTAGAAAAAGGTTTAAGGTTTTTGGCGTTAGGGTTAAAATCACTGTCCAAAACCTTTGTAGGAACTCTTTTCCAACCTTTTGGAGTTAGTTAGACCAAAAAAAAATGAAAAATGAAAAAAAAATATTTGGGGTGTTCAGGCTTCCTAAAAGTAATACCCGGGTATTAGGTTTTGGGGCTATGGTAAGGTTTAAGGTTTTTGGCGTTAGGGTTAAAATCACTGTCCAAAACCTTTGTAGGAACTCTTTTCCAACCTTTTGGAGTTACTTAGACCAAAAAAAAAATGAAAAAGGAAAAAAAAATATTTGGGGTTTTTCGGGCTTCCTGAAGGTAATACCCGGGTATTAGGTTATGGGGCTATGGTAAGGTTTTAGGTTTTTGGCATTAGGGTTAAAATCACTGTCCAAAACCTTTGTAGGAACTCTTTTCCAACCTTTTGGAGTTAGTTAGACCAAAAAAAAAATGAAAAATGAAAAAAAAATATTTGGGGTGTTTCGGCTTCCTGAAGGTAATACCCGGGTATTAGGTTATGGGGCTATGGTAAGGTTTAAAGTTTTTGGCATTAGGGTTAAAATCACTGTCCAAAACCTTTGTAGGAACTCTTTCCCAACCTTTTGGAGTTAGTTAGACCAAAAAAAAAAAAAGAAAAATGAAAAAAAATATTTGGGGTGTTCAGGCTTCCTAAAAGTAATACCCGGGTATTAGGTTATGGGGCTATGGTATGGTTTAAGGTTTTTGGCATTAGGTTTAAAATCACTGTCCAAAACCTTTGTAGGAACTCTTTTCCAACCTTTTGGAGTTAGTTAGACCAAAAAAAAAAGAAAAATGAAAAAAAAATATTTGGGGTGTTCAGGCTTCCTAAAAGTAATACCCGGGTATTAGGTTATGGGGCTATGGTAAGGTTTAAGGTTTTTGGCGTTAGGGTTAAAATCACTGTCCAAAACCTTTGTAGGAACTCTTTTCCAACCTTTTGGAGTTAGTTAGACCAAAAAAAAATGAAAAATAAAAAAATATATATTTAGGGTTTACGGGCTTCCTGAAGGTAATACCCGGGTATTAGATTTTAAGGCTAGGGTAAGGTTTAAGTTTTTTGGCGTTAGGGTTAAAATCACTGTCCAAAACCTTTGTAGGAACTTTTTCCAACCTTTTGGAGTTAGTTAGACCAAAAAAAAAGAAAAATGAAAAAAAAATATTTGGGGTGTTTAGGCTTCCTGAATGTAATACCCGGGTATTAGGTTATGGGGCTAGGGTAAGGTTTAAGGTTTTTGGCGTTAGGGTTAAAATCACTGTCCAAAACCTTTGTAGGAACTCTTTTCCAACCTTTTGGAGTTAGTTAGACCAAAAAAAAAGAAAAATGAAAAAAAAAAAATTTGGGGTGTTCAGGCTCCTTAAAGTAATACCCGGGTATTAGGTTATGGGGCTATGGTAAGGTTTAAGGTTTTTGGCGTTAGGGTTAAAATCACTGTCCAAAACCTTTGTAGGAACTCTTTTCCAACCTTTGGAGTTAGTTAGACCAAAAAAAATGAAAAAAGAAAAAAAAATTATTGGGGGTTTTCGGGCTTCCTAAAAGTAATACCCGGGTATTAGGTTTTGGGACTAGGGAAAGGTTTAAGGTTTTTGGCGTTAGGGTTAAAATCACTGTCCAAAACCTTTGTAGGAACTCTTTTCCAACCTTTTGGAGTTAGTTACCAAAAAAAAAAGAAAAATGAAAAAAAAATATTTGGGGTGTTCAGGCTTCCTAAAAGTAATACCCGGGTATTAGGTTATGGGGCTATGGTAAGGTTTAACGTTTTGGCGTTAGGTTTAAAATCACTGTCCAAAACCTTTGTAGGAACTCTTTTCCAACCTTTTGGAGTTAGTTACCAAAAAAAGAATGAAAAATGAAAAAAAAAATATTTGGGGTTTTCGGGCTTCCTTAATGTAATACCCGGGTATTAGTTTTAAGGCCAGGGTAAGGTTTAAGTTTTTTGGCATTAGGGTTAAAATCACTGTCCAAAACCTTTGTAGGAACTCTTTTCCAACCTTTTGGAGTTGGTTAGACCAAAAAAAAAGAAAAATGAAAAAAAAATATTTGGGGTGTTCAGGCTTCCTAAAATACCCGTATTAGGTTATGGGGCTATGGTAAGGTTTAAGGTTTTTGGCGTTAGGGTTAAAATCACTGTCCAAAACCTTTGTAGGAACTCTTTTCCAACCTTTTGGAGTTAGTTAGACCAAAAAAAAATGTAAAATGAAAAAAAAAATATTTGGGGTGTTCAGGCTTCCTGAATGTAATACCCGGGTATTAGGTTTTGGGGCTAGGGTAAGGTTTAAGGTTTTTGACATTAGGGTTAAAATCACTGTCCAAAACCTTTGTAGGAACTCTTTTCCAACCTTTTGGAGTTGGTTACACCAAAAAAAAATTAAAATGAAAAAAAAATATTTGGGGTGTTCGGGCTTCCTGAAGGTAATACCCGGGTATTAGGTTATGGGGCTATGGTAAGGTTTAAGGTTTTTGGCGTTAGGGTTAAAATCACTGTCCAAAACCTTTGTAGGAACTCTTTTCCAACCTTTTGGAGTTAGTTAGACCAAAAAAAATGAAAAAAGAAAAAAAAATATTTGGGGTTTTCGGGCTTCCTGAAAGTAATACCGGTATTAGGTTTTGGGCTAGGGAAAGGTTTAAGGTTTTTGGCGTTAGGGTTAAAATCACTGTCCAAAACCTTTGTAGGAACTCTTTTCCAACCTTTTGAGTTGTTAGACAAAAAAAAAATGTAAAATGAAAAAAAAATGTTTGGGGTTTTCGGGCTTCCTGAAGGTAATACCCGGGTATTAGATTATGGGGCTATGGTAAGGTTTAAGGTTTTTGGCATTAGGGTTAAAATCACTGTCCAAAACCTTTGTAGGAACTCTTTTCCAACCTTTTGGAGTTTGTTAGACCAAAAAAAAATGTAAAATGAAAAAAAAATGTTTGGGGTTTTCGGGCTTCCTGAAGGTAATACCCGGGTATTAGGTTATGGGGCTATGGTAAGGTTTAAGGTTTTTGGCATTAGGGTTAAAATCACTGTCCAAAACCTTTGTAGGAACTCTTTTCCAACCTTTTGGAGTTACTTAGACCAAAAAAATATGAAAAAGGAAAAAAAATATATTTGGGGTGTTCGGGCTTCCTGTGGTAATACCCGGGTATTAGATTTAAAGGCTATGGTAAGGTTTAAGCTTTTTGGCGTTAGGGTTAAAATCACTGTCCAAAACCTTTGTATGAACTCTTTTCCAACCTTTTGGAGTTAGACAAAAAAAAAAAATGTAAAATGAAAAAAAAATGTTTGGGGTTTTCGGGCTTCCTGAAGGTAATACCCGGGTATTAGGTTATGGGACTATGGTAAGGTTTAAGGTTTTTGGCATTAGGGTTAAAATCACTGTCCAAAACCTTTGTAGGAACTCTTTCCCAACCTTTTGGAGTTTGTTAGACCAAAAAAAAATGTAAAATGAAAAAAAAATGTTTGGGGTTTTCGGGCTTCCTGAAGGTAATACCCGGGTATTAGGTTATGGGGCTATGGTATGGTTTAAGGTTTTTGGCATTAGGTTTAAAATCACTGTCCAAAACCTTTGTAGGAACTCTTTTCCAACCTTTTGGAGTTAGTTAGACCAAAAAAATATGAAAAAGAAAAAAAAAATATTTGGGGTTTTCGGGCTTCCTGAAGGTAATACCCGGGTATTAGGTTATGGGGCTATGGTAAGGTTTAAGCTTAATGGCGTTAGGGTTAAAATCACTGTCCAAAACCTTTGTAGGAACTCTTTTCCAACCTTTTGGAGTTAGTTAGACCAAAAAAAAAAAAAAAAGAAAAAAAAAATTTTGGGGGTTTTCGGGCTTCCTGGAAGTAATACCCCAGTATTAAGTTTTGGGGCTAGAAAAAGGTTTAAGGTTTTTGGCGTTAGGGTTAAAATCACTGTCCAAAACCTTTGTAGGAACTCTTTTCCAACCTTTTGGAGTTAGTTAGACCAAAAAAAAAATGAAAAATGAAAAAAAATATTTGGGGTGTTCAGGCTTCCTAAAAGTAATACCCGGGTATTAGGTTTTGGGGCTAGGGTATGGTTTAAGTTTTCTGGCGTTAGGGTTAAAATCACTGTCCAAAACCTTTGTAGGAACTCTTTTCCAACCTTTTGGAGTTACTTAGACCAAAAAATATGAAAAAAGAAAAAAAAATATTTGGGGTTTTCTGGCTTCCTGAAGGTAATACCCAGGTATTAGGTTATGGGGCTATGGTAAGGTTTAAGGTTTTTGGCGTTAGGGTTAAAATCACTGTCCAAAACCTTTGTAGGAACTCTTTTCCAACCTTTTGGAGTTAGTTAGACCAAAAAAAAAAAAAATGAAAAATGAAAAAAAAATATTTGGGGTGTTCAGGCTTCCTAAAAGTAATACCCGGGTATTAGGTTATGGGGCTATGGTAAGGTTTAAGGTTTTTGGCATTAGGTTTAAAATCACTGTCCAAAACCTTTGTAGGAACTCTTTTCCAACCTTTTGGAGTTAGTTAGACCAAAAAAAAAAAGAAAAATGAAAAAAAAATATTTGGGGTGTTCAGGCTTCCTAAAAGTAATACCCGGGTATTAGGTTATGGGGCTATGGTAAGGTTTAAGGTTTTTGGCATTAGGGTTAAAATCACTGTCCAAAACCTTTGTAGGAACTCTTTTCCAACCTTTTGGAGTTAGTTAGACCAAAAAAAAAAGAAAAATGAAAAAAAATATATTTGGGGTTTCGGCTTCCTGAATGTAATACCCGGGTATTAGATTTTAAGGCTAGGGTAAGGTTTAAGGTTTTTGGCGTTAGGGTTAAAATCACTGTCCAAAACCTTTGTAGGAACTCTTTTCCAACCTTTTGGAGTTAGTTAGACCAAAAAAAATTAAAAATGAAAAAAAAATATTTGGGGTGTTCAGGCTTCCTGAAAGTAATACCCGGGTATTAGGTTTTGGGCTAGGGTAAGGTTTAAGGTTTTTGGCGTTAGGGTTAAAATCACTGTCCAAAACCTTTGTAGGAACTCTTTTCCAACCTTTTGGAGTTACTTAGACCAAAAAATATGAAAAAGGAAAAAAAAATATTTGGGGTTTTCGGGCTTCCTGAAGGTAATACCCAGGTATTAGGTTATGGGGCTATGGTAAGGTTTAAGGTTTTTGGCGTTAGGGTTAAAATCACTGTCCAAAACCTTTGTAGGAACTCTTTTCCAACCTTTTGGAGTTAGTTAGACCAAAAAAAAAAAATGAAAAATGAAAAAAAAATATTTGGGGTGTTCAGGCTTCCTAAAAGTAATACCCGGGTATTAGGTTATGGGGCTATGGTAAGGTTTAAGGTTTTTGGCATTAGGTTTAAAATCACTGTCCAAAACCTTTGTAGGAACTCTTTTCCAACCTTTTGGAGTTGGTTAGACCAAAAAAAAAGAAAAATGAAAAAAAAATATTTGGGGTGTTCAGGCTTCCTAAAAGTAATACCCGGGTATTAGGTTATGGGGCTATGGTAAGGTTTAAGGTTTTTGGCATTAGGGTTAAAATCACTGTCCAAAACCTTTGTAGGAACTCTTTTCCAACCTTTTGGAGTTAGTTAGACCAAAAAAAAAAAGAAAAATAAAAAAATATATATTTGGGGTTTACGGACTTCCTGAAGTAATACCCGGGTATTAGGTTTTGGGGCTAGGGTAAGGTTTAAGTTTTTTGGCGTTAGGGTTAAAATCACTGTCCAAAACCTTTGTAGGAACTCTTTTCCAACCTTTTGGAGTTAGTTAGACCAAAAAAAATTAAAAAAGAAAAAAAAATTATTGGGGGTTTTCGGGCTTCCTGGAAGTAATACCCGGGTATTAGGTTTTGGGGCTAGGGAAAGGTTTAAGTTTTTTGGCGTTAGGGTTAAAATCACTGTCCAAAACCTTTGTAGGAACTCTTTTCCAACCTTTTGGAGTTAGTTAGACCAAAAAAATAAGAAAAATGAAAAAAAAATATTTGGGGTGTTCAGGCTTCCTAAAAGTAATACCCGGGTATTAGGTTATGGGGCTATGGTAAGGTTTAAGTTTTTGGCGTTAGGGTTAAAATCACTGTCCAAAACCTTTGTAGGAACTCTTTTCCAACCTTTTGGAGTTTGGTTAGACCAAAAAAAGAATGAAAAATGAAAAAAAAATATTTGGGGTTTTCGGGCTTCCTTAATGTAATACCCGGGTATTAGGTTTTAAGGCCAGGGTAAGGTTTAAGTTTTTGGCGTTAGGGTTAAAATCACTGTCCAAAACCTTTGTAGGAACTCTTTTCCAACCTTTTGGAGTTTGGTTAGACCAAAAAAAAAAGAAAAATGAAAGAAAAATATATGGGGTGTTCAGACTTCCTAAAAGTATTAGGTTATGGGGCTATGGTAAGGTTTAAGGTTTTTGGCGTTAGGGTTAAAATCACTGTCCAAAACCTTTGTAGGAACTCTTTTCCAACCTTTTGGAGTTGGTTAGACAAAAAAAAAAATGTAAAATGAAAAAAATATATTTGGGGTGTTCGGGCTTCCTGAAGGTAATACCCGGGTATTAGGTTTTGGGGCTAGGGTAAGGTTTAAGGTTTTTGGCATTAGGGTTAAAATCACTGTCCAAAACCTTTGTAGGAACTCTTTTCCAACCTTTTGGAGTTGGTTACACCAAAAAAAAATTAAAATGAAAAAAAAATATTTGGGGTGTTCGGGCTTCCTGAAGGTAATACCCGGGTATTAGGTTTTGGGGCTAGGGTAAGGTTTAAGGTTTTTGGCGTTAGGGTTAAAATCACTGTCCAAAACCTTTGTAGGAACTCTTTTCCAACCTTTTGGAGTTGGTTAGACCAAAAAAAATGAAAAAAGAAAAAAAATATTTGGGGTTTTCGTGCTCACTGAAAGTAATACCCGGGTATTAGGTTTTGGCACTAGGGAAAGGTTTAAGGTTTTTGGCGTTAGGGTTAAAATCACTGTCCAAAACCTTTGTAGGAACTCTTTTCCAACCTTTTGGAGTTAGTTAGACCAAAAAAAAAAAGAAAAATGAAAAAAAAATATTTGGGGTTTTCGGGCTTCCTGAAGGTAATACCCGGGTATTAGGTTTTGGGGCTAGGGTAAGGTTTAAGGTTTTTGGCATTAGGGTTAAAATCACTGTCCAAAACCTTTGTAGGAACTCTTTTCCAACCTTTTTGAGTTGGTTACACCAATAAAAATGTAAAATGAAAAAAAAATATTTGGGGTGTTCGGGCTTCCTGAAGGTAATACCCGGGAATCAGGTTATGGGGCTATGGTAAGTTTTAAGGTTTTTGGCGTTAGGGTTAAAATCACTGTCCAAAACCTTTGTAGGAACTCTTTTCCAACCTTTTGGAGTTAGTTAGACCAAAAAAAAAAAAAATGAAAAATGAAAAAAAAAATATTTGGGGTGTTCGGGCTTCCTGAAGGTAATACCCGGATATTAGATTTTAAGGCTAGGGTAAGGTTTAAGGTTTTTGGCGTTAGGGTTAAAATCACTGTCCAAAACCTTTGTAGGAACTCTTTTCCAACCTTTTGGAGTTAGTTAGACCAAAAAAAAAATAAAAAAGAAAAAAAAATTATTGGGGGTTTTCGGGCTTCCTGAAAGTAATACCCGGGTATTAGGTTTTGGGACTAGGGAAAGGTTTAAGGTTTTTGGCGTTAGGGTTAAAATCACTGTCCAAAACCTTTGTAGGAACTCTTTTCCAACCTTTTGGAGTTAGTTAGACCAAAAAAATAAGAAAAATGAAAAAAAAATATTTGGGGTGTTCAGGCTTCCTAAAAGTAATACCCGGGTATTAGGTTATGGGGCTATGGTAAGGTTTAAGGTTTTTGGCGTTAGGGTTAAAATCACTGTCCAAAACCTTTGTAGGAACTCTTTTCCAACCTTTTGGAGTTAGACCAAAAAAAAAGAAAAATGAAAAAAAAATATTTGGGGTTTTCGGGCTTCCTGAAGGTAATACCCGGGTATTAGATTTTAAGGCCAGGGTAAGGTTTAAGTTTTTTGGCATTAGGGTTAAAATCACTGTCCAAAACCTTTGTAGGAACTCTTTTCCAACCTTTTGGAGTTAGTTAGACCAAAAAAAAATGTAAAATGAAAAAAAAATATTTGGGGTGTTCAGGCTTCCTAAAAGTAATACCTGGGTATTAGATTTTAAGGCTAGGGAAAGGTTTAAGGTTTTTGGCATTAGGGTTAAAATCACTGTCCAAAACCTTTGTAGGAACTCTTTTCCAACCTTTTGGAGTTAGTTAGACCAAAAAAAAATGAAAAATGAAAAAAAATATTTGGGGTTTTCGTGCTCCCTGAAAGTAATACCTGGGTATTAGGTTTTGGCACTAGGGAAAGGTTTAAGGTTTTTGGCGTTAGGGTTAAAATCACTGTCCAAAACCTTTGTAGGAACTCTTTTCCAACCTTTTTGAGTTGGTTACACCAACAAAAATGTAAAATGAAAAAAAAATATTTGGGGTGTTCGGGCTTCCTGAAGGTAATACCCGGGTATTAGGTTATGGGGCTATGGTAAGTTTTAAGGTTTTTGGCGTTAGGGTTAAAATCACTGTCCAAAACCTTTGTAGGAACTCTTTTCCAACCTTTTGGAGTTGGTTACACCAAAAAAAATGTAAAATGAAGAAAAAAATATTTGGGGTGTTCGGGCTTCCTGAAGGTAATACCCGGGTATTAGGTTTTGGGGCTAGGGTAAGGTTTAAGGTTTTTGGCGTTAGGGTTAAAATCACTGTCCAAAACCTTTGTAGGAACTCTTTTCCAAACTTTTGGAGTTAGACCAAAAAAAAAGAAAAATGAAAAAAAAATATTTGGGGTGTTCAGGCTTCCTAAAAATAATACCCGAGTATTAGGTTATGGGGCTAGGGTAAGGTTTAAGGTTTTTGGCGTTAGGGTTAAAATCACTGTCCAAAACCTTTGTAGGAACTCTTTTCCAACCTTTTGGAGTTAGTTAGACCAAAAAAAAAATGAAAAATGAAAAAAAAAATATTTGGGGTGTTCGGGCTTCCTGAAGGTAATACCCGGGTATTAGATTTTAAGGCTAGGGTAAGGTTTAAGGTTTTTGGCGTTAGGGTTAAAATCACTGTCCAAAACCTTTGTAGGAACTCTTTTCCAACCTTTTGGAGTTAGTTAGACCAAAAAAAATGAAAAATGAAAAAAAGAAATTTGGGGTGTTCGGGCTTCCTGAAGGAAATAATTAGGTTATGGGGCTATGGTAAGGTTTAAGGTTTTTGGCGTTAGGGTTTAACTCACTGTCCAAAACCTTTGTAGGAACTCTTTTCCAACCTTTTGGAGTTGGTTACACACACGAAAATGTAAAATGAAAAAAAAAAATATTTGGGGTGTTCGGGCTTCCTGAAGGTAATACCGGGGTATTAGGTTATGGGGCTATGGTAAGGTTTAATGTTTTTGGCGTTAGGGTTAAAATCACTGTCCAAAACCTTTGTAGGAACTCTTTTCCAACCTTTTTGAGTTGGTTACACCAAAAAAAAAGAAAAATGAAAAACAAATATTTGGGGTGTTCAGGCTTCCTAAAAGTAATACCAGGGTATTTGGTTTTGGGGCTAGGGTAAGGTTTAAGTTTTTTGGCGTTAGGGCTAAAATCACTGTCCAAAACCTTTGTAGGAACTCTTTTCCAACCTTTTGGAGTTAGTTAGACCAAAAAAAATGAAAAATGAAAAAACAATATTTGGGGTTTTCGGGCTTCCTGAATATAATACCCGGGTATTCGATTTTAAGGCTAGGGTAAGGTTTAAGTTTTTTGGCGTTAGGTTTAAAATCACTGTCCAAAACCTTTGTAGGAACTCTTTTCCAACCTTTTGGAGTTAGTTAGACCAAAAAAAAATGAAAAATGAAAAAAAAAATAATTGGGGGTATTCAGGCTCCCTGAAAGTAATACCCGGGTATTAGGTTTTGGGACTAGGGAAAGGTTTAAGGTTTTTGGCGTTAGGGTTAAAATCACTGTCCAAAACCTTTGTAGGAACTCTTTTCCAACCTTTTGGAGTTACTTAGACCAAAAAATATGAAAAAGGAAAAAAAAATATTTGGGGTGTTCGGGCTTCCTGAAGGTAATACCCGGGTATTAGGTTATGGGGCTATGGTAAGGTTTAAGGTTTTTGGCATTAGGTTTAAAATCACTGTCCAAAACCTTTGTAGGAACTCTTTCCCAACCTTTTGGAGTTAGTTAGACCAAAAAAAAAAAAAGAAAAATGAAAAAAAAATATTTGGGGTGTTCAGGCTTCCTAAAAGTAATACCCGGGTATTAGGTTAAGGGGCTATGGTAAGGTTTAAAGTTTTTGGCATTAGGGTTAAAATCACTGTCCAAAACCTTTGTAGGAACTCTTTCCCAACCTTTTGGAGTTAGTTAGACCAAAAAAAAATGTAAAATGAAAAAAAAATGTTGGGGGTTTTCGGGCTTCCTGAAGGTGATACCCGGGTATTAGGTTTTGGGGCTATGGTATGGTTTAAGGTTTTTGGCGTTAGGTTTAAAATCACTGTCCAAAACCTTTGTAGGAACTCTTTTCCAACCTTTTGGAGTTAGTTAGACCAAAAAAAAATGAAAAATGAAAAAAAAATGTTTGGGGTTTTCGGGCTTCCTGAAAGTAATACCCGGGTATTAGATTTTAAGGTTAGGGTAAGGTTTAAGTTTTTTGGCGTTAGGGTTAAAATCACTGTCCAAAACCTTTGTAGGAACTCTTTTCCTACCTTTTGGAGTTAGTTAGACCAAAAAAAAATGAAAAATGAAAAAAAAATATTTGGGGTGTTCAGGCTTCCTAAAAGTAATACCCGGGTATTAGGTTATGGGGCTATGGTAAGGTTTAAAGTTTTTGGCATTAGGGTTAAAATCACTGTCCAAAACCTTTGTAGGAACTCTTTCCCAACCTTTTGGAGTTAGTTAGACCAAAAAAAAATGTAAAATGAAAAAAAAATGTTTGGGGTTTTCGGGCTTCCTGAAGGTAATACCCGGGTATTAGGTTATGGGGCTATGGTATGGTTTAAGGTTTTTGGCATTCGGTTTAAAATCACTGTCCAAAACCTTTGTAGGAACTCTTTTCCAACCTTTTGGAGTTACTTGGACCAAAAAAAAATGAAAAATGAAAAAAAAAAGTTTGGGGTTTTTGGGCTTCCTGAATGTAATACCCGGGTATTAGGTTTTGGGGCTAGGGTAAGGTTTAAGGTTTTTGGCATTAGGGTTAAAATCACTGTCCAAAACCTTTGTAGGAACTCTTTCCCAACCTTTTGGAGTTAGTTAGACCAAAAAAAAAAAATGAAAAATGAAAAAAAAATATTTGGGGTGTTCAGGCTTCCTAAAAGTAATACCCGGGTATTAGGTTAAGGGGCTATGGTAAGGTTTAAGGTTTTTGGCGTTAGGGTTAAAATCACTGTCCAAAACCTTTGTAGGAACTCTTTCCCAACCTTTTGGAGTTAGTTAGACCAAAAAAAAATGTAAAATGAAAAAAAAATGTTTGGGGTTTTCGGGCTTCCTGAAGGTAATACCCGGGTATTAGATTTTAAGGCTAGGGTAAGGTTTAAGGTTTTTGGCGTTAGGGTTAAAATCACTGTCCAAAACCTTTGTAGGAACTCTTTTCCAACCTTTTGGAGTTAGTTAGACCAAAAAAAAATGAAAAATGAAAAAAAAATATTTGGGGTGTTCAGGCTTCCTGAAGGTAATACCCGGGTATTAGGTTATGGGGCTATGGTAAGGTTTAAGGTTTTTGGCATTAGGGTTAAAATCACTGTCCAAAACCTTTGTAGGAACTCTTTCCCAACCTTTTGGAGTTAGTTAGACCAAAAAAAAATGTAAAATGAAAAAAAAAATGTTTGGGGTTTTCGGGCTTCCTGAAGGTAATACCCGGGTATTAGGTTATGGGGCTATGGTATGGTTTAAGGTTTTTGGCATTCGGTTTAAAATCACTGTCCAAAACCTTTGTAGGAACTCTTTCCCAACCTTTTGGAGTTACTTGGACCAAAAAAAAATGAAAAATGAAAAAAAAAAGTTTGGGGTTTTTGGGCTTCCTGAAGGTAATACCCGGGTATTAGATTTTAAGGCTAGGGTAAGGTTAAAGTTTTATGGCGTTAGGGTTAAAATCACTGTCCAAAACCTTTGTAGGAACTATTTTCCTACCTTTTGGAGTTAGTTAGACCAAAAAAAAATGAAAAATGAAAAAAAAATATTTGGGGTGTTCAGGCTTCCTAAAAGTAATACCCCGGTATTAGGTTTTGGGGCTATGGTAAGGTTTAAGGTTTTTGGCGTTGGGGTTAAAATCACTGTCCAAAACCTTTGTAGGAACTCTTTTCCAACCTTTTGGAGTTACTTAGACCAAAAAAAAATGAAAAAGGAAAAAAATATTTGGGGTTTTCGGGCTTCCTGAAGGTAATACCCGGGTATTAGGTTTTGGGGCTAGGGTAAGGTTTAAGGTTTTTGGCGTTAGGGTTAAAATCACTGTCCAAAACCTTTGTAGGAACTCTTTTCGAACCTTTTGGAGTTGGTTACACCAACAAAAATGTAAAATGAAAAAAAAAATATTTGGGGTGTTCGGGCTTCCTGAAGGTAATACCCGGGTATTAGGTTAAGGGGCTATGGTAAGGTTTAAGGTTTTTGGCATTAGGGTTAAAATCACTGTCCAAAACCTTTGTAGGAACTCTTTTCCAACCTTTTGGAGTTAGTTAGACCAAAAAAAAAATGAAAAATGAAAAAAAAATATTTGGGGTTTCCGGGCTTCCTTAATGTAATACCCGGGTATTAGATTTTAAGGCCAGGGTAAGGTTTAAGTTTTTTGGCATTAGGGTTAAAATCACTGTCCAAAACCTTTGTAGGAACTCTTTCCAACCTTTTGGAGTTAGTTAGACCAAAAAAAGAATGAAAAATGAAAAAAAAATATTTTGGGTGTTCGGGCTTCCTAAAAGTAATACCCGGGTATTAGATTTTAAGGCAAGGGTAAGGTTTAAGTTTTATGGCGTTAGGGTTAAAATCACTGTCCAAAACATTTGTAGGAACTCTTTTCCAACCTTTTGGAGTTACTTAGACCAAAAAAAAAAAATGAAAAATGAAAAAAAAATATTTGGGGTGTTCAGGCTTCCTAAAAGTAATACCCGGGTATTAGGTTATGGGGCTATGGTAAGGTTTAAAGTTTTTGGCATTAGGTTTAAAATCACTGTCCAAAACCTTTGTAGGAACTCTTTCCCAACCTTTTGGAGTTAGTTAGACCAAAAAAAAAAATGAAAAATGAAAAAAAAATATTTGGGGTGTTCAGGCTTCCTAAAAGTAATACCCCGGTATTAGGTTTTGGGGCTATGGTAAGGTTTAAGGTTTTTGGCGTTAGGGTTAAAATCACTGTCCAAAACCTTTGTAGGAACTCTTTTCCAACCTTTTGGAGTTACTTAGACCAAAAAAAAAAAAAAGAAAAATGAAAAAAAAATATTTGGGGTGTTCAGGCTTCCTAAAAGTAATACCTGGGTATTAGGTTATGGGGCTATGGGAAGGTTTAAAGTTTTTGGCATTAGGTTTAAAATCACTGTCCAAAACCTTTGTAGGAACTCTTTCCCAACCTTTTGGAGTTAGTTAGACCAAAAAAAAAATGAAAAATGAAAAAAAAAAGTTTGGGGTGTTCGGGCTTCCTGAATGTAATACCCGGGTATTAGATTTTAAGGCTAGGGTAAGGTTTAAGTTTTATGGCGTTAGGGTTAAAATCACTGTCCAAAACCTTTGTAGGAACTCTTTTCGAACCTTTTGGAGTTACTTAGACCAAAAAAAAATGAAAAATGAAAAAAAAATATTTGGGGTGTTCAGGCTTCCTGAAAGTAATACCCCGGTATTAGGTTATGGGGCTATGGTAAGGTTTAAGGTTTTTGGCGTTAGGGTTAAAATCACTGTCCAAAACCTTTGTAGGAACTCTTTTCCAACCTTTTGGAGTTACTTAGACCAAAAAATATGAAAAAGGAAAAAAAAATATTAGGGGTTTTCGGGCTTCCTGTGGTAATACCCGGGTATTAGATTTAAAGGCTATGGTAAGGTTTAAGCTTAATGGCGTTAGGGTTAAAATCACTGTCCAAAACCTTTGTAGGAACTCTTTTCCAAACTTTTGGAGTTACTTAGACCAAAAAAAAAAAATGAAAAAAGAAAAAAAAATTATTGGGGGTTTTCGGGCTCCCTGAAAGTAATACCCGGGTATTAGGTTTTGGGACTAGGGAAAAGTTTAAGGTTTTTGGCGTTAGGGTTAAAATCACTGTCCAAAACCTTTGTAGGAACTCTTTTCTAACCTTTTGGAGTTAGTTAGACCAAAAAAAAAATGAAAAATGAAAAAAAAATATTTGGGGTGTTCAGGCTTCCTAAAAGTAATACCCCGGTATTAGGTTTTGGGGCTATGGTAAGGTTTAAGGTTTTTGGCGTTAGGGTTAAAATCACTGTCCAAAACCTTTGTAGGAACTCTTTTCCAACCTTTTGGAGTTACTTAGACCAAAAAATATGAAAAAGGAAAAAAAAATATTTGGGGTGTTCGGGCTTCCTGAAGGTAATACCCAGGTATTAGGTTGTGGGGCTATGGTAAGGTTTAAGGTTTTTGGCATTAGGGTTAAAATCACTGTCCAAAACCTTTGTAGGAACTCTTTCCCAACCTTTTGGAGTTAGTTAGACCAAAAAAAAAAAATGAAAAATGAAAAAAAAATATTTGGGGTGTTCAGGCTTCCTAAAAGTAATACCCGGGTATTAGGTTATGGGGCTATGGTAAGGTTTAAAGTTTTTGGCATTAGGGTTAAAATCACTGTCCAAAACCTTTGTAGGAACTCTTTCCAAACCTTTTGGAGTTAGTTAGACCAAAAAAAAAAATGAAAAATGAAAAAAAAATATTTGGGGTGTTCAGGCTTCCTAAAAGTAATACCCGGGTATTAGGTTATGGGGCTATGGTAAGGTTTAAAGTTTTTGGCATTAGGTTTAAAATCACTGTCCAAAACGTTTGTAGGAACTCTTTCCCAACCTTTTGGAGTTAGTTAGACCAAAAAAAAAATGAAAAATGAAAAAAAAATATTTGGGGTGTTCAGGCTTCCGAAAAGTAATACCCGGGTATTAGGTTATGGGGCTATGGTAAGGTTTAAAGTTTTTGGCATTAGGGTTAAAATCACTGTCCAAAACCTTTTTAGGAACATGTTTAAGACCTGTTGGAGTTGGTTACACCAAAAAAAAATGTAAAATGAAAAAAAAAATATTTGGGGTGTTCGGGCTTCCTGCAGGTAATACCCGGGTATTAGGTTATGGGGCTAGGGTAAGGTTTAAGGTTTTTGGCGTTAGAGTTAAAATCAGTGTCCAAAACCTTTTTAGGAACATGTTTCAGACCTTTTGGAGTTGGTTACACCAAAAAAAAATGTAAAATGCAAAAAAAAATATTTGGGGTGTTCGGGCTTCCTGCAGGTAATACCCGGGTATTAGGTTATGGGGCTAGGGTAAGGTTTAAGGTTTTTGGCGTTAGAGTTAAAATCAGTGTCCAAAACCTTTTTAGGAACATGTTTCAGACCTTTTGGAGTTGGTTACACCAAAAAAAAATGTAAAATGCAAAAAAAAATATTTGGGGTGTTCGGGCTTCCTGAAGGTAATACCCGGGTATTAGGTTTTGGGGCTAGGGCAAGGTTTAGGGTTTTTGGTGTTAGGGTTAAAATCACTGTCCAAAACCTTTGTAGGAACTGTTTTCCAACCTTTTGGAGTTAGTTAGACCAAAAAAAAAACGAAAAATGAAAAAAAATATTTGGGGTGTTCGGGCTTCCTGAAGGTAATACCCGGGTATTAGGTTTTGGGGCTAGGGTTAGGTTTAAGGTTTTTGGCGTTAGGGTTAAAATCACTGTCCAAAACCTTTTAAGGAACAAGATTCAGACCTTTTGGAGTTGGTTACACCAAAAAAAATGTAAAATGAAAAAAAAAATATTTGGGGTGTTCGGGCTTCCTGAAGGTAATACCATTCAGGTTTAAGTATTAGGTTATGGGGCTAGGATTAGGTTTAAGGTTTTTGGCGTAAGGGTTAAAATCACTGTCCAATATTTTTTAAGAAACATGTTTCAGACCTTTTGGAGCTAGTTTGACCAAAAAAAAAAGAAAAAGAAAAAAAATATATTTGGGGTGTTCGGGCTTCCTGAAGGTAATACCCGGGTATTAGGTTATGGGGCTAGGTTAAGGTTTAAGGTTTTCGGCGTGAGGGTTAAAATCACTGTCCAAAACCTTTGTAGGAAGTCTTTTCCAACCTTTTGGAGTTAGTTAGACAAAAAAAAAAGATAAATGAAAAAAAAAATATTTGGGGTGTTCGGGCTTCCTGAAGGTAACACCCAGGTATTAGGTTATGGGGCTAGGGTAAGGTTTAAGGTTTTTGGCGTAAGGGTTAAAATCACTGTCCAAAACCTTTTTAGGAACATGTTTCAGACCTTTTGGAGTTGGTTACACCAAAAAAAAGTAAAATGAAAAAAATTTTTTTTGGGTGTTCGGGCTTCCTGAAGGTAATACTACGTTTCTGGGCTAGGGTAAGGTTTAAGGTTTTTGGCGTTAGGGTTAAAATCAATGTCCAAAACCTTTGTAGGAACTCTTTTCCAACCTTTGAGAGCAAGTTAGACCAAAACAAAAAGAAAAATAAAAAATATATATTTGGGGTGTTCGGGCTTCCTGAAGGTAATACCCGGGTATTAGGTTATGGGGCTAGGGTAAGGTTTAAGGTTTTTTGGCGTGAGGGTAAAAATCACTGTCAAAAACCTTTGTAGGAACTCTTTTCCAACCTTTGGGAATAAGTTAGACAAAAAAAAAAAGATAAATGAAAAAAAAATGTTTGGGGTGTTAAGGCTTCCTGAAGGGAATACAGGAATGAGGTTATGGGGCTAGGGAAGGTTTAAGGCTTTTGGCGTTAGGGTTAAAATCATTGTCCAAAACCTTTGTAGGAACTCTTTTCCAAGCTTTTGGAGTTAGTAAGACCAAAAAAATGAAAAATGAAAAAAAATATTTGGGGTTTTCGGGCTTCCTGAAGGTAATACCCGGGTATTAGGTTAGAATCACTGTCCAAAAAATTTTTAGGAACATGTTTCAGACCTTTTGGAGTTGGTTACACCGAAAAAAAATGTAAAATGAAAAAAATATATTTGGGGTTTTCTGGATTCCTGAACGTAATCCTACTAGGTATTACCCTATCGCCAAAAACCTTAAACCTTACCCTAGCCCTAAAACCTAATACTATTAGGTAATGGGGCTTTGGTTAGGTTTAAGGTTTTTTTGCGTGAGGGTTAAAATCACTGTCCAAAACCTTTGTAGGAACTCTTTTCCAACCTTTTGGAGTTAGACCAAAGAATAATGAAAAATGAAAAAAACATTATATGGGTTTTTTGGGCTTTCTGAAGGTAAGACCCGGGTATTAGGTTATGGGGCTAGGGTAAGGTTTTTGGTGTTAGGGTTAAAATCACTGTTCAAAACCTTTGTAGGAACTCTTTTCCAACCTTTTGGAGTTAGTTAGACAAAAAAAAAAAGAAAAAAAAATTTATATATTTGGGGTTTTCGGGCTTCCTGGAGGTAATACCCGGGTATTAGGTTTTGGGGCTAGGTCAAGGTTTGAGGTTTTTGTTGTTAGGGTTAAAATCCGTGTCCAAAACCTTTTTAGGAACATGTTTCAGACCTTTTGGAGTTAGTTAGACCAAAAAAAAAGAAAAATAAAAAAAATATATTCGGGGTGTTCGAATTTCCTGAAGGTAATACCCGGGTATTAAGATTTTTGGGCTAGGGCAAGGTTTAAGGTTTTTGGCGTTAGGGTTAAAATCACCGTCCAAAACCTTTTTAGGAACTATTTTCCAACCTTTTGGAGTTATTTCGACCAAAAAAAAATGAAAAATGAAAAAAATATATTTGGGGTGTTCGGGCTTCCTGAAGGTTATACCTGGTTATAAGGGTATGGGGCTTTGGAAAGGTTTAAGGTTTTTGGCGTTAGAGTTAAAATCCGTGTCCAAAACCTTTTTAGGAACATGTTTCAGACCTTTTGGAGTTAGTTCCACCAAAAAACAATGAAAAATGAAAAAAAAATATTTGGGGTTTTCGGGCTTACTGAAGGTAATACCTGGTTATTAGGTTTTGGGGCTAGGGTAAGGTTTAAGGTTTTTGGCGTAAGGGTGGAAATCCGTGTCCAAAACCTTTTTAAGAACATGTTTTAGACCTTTTGGAGCTAGTTACACCAAAAAAAAATGAAAAATGAAAAAAAAATATTTGGGGTGTTCGGGCCTCCTGAAGGTAATACCCCGGTATTAGGTTATGGGGCTATGGTAAGGTTTAAGGTTTTTGGTGTTAGGGTTAAAGTCACTGTCCAAAACCTTTGTAGGAACTCTTTCCCAACCTTTTGGAGTTAGTTTGACCAACAAAAAATGTAAAATGAAAAAAAAATATTTGGGGTTTTCGGGCTTCCTGAAGGAAATACCTGGGTATTAGGTTTTTGGGCTAGGGTAACGTTTAAGGTTTTAGGTTAAAGGGATAGGGTAAGGTTTAAGGTTTATGGCGTAAGGGTTAAAATCACTGTCCAAAACCTTTTTAGGAACATGTTTTAGACCTTTTGGAGTCAGTTAGATCAAAAAAAATGTAAAATGAAAAAAAAATATTTGGGGTTTTCGGGCTTCCTGAAGGTAATACCTGTATTAGGTTATGGGGCTAGGGTAAGGTTTAAGGTTTTTGGCGTGAGGTTTAAAATCACTGTCCAATATTTTTTATGGAACATGTTTCAAACCTTTTGGAGTCAGTTACACCAAATAAAGTGAAATGAAAAAAAATATTTGGGGTTTTCGGGCTTCCTGAAGGTAATACCCGGGTATTAGGTTGTGGGGCTATGGAAAGGTTCAAGGTTTTTGGCGCTAGAGTTAAAATCAGTGTCCAAAACCTTTTAAGGAACATGTTTCAGACCTTTTGGAGTAAGTTAGACCAAAAAATAACGTAAAATGAAAAAAAAATATTTGGGTTGTTCAGGATTCCTGAAGGTAATACCCGGGTATTAGGTTATGGGGCTAGGGTAAGGTTTGAGGTATTTGGCGTTAGGGTAAAAAATCACTGTCCAAAACCTTTTTAGAACTCTGTTTCAGACCTTTTGGTTTTGGTTACACCAAAAAAAAAAAAATAATAATAAAAACTAAATATTTGGGGTGTTCGGGCTTCCTGAAGGTAAGACCCGGGAATTAGGTCATGGGGCTATGGTAAGGTTAAAGGTTTTTGGCGTTAGGGTTAAAATTACTGTCCAAAAACTTTGTAGGAACTCTTTTCCAACCTTTTGGAGTCAGTTACACCAAAAAAAATGTAAAATGAAAAAAAATATTTGGGGTGTTTGGGCTTCCTGAAGGTAATACCCAGGTATTAGGGTATGGGGCTTTGGAAAGGTTTAAGGTTTTTGGCATCAGGGTTAAAATCACTGTCCAAAACCTTTGTAGGAACTCTTTTCCAACCTTTTGGAGTTAGTTACACCAAAAAAAAATGTAAAATAAAATAAAAAAAATTTCGGATGTTCGGGCTTCCTTAAGGTAATACCCAGGTATTAGGTTATGGGGCTAGGGTAAGGTTTACATTTTTTGGTGTTAGGGTTAAAATCACTGTCCAAAACCTTTTTAGGAACTCTTTTCCAAACTTTTGGAGTTAGTTAGACCAAAAAAGAAATGAAAAATGAAAAAAAAATATTTGGGGTGTTCGGGCCTCCTGAAGGTAATACCCGGGTATTATGTTTTCGGGCTAGGGAAAGGTTTAAGGTTTTTGGCGTTAGGGTTGAAATCACTGTCCAAACCTTTGTGGGAACACGTTTCAGACCTTTTGGAGTTAGTTACACCAAAAAAATGTAAAATAAAAAATATATATTTGGGGTGTTCGGGCTTCCTGAAGGTAATACCCCATATTAACCCCATATTAGGTTATGGGGCTAGGGTAAGGTTTAAGGTTTTTGGCGTTAGGGTTAAAATCACTGTCCAAAACCTTTGTGGGAATAAGTTTCAGACCTTTTGGAGTTAGTTAGATCAAAAAATAACGAAAAATAAAAAATATATATTTGGGGTGTCCGGGCTCCTGAAGGTAAAACCCGGGTATTTGGTTATGGGGCTAGGGAAAGGTTTAAGGCTTTTGGTGTTAGGGTTAAAATCACTGTCCAAAACCTTTGTGGGAACAAGTTTCAGACCTTTTCGAGTTACACAAAACAAACACAACACAAACTCAAGTTCAACAAACACACTAACTCAAGTTCAACCAACACCTGATTCTCAAGTTTAACAATTTCCATAACCTCAAGTTCAAAAACAACAGAAACTCAAGTTCAAAAAACACACAAACTCAAGTTCACCAAACACGCAAATTCAAGTTCAAAAACACAAAAAACTCAAGTTCAAAAACGACACAAACTCAAGTTCAACCAACACACAAACTCAAGTTCAAACACACCACAAACTCAAGTTCAACAAACAAACTAACTCAAGTTCAACCAACACCTGATTCCCAGGTTTAACAATTTTCAAAACCTGAAGTTCAAAAACAACAGAAACTCAAGTTCAAAAACACAACAAACGCAAGTTCAAACACGACACAAACTCAAGTTCAACAAAAACCACAAACTCAAGTTCAACTAACAGCTAATTCGCAAGTTTAAAAATTTTCTCAAACTCAAGTTAAAAAAAACACAAACTCAAATTCAAACACAGCACAAACTCAAGTTTAAACATGACACAAACTCAAGTTCAAAAACAAAAAAAACTCAAGTTCAACCAATACCCAATTCTTATGTTTAACGATTTCCACAACCTCAAGTTCAAAAACACCACAAACTCAAGTTCAAACAAAACACAAAATCAAGTTCATCAAACACAAAAACTCAAGTTCAAAAACACCACAAACTCAAGTTCAAACACAACAAAAACTCAAGTTCAAACATGATACAAACTCAATTTCAAAAACACCACAAACTCAAGTTCAAACACGACACAAACTCAAGTTCAAAAAACAAACTAACTCAAGTTCAACCAACACCTGATTCCCAGGTTTAACAATTTTCAAAACCTGAAGTTCAAAAACAACAGAAACTCAAGTTCAAAAACACAACAAACGCAAGTTCAAACACGACACAAACTCAAGTTCAACAAAAACCACAAACTCAAGTTCAACTAACAGCTAATTCGCAAGTTTAAAAATTTTCTCAAACTCAAGTTAAAAAAAACACAAACTCAAATTCAAACACAGCACAAACTCAAGTTTAAACATGACACAAACTCAAGTTCAAAAACAAAAAAAACTCAAGTTCAACCAATACCCAATTCTTATGTTTAACGATTTCCACAACCTCAAGTTCAAAAACACCACAAACTCAAGTTCAAACAAAACACAAAATCAAGTTCATCAAACACAAAAACTCAAGTTCAAAAACACCACAAACTCAAGTTCAAACACAACAAAAACTCAAGTTCAAACATGATACAAACTCAATTTCAAAAACACCACAAACTCAAGTTCAAACACGACACAAACTCAAGTTCAACAAACACACTAACTCAAGTTCAACCAACACCTGATTCTCAGGTTTAACAATTTCCACAACCTCAAGTTCAAAAACAACAAAACTCAAGTTCAAAAACGACACAAACTCAAGTTCAACCAACACACAAACTCAAGTTCAAACACACCACAAACTCAAGTTCAACAAACAAACTAACTCAAGTTCAACCAACACCTGATTCCCGGGTTTAACAATTTTCAAAACCTGAAGTTCAAAAACAACAGAAACTCAAGTTCAAAAACGACACAAACTCAAGTTCAAACACGACACAAACTCAAGTTCAACAAAAACCACAAACTCAAGTTCAACTAACAGCTAATACTCAAGTTTAAAAATTTTCACAACCTCAAGTTAAAAAAAAACAAACTCAAATTCAAACACAGCACGAACTCAAGTTTAAACATGACACAAACTCAAGTTCAAAAACAAAAAAACTCAAGTTCAACCAATACCCAATTCTTATGTTTAACGATTTCCACAACCTCAAGTTCAAAAACACCACAAACTCAAGTTCAAACAAAACACAAAATCAAGTTCATCAAACACACAAACTCAAGTTCAAAAACACCACAAACTCAAGTTCAAACACAACAAAAACTCAAGTTCAAACATGATACAAACTCAATTTCAAAAACACCACAAACTCAAGTTCAAACACGACACAAACTTAAGTTCAACAAACGCCAAAAACTCAAGTTAAAAATAGCCAGAGATTAAAGTTCAGTAAAAACCACAGACGCAAGTTCAACAATTGCCACAAACTCAAGTTCAAAAAACACAAAAAACTCAAGTTCAAACATGACACAAACTCAAGTTCAACCAACACACAAACTCAAGTTTAAACACACTTCAATCTCAAGTTCAACCAACACACAAACTCAAGTTCAAACACACCACAAACTCAAGTTCAACCAACACACAAACTCAAGTTCAAAAATTGACACCAATTAAAGTTCATTAAAAACCACTGTAGCGATTTGAAATGAGCCTTACACAGCGGCACCAAAATAATACGGTTTGAAATTAGCCTCACACGGTCGCACCAAAATAATACTGTAGCGATTTGAATTTATAAGAAATGTCTGAAGATTAATAATCTCAAGTTATGACATTTATGCACTCGTTGAAAGGGGCACCACCCACCCTTAATGGTGGGAAAATAAAGAAAACTAAAGTTTAATTCAGAAATCAAACATCAAGTCAATCATTAATTAATCAATCTCATATCTTAAGCCGAAATTCTCATTTCAGGGACTCCACTTCTGGAAGAACACTAACAGACAAGAACTTAGAAAAATAATGATCTGTTTATTACAGCATAAATGATGGTACAACACACATGCAATAAATGATGATAAGATAATGAGGATATATAACAATAGGTGAATAAATAAAGATTCTGAGTCAGGCTAGGAGCACTAAAGTTAATGATAGTGAGTGAATATGCTCTAACATATTAACCTACACTAACTTTGGTGTCAAGATAAACTCGGATGTGGATTTGGAGGAATCTGAGATTACCAGAATAAGTGGATATCTGAGTTATGAACGCATGAGACAGCATCAGCCCTGTTTGGAGCTCTGGAGATTTGCATACTTAAGTGAGACTGGTCCTTGGAGAAGATGGAGCAGGTTCCGAAGGTCCGGGGCTAACGGCGATTCGAGCGGTTCAGCTCAAAAGACGACTGAAGTCAGCTGAAGAATGGGCCAGGAGTTGTAGCACTCAGGCCTGAAGTAAAGCCGGCGCCTGTGGATCCTGAGGATGCTCGTTTGGATGCTTCTTTGGTCTCACTCAAAAACTCTGGCACAGAGGATGACCTGGGCCTGCTGGGTTGCGTTCAGAGGTGACTTTGAAATCACACAGATAACTCAGAAAAACGAGGTTCGATGAGCAGAGATAACTTTCAAAAATGGCCTCACGAAAATGAAGAAAAATCAATCAAAAGCTTAATCTTGAATTGCTATGCGCACAAAAAGTTGAAGTTTCAAAACTTGAACTAAGACGATGTTAAAGAAAAATCAACGTGAATCAACACGTGGTGTAAAACTTAGAAGAGTAAGAAAAAGTTCTAAGAGAAAACAAAGAAGAGGACCACAGAAGGGTGTGGACAGAAGACCCAAAAGGGGAGAAGAGTAAGGGGCATAAGAGAGAGCAGACAAGAGAGTGAGCAACCCCACTTCACTGGTTTTATCTTCTCACACTGGGAGTGGCTCTGGCGTGTGTGTGTGAGGAGAAAGAGGAGGGTTCATGGGGTCTCTGATTATTTGATCTACCTTATTCTTTTGGCTGGTAAAAGAGTCAGATCTGATACTCACTCACTATGATTAATATCATTGAATGCTTGGTTTCATGATAAATAATTCAATACTAAACATATATGAATGAAGTGTAGGATCACATCAAACATTCATAGTCAATAAATTTAACTCTTAAAAGTTCATGAAACAGTCTGAAAAGCTGTTGGTCTAAAGAAACTTAAGAATAAAGGATTTATTCTGTCCGAGTAATAATTCTGCTTCTGGAGCACATAGAAAAACGGGAAACATATCATTTTAACACATATTTCATGATTAGACAGATTAGTACATTGCTGAATGCATAAGATGTCAGGATCAGTCATTTGTATTCTTTCACCAAAGGAATGCAGTCTTTATCAGTGAATGGTCGAGCAGGGTTTTACGACCGAGGTCTGGAGGTCAGTGTCCCCCCTTCTCCTGGGGTCCGTATGTTCACACACTTTAAGAAGGTAAATCTCAAATGGGAGATCTAGGTTGAGACGTTAATGTTTATTTAGATGGTCAGCAATGGAGTCAGTTTGAAAGGTAATAAAAACTCTGTCTCTGTTCTCCGAATCGACCAATCGTGAAGAGTCAGAGGTTTAGTCAACCTCCGGTCGGGTCATTTAGGTAACCTGAAAGTGCAAACAAGTCTGGAAAGATTTATATCCTGTGTCCTGGGACCAGATAAGGAAACTTTCCTGTGAGAAATGTGTGAGTTTCACACCCAGGGTTGTCTTGATTGCTACACCACAGACGCAAGTTCAGCAATTGCCACAAACTCAAGTTCAACGAATTTTAGTTCAACAAACACACAAACTCAAGTTCAACCAACACCTGATTCAAAGGTTTAACAATATCCACAACTTCAAGTTCAAATACAACAGAAACTCAAGTTCAAAAAACACAAACTCAAGTTTACAAAACACGCAAATTAAAGTTCAAAAACACCACAAACTCAAGTTCAAACACGACACAAACTCAAGTTCAAAAACACCAAAAACTCAAGTTCAACCAGGACCCAATTCTCAAGTTTAACAATTTCCACAACTTCAAATTCAAGAACAACACAGACTCAAGTTCAAAATCACCACAAACTCAAGTTAAAAAACGGCACAAAATCAAGTTCAAACACAACACAAACTCAAGTTCAACCAACACCTGATTGTCAAGTTTAAAAATTTTCACAACCTCAAGTTTAAATAACACACAATCTCAAGTTCAAACACACCACAAACTCAAGTTCAACAAAAACCACAAACTCAAGTTCAACCAACACCTGATTCTCAAGTTTAAAAATTTTAACAACCTCAAGTTCAAATAACACACAATCTCAAGTTCAAACACACCACAAACACAAGTTCAAAAACAATATAAACTCAAGTTCAACCAATACCCACTTTCTCAAGTTGAACAATTTCCACCACCTCAAGTTCAAAAACAACACAGACTGAAGTTCAAATACACAACATACTCAAGTTCAAACACAACACAAACTCAAGTTTAAAAAAATACACAAATTCAAGTTCAACCAACACCTGATTCTCAAGTTTTACAATTCCACAAGCTCAAGTTCAAAAAGAACACAGACTCAAGTTGAAACACGACACAAACTCAAGGTCAACCAATATCCAAGTCTCAAGTTTAAAAATTGCCACAACCTCAAGTGCAACAAACACACAAACTCAAGTTCACCAAACACGCAAATTCAAGATCAAAAACACCACAAACTCAAGTTCAAACATGACACAAACTCAAGTTCAAAAACACCAATGACTCAAGTTCAACCAATACCAGATTCTCAAGTTTAACAATTTCCACAACCTCAAGTTAAAAAAAAACCACAAACTCAAGTTAAAACACGACACAAACTCAAGTAAAAAAAACCACAAACTCAAGTTCAACAAACACCTGATTCTCAAGTTTAAAAATTTTCAAAACCTCAAGTTCAAAAAACACACAAAATAAAGTTAAACAAACATCATGAACTCAAGTTCAGACATGACACAAACTCAAATTCAACCAACACCCAAATCTTAAGTTTAGCTATTGCCACATCCTCAAGTTCAACAAACACACAAACTCAAGTTAAAACACACCAAAACCTAAGTTTAAACACGTCACAAACTCAAGTTAAAAAGCAACAAAAACTCAAGTTCGACCAATACCCAATTCTCAAGATAAAAAATCTCCACAACCTCAAGTTCAAAAACATCACAAACTCAAGTTCAAACACGACACAAACCCAAGTTTAACAAACACACAAACTAAAGATCAAACAATACACAATTCTCAAGTTTAAAGATTTCAACAACATTAAGTTAAAAAACAACAGAAACTCAAGTTCAAAAAACACACAAACTCAAGTTCAACAAAAAACACAAACTCAAGTTCAACAAAAACCACAAACTCAAGTTCAAACACGACACAAACTAGAGTTCAACCAACAACCAAATCTCAAGCTTAACAACTGCCACAACCTCAAGTTAAACAACCACACAAACTCAAGTTCAACAAAAGCCACAAAGTCAAGTTCAAACATGAAACAAACTCATGTTCAAAAACAACACAAACTTAAGTTCAACAAACACAAAAACTCAAGTTCAAACACGACACAAACTCAAGTTCAACTTAAACACAAACTCAAGTTTAAAAAATCCCACAACATCAAGTTCAACAAATTCCACACCCTCAACTTCAAAAAACCAGAAACTCAAGTTCAAAAACGACACAAACTCAAGTTCAACAAAAACCAAAAACTCAAGTTCAAACACGAAACTCAAGTTCAACAAACACAAATAATAGAGTTCAACAAACACCACAAACTCAAGTTCAAACACGGCACAAACTAGAGTTCAAATAACACACAAACTCAAGTTTAACAATTTCCACAACCTCAAGTTAAAAAAATTCCACACCCTCAACTTCAGAAATACCACAAACTCAAGTTCAAAATCACCACCAACTCAAGTTCAAAAAGACCAAAAACTCAAGTTCAACAAACACAGCAAATCAAGTTCAAAAACACCACAAACTCAAGTGCAAACACGACACAAACTCAAGTTCAAAAACACCACAAACTCAAGTTCAAACACGACACGAACTCAAGTTAAACAAAAACCACAAACTCAAGTTCAAACACGAAACTCAAGTTCAAAAACACCACAAACTCAAGTTCAAACACGACACAAACTCAAGTTAAACAAAAACCACAAACTCAAGTTCAAACACGAAACTCAAGTTCAAAATCACCACCAACTCAAGTTCAAAAAGACCACAAACTCAAGTTCAACAAACACACCAAATCAAGTTCAAAAACACCACAAACTCAAGTGCAAACACGACACAAACTCAAGTTCAAAAACACCACTAACCCAAGTTCAAACACGACACACGCTCAAGTTCAAACACAACACAAACTCAAGTTCAACAAACACACAAAGTCAATTTCAAATACAACAAAAACTCAAGTTCAAACACAACATAAACTAAAGTTCAACAAACACAAAAACTGAAGTTCAAACATGACACAAACTCAAGTTCAACTAAAACACAAACTCAAGTTAAACAATCGCCACAACCTCAAATTCAACAAATTCCACACCCCCAACTTCAAAAAAACCACAAACTCCAGTTCAAAAACAACAAAAACCTAAGTTCAACCAACACCCAAATCTAAAGTTTAACAATTGCCACACCCTCAAGTTCAACAAACACACAAACTCAAGTTCAACAGACGCCACAATCTCAAGTTCAAACATGAAACAAACTCATGTTCCAAAACAACACAAACTTAAGTTCAAAAAACACAAAAACTCAAGTTCAAACACGACACAAACTCAAGTTCAACTAAAACACAAACTCAAGTTTAACAATTGCCACAACCTCAAGTTCAACAAATTCCACACTCTCAACTTCAAAAAAACCACAAACTCAAGTTAAAAAACACCACAAACTCAAGTTCACACCGACACAAACTCAAGTTCAACAAAAACCACAAAATCAAGTTCAAACATGAAACTCAAGTTCAAAAACACCACCAACTCAAGTTCAGAAACGCCACAAACTCAAGTTCAAAAACAACACAAACTCAAGTTCAACCAACACCCAAATCTCAAGTTTAACAATTGCCACAACCTCAAGTTCAACAAATTCTACCCCCTCAAATTTAAAAATACCACAAAGTCATGTTTAAAAACACCACAAACTCAAGTTCAAACACGAAACAAACTCAGGTTCAACTAAAACACAAACTCAAGTTTAACAATTGCCACAAACTGAAGTTCAAAAAATTCCACACTCTCAACTTCAAAAAAACCACAAACTCAAGTTAAAAAACACCACAAACTGAAGTTCAAACACGACACAAACTCAAGTTAAACAAAAACCACAAAATCAAGTTCAAACATGAAACTCAAGTTCAAAAACACCACCAACTCAAGTTCAGAAACGCCACAAACTCAAGTTCAAAAACAACACAAACTCAAGTTCAACCAACACCCAAATCTCAAGTTAAACAATTGCCACAACCTCAAGTTCAACAATCACACAAACTCAAGTTCAAACACGACACAAACTCAAGTTCAACAAACACACAAACTCAAGTTTAACAATTGCCACAACCTCAAGTTCAACAAATTACACACCCTCAAGTTCATAAACACCACAAACTCAAGTTCAACCAACACCCAAATCTCAAGTTCAAGCAATAATAAAAACTCAAATTCAAAAACAACACAAACTCAAATTCAAACACAACACAAACTCAAGTTCAACAAACAAAGAAATTCAAGTTCAACCAAAAACAACTTATTGTCAAGTTTAACAATTTCCACAACCTCAAGTTCAAAAACAACAGAAACTCAAGTTCAAAAAACACACAAACTCAAGTTCAACAAACACGCAAATTCAAGTTCAAAAACACCACAAAATCAAGTTCAAACACGACAAAAAATCAAGTTCAACAAACAGACACACTCATGTTCAACCAACACCCAAATCTCAAGTTTAACAATTTCCACAACCTCCAGCTCAAATACAACACAGACTCAAGTTCAAAAAACACACAAGCTCAAGTTTTACACAAACTCAAGTTCAACAAAAACCACAAACTCAAGTTCAACCAACACCTGATTCTCAAGATTAAACATTTTCACAACCTCAAGTTCAAAAAACACACAAACTCAAGTTCAAACACGACACAAACTCAAGTTCAAATGCAACACAAACTCAAGTTCAACAAACACAGTAACTCAAGTTCAAAATCACCAAAAACTCAGGTTCAAAAACAGCAAAAACTCAAGTTCAACCAACACCCAAATCTCAAGTTTAACAATTGCCACAACCTTAACTTCAACAAACTCAAGTTCAAAAACCCTGCAACCTAAAGTAAAAAAAAAACACAAACTCAAGTTCAAAAACACCCAAATCTCAAGTTTAACAATTGCCACAACCTCAAGTTCAACAAATTCTACCCCCTCAAATTTAAAAATACCACAAAGTCATGTTTAAAAACACCACAAACTCAAGTTCAAACACGAAACAAACTCAGGTTCAACTAAAACACAAACTCAAGTTTAACAATTGCCACAAACTGAAGTTCAACAAATTCCACACTCTCAACTTCAAAAAAACCACAAACTCAAGTTAAAAAACACCACAAACTCAAGTTCACACCGACACAAACTCAAGTTCAACAAAAACCACAAAATCAAGTTCAAACATGAAACTCAAGTTCAAAAACACCACCAACTCAAGTTCAGAAACGCCACAAACTCAAGTTCAAAAACAACACAAACTCAAGTTCAACCAACACCCAAATCTCAAGTTTAACAATTGCCACAACCTCAAGTTCAACAAATTCTACCCCCTCAAATTTAAAAATACCACAAAGTCATGTTTAAAAACACCACAAACTCAAGTTCAAACACGAAACAAACTCAGGTTCAACTAAAACACAAACTCAAGTTTAACAATTGCCACAAACTGAAGTTCAAAAAATTCCACACTCTCAACTTCAAAAAAACCACAAACTCAAGTTAAAAAACACCACAAACTGAAGTTCAAACACGACACAAACTCAAGTTAAACAAAAACCACAAAATCAAGTTCAAACATGAAACTCAAGTTCAAAAACACCACCAACTCAAGTTCAGAAACGCCACAAACTCAAGTTCAAAAACAACACAAACTCAAGTTCAACCAACACCCAAATCTCAAGTTAAACAATTGCCACAACCTCAAGTTCAACAATCACACAAACTCAAGTTCAAACACGACACAAACTCAAGTTCAACAAACACACAAACTCAAGTTTAACAATTGCCACAACCTCAAGTTCAACAAATTACACACCCTCAAGTTCATAAACACCACAAACTCAAGTTCAACCAACACCCAAATCTCAAGTTCAAGCAATAATAAAAACTCAAATTCAAAAACAACACAAACTCAAATTCAAACACAACACAAACTCAAGTTCAACAAACAAAGAAATTCAAGTTCAACCAAAAACAACTTATTGTCAAGTTTAACAATTTCCACAACCTCAAGTTCAAAAACAACAGAAACTCAAGTTCAAAAAACACACAAACTCAAGTTCAACAAACACGCAAATTCAAGTTCAAAAACACCACAAAATCAAGTTCAAACACGACAAAAAATCAAGTTCAACAAACAGACACACTCATGTTCAACCAACACCCAAATCTCAAGTTTAACAATTTCCACAACCTCCAGCTCAAATACAACACAGACTCAAGTTCAAAAAACACACAAGCTCAAGTTTTACACAAACTCAAGTTCAACAAAAACCACAAACTCAAGTTCAACCAACACCTGATTCTCAAGATTAAACATTTTCACAACCTCAAGTTCAAAAAACACACAAACTCAAGTTCAAACACGACACAAACTCAAGTTCAAATGCAACACAAACTCAAGTTCAACAAACACAGTAACTCAAGTTCAAAATCACCAAAAACTCAGGTTCAAAAACAGCAAAAACTCAAGTTCAACCAACACCCAAATCTCAAGTTTAACAATTGCCACAACCTTAACTTCAACAAACTCAAGTTCAAAAACCCTGCAACCTAAAGTAAAAAAAAAACACAAACTCAAGTTCAAAAACACCCAAATCTCAAGTTTAACAATTGCCACAACCTCAAGTTCAACAAATTCTACCCCCTCAAATTTAAAAATACCACAAAGTCATGTTTAAAAACACCACAAACTCAAGTTCAAACACGAAACAAACTCAGGTTCAACTAAAACACAAACTCAAGTTTAACAATTGCCACAAACTGAAGTTCAACAAATTCCACACTCTCAACTTCAAAAAAACCACAAACTCAAGTTAAAAAACACCACAAACTCAAGTTCACACCGACACAAACTCAAGTTCAACAAAAACCACAAAATCAAGTTCAAACATGAAACTCAAGTTCAAAAACACCACCAACTCAAGTTCAGAAACGCCACAAACTCAAGTTCAAAAACAACACAAACTCAAGTTCAACCAACACCCAAATCTCAAGTTTAACAATTGCCACAACCTCAAGTTCAACAAATTCTACCCCCTCAAATTTAAAAATACCACAAAGTCATGTTTAAAAACACCACAAACTCAAGTTCAAACACGAAACAAACTCAGGTTCAACTAAAACACAAACTCAAGTTTAACAATTGCCACAAACTGAAGTTCAAAAAATTCCACACTCTCAACTTCAAAAAAACCACAAACTCAAGTTAAAAAACACCACAAACTGAAGTTCAAACACGACACAAACTCAAGTTAAACAAAAACCACAAAATCAAGTTCAAACATGAAACTCAAGTTCAAAAACACCACCAACTCAAGTTCAGAAACGCCACAAACTCAAGTTCAAAAACAACACAAACTCAAGTTCAACCAACACCCAAATCTCAAGTTAAACAATTGCCACAACCTCAAGTTCAACAATCACACAAACTCAAGTTCAAACACGACACAAACTCAAGTTCAACAAACACACAAACTCAAGTTTAACAATTGCCACAACCTCAAGTTCAACAAATTACACACCCTCAAGTTCATAAACACCACAAACTCAAGTTCAACCAACACCCAAATCTCAAGTTCAAGCAATAATAAAAACTCAAATTCAAAAACAACACAAACTCAAATTCAAACACAACACAAACTCAAGTTCAACAAACAAAGAAATTCAAGTTCAACCAAAAACAACTTATTGTCAAGTTTAACAATTTCCACAACCTCAAGTTCAAAAACAACAGAAACTCAAGTTCAAAAAACACACAAACTCAAGTTCAACAAACACGCAAATTCAAGTTCAAAAACACCACAAAATCAAGTTCAAACACGACAAAAAATCAAGTTCAACAAACAGACACACTCATGTTCAACCAACACCCAAATCTCAAGTTTAACAATTTCCACAACCTCCAGCTCAAATACAACACAGACTCAAGTTCAAAAAACACACAAGCTCAAGTTTTACACAAACTCAAGTTCAACAAAAACCACAAACTCAAGTTCAACCAACACCTGATTCTCAAGATTAAACATTTTCACAACCTCAAGTTCAAAAAACACACAAACTCAAGTTCAAACACGACACAAACTCAAGTTCAAATGCAACACAAACTCAAGTTCAACAAACACAGTAACTCAAGTTCAAAATCACCAAAAACTCAGGTTCAAAAACAGCAAAAACTCAAGTTCAACCAACACCCAAATCTCAAGTTTAACAATTGCCACAACCTTAACTTCAACAAACTCAAGTTCAAAAACCCTGCAACCTAAAGTAAAAAAAAAACACAAACTCAAGTTCAAAAACACCCAAATCTCAAGTTTAACAATTGCCACAACCTCAAGTTCAACAAATTCTACCCCCTCAAATTTAAAAATACCACAAAGTCATGTTTAAAAACACCACAAACTCAAGTTCAAACACGAAACAAACTCAAGTTCAAAAAAACCACAAACTCAAGTTTAACAATTGCCACAAACTGAAGTTCAACAAATTCCACACTCTCAACTTCAAAAAAACCACAAACTCAAGTTAAAAAACACCACAAACTCAAGTTCACACCGACACAAACTCAAGTTCAACAAAAACCACAAAATCAAGTTCAAACATGAAACTCAAGTTCAAAAACACCACCAACTCAAGTTCAGAAACGCCACAAACTCAAGTTCAAAAACAACACAAACTCAAGTTCAACCAACACCCAAATCTCAAGTTTAACAATTGCCACAACCTCAAGTTCAACAAATTCTACCCCCTCAAATTTAAAAATACCACAAAGTCATGTTTAAAAACACCACAAACTCAAGTTCAAACACGAAACAAACTCAGGTTCAACTAAAACACAAACTCAAGTTTAACAATTGCCACAAACTGAAGTTCAAAAAATTCCACACTCTCAACTTCAAAAAAACCACAAACTCAAGTTAAAAAACACCACAAACTGAAGTTCAAACACGACACAAACTCAAGTTAAACAAAAACCACAAAATCAAGTTCAAACATGAAACTCAAGTTCAAAAACACCACCAACTCAAGTTCAGAAACGCCACAAACTCAAGTTCAAAAACAACACAAACTCAAGTTCAACCAACACCCAAATCTCAAGTTAAACAATTGCCACAACCTCAAGTTCAACAATCACACAAACTCAAGTTCAAACACGACACAAACTCAAGTTCAACAAACACACAAACTCAAGTTTAACAATTGCCACAACCTCAAGTTCAACAAATTACACACCCTCAAGTTCATAAACACCACAAACTCAAGTTCAACCAACACCCAAATCTCAAGTTCAAGCAATAATAAAAACTCAAATTCAAAAACAACACAAACTCAAATTCAAACACAACACAAACTCAAGTTCAACAAACAAAGAAATTCAAGTTCAACCAAAAACAACTTATTGTCAAGTTTAACAATTTCCACAACCTCAAGTTCAAAAACAACAGAAACTCAAGTTCAAAAAACACACAAACTCAAGTTCAACAAACACGCAAATTCAAGTTCAAAAACACCACAAAATCAAGTTCAAACACGACAAAAAATCAAGTTCAACAAACAGACACACTCATGTTCAACCAACACCCAAATCTCAAGTTTAACAATTTCCACAACCTCCAGCTCAAATACAACACAGACTCAAGTTCAAAAAACACACAAGCTCAAGTTTTACACAAACTCAAGTTCAACAAAAACCACAAACTCAAGTTCAACCAACACCTGATTCTCAAGATTAAACATTTTCACAACCTCAAGTTCAAAAAACACACAAACTCAAGTTCAAACACGACACAAACTCAAGTTCAAATGCAACACAAACTCAAGTTCAACAAACACAGTAACTCAAGTTCAAAATCACCAAAAACTCAGGTTCAAAAACAGCAAAAACTCAAGTTCAACCAACACCCAAATCTCAAGTTTAACAATTGCCACAACCTTAACTTCAACAAACTCAAGTTCAAAAACCCTGCAACCTAAAGTAAAAAAAAAACACAAACTCAAGTTCAAAAACACCCAAATCTCAAGTTTAACAATTGCCACAACCTCAAGTTCAACAAATTCTACCCCCTCAAATTTAAAAATACCACAAAGTCATGTTTAAAAACACCACAAACTCAAGTTCAAACACGAAACAAACTCAGGTTCAACTAAAACACAAACTCAAGTTTAACAATTGCCACAAACTGAAGTTCAACAAATTCCACACTCTCAACTTCAAAAAAACCACAAACTCAAGTTAAAAAACACCACAAACTCAAGTTCACACCGACACAAACTCAAGTTCAACAAAAACCACAAAATCAAGTTCAAACATGAAACTCAAGTTCAAAAACACCACCAACTCAAGTTCAGAAACGCCACAAACTCAAGTTCAAAAACAACACAAACTCAAGTTCAACCAACACCCAAATCTCAAGTTTAACAATTGCCACAACCTCAAGTTCAACAAATTCTACCCCCTCAAATTTAAAAATACCACAAAGTCATGTTTAAAAACACCACAAACTCAAGTTCAAACACGAAACAAACTCAGGTTCAACTAAAACACAAACTCAAGTTTAACAATTGCCACAAACTGAAGTTCAAAAAATTCCACACTCTCAACTTCAAAAAAACCACAAACTCAAGTTAAAAAACACCACAAACTGAAGTTCAAACACGACACAAACTCAAGTTAAACAAAAACCACAAAATCAAGTTCAAACATGAAACTCAAGTTCAAAAACACCACCAACTCAAGTTCAGAAACGCCACAAACTCAAGTTCAAAAACAACACAAACTCAAGTTCAACCAACACCCAAATCTCAAGTTAAACAATTGCCACAACCTCAAGTTCAACAATCACACAAACTCAAGTTCAAACACGACACAAACTCAAGTTCAACAAACACACAAACTCAAGTTTAACAATTGCCACAACCTCAAGTTCAACAAATTACACACCCTCAAGTTCATAAACACCACAAACTCAAGTTCAACCAACACCCAAATCTCAAGTTCAAGCAATAATAAAAACTCAAATTCAAAAACAACACAAACTCAAATTCAAACACAACACAAACTCAAGTTCAACAAACAAAGAAATTCAAGTTCAACCAAAAACAACTTATTGTCAAGTTTAACAATTTCCACAACCTCAAGTTCAAAAACAACAGAAACTCAAGTTCAAAAAACACACAAACTCAAGTTCAACAAACACGCAAATTCAAGTTCAAAAACACCACAAAATCAAGTTCAAACACGACAAAAAATCAAGTTCAACAAACAGACACACTCATGTTCAACCAACACCCAAATCTCAAGTTTAACAATTTCCACAACCTCCAGCTCAAATACAACACAGACTCAAGTTCAAAAAACACACAAGCTCAAGTTTTACACAAACTCAAGTTCAACAAAAACCACAAACTCAAGTTCAACCAACACCTGATTCTCAAGATTAAACATTTTCACAACCTCAAGTTCAAAAAACACACAAACTCAAGTTCAAACACGACACAAACTCAAGTTCAAATGCAACACAAACTCAAGTTCAACAAACACAGTAACTCAAGTTCAAAATCACCAAAAACTCAGGTTCAAAAACAGCAAAAACTCAAGTTCAACCAACACCCAAATCTCAAGTTTAACAATTGCCACAACCTTAACTTCAACAAACTCAAGTTCAAAAACCCTGCAACCTAAAGTAAAAAAAAAACACAAACTCAAGTTCAAAAACACCCAAATCTCAAGTTTAACAATTGCCACAACCTCAAGTTCAACAAATTCTACCCCTCAAATTTAAAAATACCACAAAGTCATGTTTAAAAACACCACAAACTCAAGTTCAAACACGAAACAAACTCAGGTTCAACTAAAACACAAACTCAAGTTTAACAATTGCCACAAACTGAAGTTCAAAAAATTCCACACTCTCAACTTCAAAAAAACCACAAACTCAAGTTAAAAAACACCACAAACTGAAGTTCAAACACGACACAAACTCAAGTTCAACAAAAACCACAGAATCAAGTTCAAACACGAAACTCAAGTTCAAAAAAACCACCAACTCAAGTTCCGAAACGCCACAAACTCAAGTTCAAAAACAACACAAACTCAAGTTCAACCAACACCCAAATCTCAAGTTAAACAATTGCCACAACCTCAATTTCAACAAACACACAAACTCAAGTTCAAAAAAAAATTCAAGTTCAACAAACACACTAACTCAAGTTTAACAATTGCCACAACCTCAAGTTCAACAAATTACACACCCTCAAGTTCATAAACACCACAAACTCAAGTTCAACCAACACCCAAATCTCAAGTTCAAGCAATAATAAAAACTCAAATTCAAAAACAACACAAACTCAAATTCAAACACAACACAAACTCAAGTTCAACAAACAAAGAAATTCAAGTTCAACCAAAAACAACTTATTGTCAAGTTTAACAATTTCCACAACCTCAAGTTCAAAAACAACAGAAACTCAAGTTCAAAAAACACACAAACTCAAGTTCAACAAACACGCAAATTCAAGTTCAAAAACACCACAAAATCAAGTTCAAACACGACAAAAAATCAAGTTCAACAAACAGACACACTCATGTTCAACCAACACCCAAATCTCAAGTTTAACAATTTCCACAACCTCAAGATCAAAAACAACACAGACTCAAGTTCAAAAAACACACAAGCTCAAGTTTTACACAAACTCAAGTTCAACAAAAACCACAAACTCAAGTTCAACCAACACCTGATTCTCAAGATTAAACATTTTCACAACCTCAAGTTCAAAAAACACACAAACTCAAGTTCAAACACGACACAAACTCAAGTTCAAATGCAACACAAACTCAAGTTCAACAAACACAGTAACTCAAGTTCAAAATCACCAAAAACTCAGGTTCAAAAACAGCAAAAACTCAAGTTCAACCAACACCCAAATCTCAAGTTTAACAATTGCCACAACCTTAACTTCAACAAACTCAAGTTCAAAAACCCTGCAACCTAAAGTAAAAAAAAAACACAAACTCAAGTTCAAAAACACAAAAAACTCAAGTTCAAACACGACACAAACTCAAGTTCAACCAACACCCAAATCTCAAGTTAAACAATTGCCACAACCTCAAGTTCAACAAACACACAAACTCAAGTTCAACAAATGCCACAAACTCAAGTTCAACAAACGCCACAAACTCAAATTCAAACACAACACAAACTCAACTTCAACAAACACACATACTCGAGTTCAAACACCACAAACCCAAGTTCAACAAACACACAAACTCAAGTTTAACAATTGCCACAACCTCAAGTTAAACAAATTACACACCCTCAAGTTCAAAAACACCACAAACTCAAGTTCAAACACAACACAAACTCAAGTTCAACAAACACACAAACTCAAGTTCAACAAACACACAAACTCAAGTTCATCAAACACACGAACTCAAGTTCAAATACACCACAAACTCAAGTTCAAACACGACACAAACTCAATTTCAACCAACACCTGATTCTCAAGTTTATAAATTTTCACAACCTCAATTTAAAAAAACACACAAAATGAAGTTCAACAAACAAGAACTCAACTTCAAACACGCCACAAACTCAAGTTGAACCAACACTCAAATCTCAAGTTAAACAATTGCCACAACCTGGAGTTCATCAAACAAACCAACTCAAGTTCAAACACACAACAAACTCAAGTTCAAACATGACACAAACTCAAGTTCAACAAACACCTGATTCAAAGGTTAACAATATCCACAACCTCAAGTTCAAATACAACAGAAACTCAAGTTCAAAAAACACAAACTCAAGTTCACAAAACACGCAAATTAAAGTTCAAAAACACCACAAACTCAAGTTCAAACACGACACAAACTCAAGTTCAAAAACACCAAAAACTCAAGTTCAACCAGGACCCAATTCTCAAGTTTAACAATTTCCACAACTTCAAATTCAAGAACAACACAGACTCAAGTTCAAAATCACCACAAACTCAAGTTAGAAAACGGCACAAAATCAAGTTCAAACACAACACAAACTCAAGTTCAACCAACACCTTATTGTCAAGTTTAAAAATTTTCACAACCTCAAGTTTAAATAACACACAATCTCAAGTTCAAACACACCACAAACTCAAGTTCAACAAAAACCACAAACTCAAGTTCAACCAACACCTGATTCTCAAGTTTAAAAATTTTAACAACCTCAAGTTCAAATAACACACAATCTCAAGTTCAAACACACCACAAACACAAGTTCAAAAACAGTATAAACTCAAGTTCAACCAATACCCACTTTCTCAAGTTGAACAATTTCCAACACCTCAAGTTCAAAAACAACACAGACTGAAGTTCAAATACACAACATACTCAAGTTCAAACACAACACAAACTCAAGTTTAAAAAAAAACACAAATTCAAGTTCAACCAACACCTGATTCTCAAGTTTTACAATTCCACAAGCTCAAGTTCAAAAAGATCACAGACTCAAGTTGAAACACGACACAAACTCAAGGTCAACCAATATCCAAGTCTCAAGTTTAAAAATTGCCACAACCTCAAGTGCAACAAACACACAAACTCAAGTTCACCAAACACGCAAATTCAAGGTCAAAAACACCACAAACTCAAGTTCAAACACGACACAAACTCAAGTTCAAAAACACCAATGACTCAAGTTCAACCAATACCAGATTCTCAAGTTTAACAATTTCCACAACCTCAAGTTAAAAAAAAACCACAAACTCAAGTTAAAACACGACACAAACTCAAGTAAAAAAAAACCACAAACTCAAGTTCAACAAACACCTGATTCTCAAGTTTAAAAATTTTCAAAACCTCAAGTTCAAAAAACACAAAATAAAGTTAAACAAACATCATGAACTCAAGTTCAGACATGACACAAACTCAAATTCAACCAACACCCAAATCTGAAGTTTAGCTATTGCCACATCCTCAAGTTCAACAAACACACAAACTCAAGTTAAAACACACCAAAACCTAAGTTTAAACACGTCACAAACTCAAGTTAAAAAGCAACAAAAACTCAAGTTCGACCAATACCCAATTCTCAAGATAAAAAATCTCCACAACCTCAAGTTCAAAAACATCACAAACTCAAGTTCAAACACGACACAAACTCAAGTTTAACAAACACACACAAACTAAGTTCAAAAACAACAGAAACTCAAGTTCAAAAAACACACAAACTCAAGTTCAACAAAAAACACAAACTCAAGTTCAACAAAAACCACAAACTCAAGTTCAAACACGACACAAACTAGAGTTCAACCAACAACCAAATCTCAAGCTTAACAACTGCCACAACCTCAAGTTAAACAACCACACAAACTCAAGTTCAACAAACGCCACAAAGTCAAGTTCAAACATGAAACAAACTCATGTTCAAAAACAACACAAACTTAAGTTCAACAAACACAAAAACTCAAGTTCAAACACGACACAAACTCAAGTTCAACTTAAACACAAACTCAAGTTTAACAAATCCCACAACATCAAGTTCAACAAATTCCACACCCTCAACTTCAAAAAACCAGAAACTCAAGTTCAAAAACGACACAAACTCAAGTTCAACAAAAACCAAAAACTCAAGTTCAAACACGAAACTCAAGTTCAACAAACACAAAAAATAGAGTTCAACAAACACCACAAACTCAAGTTCAAACACGGCACAAACTAGAGTTCAAATAACACACAAGTTTAACAATTTCCACAACCTCAAGTTAAAAAAATTCCACACCCTCAACTTCAGAAATACCACAAACTCAAGTTCAAAATCACCACCAACTCAAGTTCAAAAAGACCAAAAACTCAAGTTCAACAAACACACAAACTCAAGTTCAAAAACACCACAAACTCAAGTTCAAACACGACACAAACTCAAGTTCAAAAACACCACAAACTCAAGTTCAAACACGACACAAACTCAAGCTAAACAAAAACCACAAACTCAAGTTCAAACACGAAACTCAAGTTCAAAAACACCACAAACTCAAGTTCAAACACGACACAAACTCAAGTTAAACAAAAACCACAAACTCAAGTTAACACGAAACTCAAGTTCAAAATCACCACCAACTCAAGTTCAAAAAGACAACAAACTCAAGTTCAACAAACACACCAAATCAAGTTCAAAAACACCACAAACTCAAGTTCAAACACGACACAAACTCAAGTTCGAAAACACCACTAACTAAAGTTCAAACACCACACACACTCAAGTTCAAACACGACACAAACTGAAGTTCAAAAACACCATAAAATCAAGTACAAAAACTACAAACTCAAGTTAAAACATGACAAAACTCAAGTTAACAAAAACTACAAACTCGAGTTCAACAAACAACTGATTTTCAAGTTTAAAAATTTTCACAACCTCAAGTTCAAAAAACACAACCAACAGCCAAATCTCAAGTTTAACAATTGCCACAAGCTCAAGTTCAACAAACACACAAACTCAAGTTCAAACACAGCACAAACTCAAGTTCATCAAACACACAAACTCAAGTTCAAAAACACCACAAACTCAAGTTCAAACACGACACAAACTCAAGTTCAAACATGACAAAAACTGAAGTTCAAAAACACCATAAAATCAAGTACAAAAACTACAAACTCAAGTTAAAACATGACAAAACTCAAGTTAACAAAAACTACAAACTCGAGTTCAACAAACAACTGATTTTCAAGTTTAAAAATTTTCACAACCTCAAGTTCAAAAAACACAACCAACAGCCAAATCTCAAGTTTAACAATTGCCACAAGCTCAAGTTCAACAAACACACAAACTCAAGTTCAAACACAGCACAAACTCAAGTTCATCAAACACACAAACTCAAGTTCAAAAACACCACAAACTCAAGTTCAAACACGACACAAACTCAAGTTCAAACATGACAAAAACTGAAGTTCAAAAACACCATAAAATCAAGTACAAAAACTACAAACTCAAGTTAAAACATGACAAAACTCAAGTTAACAAAAACTACAAACTCGAGTTCAACAAACAACTGATTTTCAAGTTTAAAAATTTTCACAACCTCAAGTTCAAAAAACACAACCAACAGCCAAATCTCAAGTTTAACAATTGCCACAAGCTCAAGTTCAACAAACACACAAACTCAAGTTCAAACACAGCACAAACTCAAGTTCATCAAACACACAAACTCAAGTTCAAAAACACCACAAACTCAAGTTCAAACACGACACAAACTAAAGTTCAACAAACGCCAAAAACTCAAGTTAAAAATAGCCAGAGATTAAAGTTCAGTAAAAACCACAGACGCAAGTTCAACAATTGCCACAAACTCAAGTTCAAAAAACACAAAAACTCAAGTTCAAATACACCACAAACTCAAGTTCAACAAACAAACTAACTCAAGTTCAACCGACACCTGATTCCCAGGTTTAACAATTTCCACAACCTCAAGTTCAAAAACAACGGAAACTCAAGTTCAAAAAACACACAAACTCAAGTTCAACAAACACACCAAATCAAGTTCAAAAACACCACAAACTCAAGTGCAAACACAACACAAACTCAAGTTCGAAAACACCACTAACTAAAGTTCAAACACGACACACACTGAAGTTCAAACATGACAAAAACTGAAGTTCAAAAACACCATAAAATCAAGTACAAAAACTCCAAACTCAAGTTAAAACATGACAAAACTCAAGTTAACAAAAACCACAAACTCGAGTTCAACAAACAACTGATTTTCAAGTTTAAAAATTTTCACAACCTCAAGTTCAAAAAACACAACCAACAGCCAAATCTCAAGTTTAACAATTGCCACAAGCTCAAGTTCAACAAACACACAAACTCAAGTTCAAACACAGCACAAACTCAAGTTCATCAAACACACAAACTCAAGTTCAAAAACACCACAAACTCAAGTTCAAACACGACACAAACTCAAGTTCAAACATGACAAAAACTGAAGTTCAAAAACACCATAAAATCAAGTACAAAAACTACAAACTCAAGTTAAAACATGACAAAACTCAAGTTAACAAAAACTACAAACTCGAGTTCGACAAACAACTGATTTTCAAGTTTAAAAATTTTCACAACCTCAAGTTCAAAAAACACAACCAACAGCCAAATCTCAAGTTTAACAATTGCCACAAGCTCAAGTTCAACAAACACACAAACTCAAGTTCAAACACAGCACAAACTCAAGTTCATCAAACACACAAACTCAAGTTCAAAAACACCACAAACTCAAGTTCAAACACGACACAAACTAAAGTTCAACAAACGCCAAAAACTCAAGTTAAAAATAGCCAGAGATTAAAGTTCAGTAAAAACCACAGACGCAAGTTCAACAATTGCCACAAACTCAAGTTCAAAAAACACAAAAACTCAAGTTCAAATACACCACAAACTCAAGTTCAACAAACAAACTAACTCAAGTTCAACCGACACCTGATTCCCAGGTTTAACAATTTCCACAACCTCAAGTTCAAAAACAACGGAAACTCAAGTTCAAAAAACACACAAACTCAAGTTCACCAAACACGCAAATTCAAGTTCAAAAACACAAAAAACTCAAGTTCAAAAACGACACAAACTCAAGTTCAACCAACATACAAACTCAAGTTCAAACACACCACAAACTCAAGTTCAACAAACAAACTAACTCAAGTTCAACCAACACCTGATTCCCGGGTTTAACAATTTTCAAAACCTAAAGTTCAAAAACAACAGAAACTCAAGTTCAAAAACACAACAAACGCAAGTTCAAACACGACACAAACTCAAGTTCAACAAAAACCACAAACTCAAGTTCAACTAACAGCTAATTCTCAAGTTTAAAAATTTTCACAAACTCAAGTTAAAAAAAACACAAACTCAAATTCAAACACAGCACAAACTCAAGTTTAAACATGACACAAACTCAAGTTCAAAAACAAAAAAAACTCAACCAATACCCAATTCTTATGTTTAACAATTTCCACAACCTCAAGTTCAAAAACACCACAAACTCAAGTTCAAACAAAACACAAAATCAAGTTCATCAAACACACAAACTCAAGTTCAAAAACACCACAAACTCAAGTTCAAACACAACACAAACTCAAGTTCAACAAACACACTAACTCAAGTTCAACCAACACCTGATTCTCAGGTTTAACAATTTCCACAACCTCAAGTTCAAAAACACCACAAACTCAAGTTCAAACAAAACACAAAATCAAGTTCATCAAACACACAAAATCAAGTTCAAAAACACCACAAACTCAAGTTCAAACACGACACAAACTTAAGTTCAACAAACGCCAAAAACTCAAGTTAAAAATAGCCAGAGATTAAAGTTCAGTAAAAACCACAGACGCAAGTTCAACAATTGCCACAAACTCAAGTTCAAAAAACACAAAAAACTCAAGTTCAAACATGACACAAACTCAAGTTCAACCAACACACAAACTCAAGTTTAAACACACTTCAATCTCAAGTTCAACCAACACACAAACTCAAGTTCAAACACACCACAAACTCAAGTTCAACCAACACACAAACTCAAGTTCAAAAATTGACACCAATTAAAGTTCATTAAAAACCACTGTAGCGATTTGAAATGAGCCTTACACAGCGGCACCAAAATAATACGGTTTGAAATTAGCCTCACACGGTCGCACCAAAATAATACTGTAGCGATTTGAATTTATAAGAAATGTCTGAAGATTAATAATCTCAAGTTATGACATTTATGCACTCGTTGAAAGGGGCACCACCCACCCTTAATGGTGGGAAAATAAAGAAAACTAAAGTTTAATTCAGAAATCAAACATCAAGTCAATCATTAATTAATCAATCTCATATCTTAAGCCGAAATTCTCATTTCAGGGACTCCACTTCTGGAAGAACACTAACAGACAAGAACTTAGAAAAATAATGATCTGTTTATTACAGCATAAATGATGGTACAACACACATGCAATAAATGATGATAAGATAATGAGGATATATAACAATAGGTGAATAAATAAAGATTCTGAGTCAGGCTAGGAGCACTAAAGTTAATGATAGTGAGTGAATATGCTCTAACATATTAACCTACACTAACTTTGGTGTCAAGATAAACTCGGATGTGGATTTGGAGGAATCTGAGATTACCAGAATAAGTGGATATCTGAGTTATGAACGCATGAGACAGCATCAGCCCTGTTTGGAGCTCTGGAGATTTGCATACTTAAGTGAGACTGGTCCTTGGAGAAGATGGAGCAGGTTCCGAAGGTCCGGGGCTAACGGCGATTCGAGCGGTTCAGCTCAAAAGACGACTGAAGTCAGCTGAAGAATGGGCCAGGAGTTGTAGCACTCAGGCCTGAAGTAAAGCCGGCGCCTGTGGATCCTGAGGATGCTCGTTTGGATGCTTCTTTGGTCTCACTCAAAAACTCTGGCACAGAGGATGACCTGGGCCTGCTGGGTTGCGTTCAGAGGTGACTTTGAAATCACACAGATAACTCAGAAAAACGAGGTTCGATGAGCAGAGATAACTTTCAAAAATGGCCTCACGAAATTAAAGAAAAATCAATCAAAAGCTTAATCTTGAATTGCTATGCGCACAAAAAGTTGAAGTTTCAAAACTTGAACTAAGACGATGTTAAAGAAAAATCAACGTGAATCAACACGTGGTGTAAAACTTAGAAGAGTAAGAAAAAGTTCTAAGAGAAAACAAAGAAGAGGACCACAGAAGGGTGTGGACAGAAGACCCAAAAGGGGAGAAGAGTAAGGGGCATAAGAGAGAGCAGACAAGAGAGTGAGCAACCCCACTTCACTGGTTTTATCTTCTCACACTGGGAGTGGCTCTGGCGTGTGTGTGTGAGGAGAAAGAGGAGGGTTCATGGGGTCTCTGATTATTTGATCTACCTTATTCTTTTGGCTGGTAAAAGAGTCAGATCTGATACTCACTCACTATGATTAATATCATTGAATGCTTGGTTTCATGATAAATAATTCAATACTAAACATATATGAATGAAGTGTAGGATCACATCAAACATTCATAGTCAATAAATTTAACTCTTAAAAGTTCATGAAACAGTCTGAAAAGCTGTTGGTCTAAAGAAACTTAAGAATAAAGGATTTATTCTGTCCGAGTAATAATTCTGCTTCTGGAGCACATAGAAAAACGGGAAACATCTCATTTTAACACATATTTCATGATTAGACAGATTAGTACATTGCTGAATGCATAAGATGTCAGGATCAGTCATTTGTATTCTTTCACCAAAGGAATGCAGTCTTTATCAGTGAATGGTCGAGCAGGGTTTTACGACCGAGGTCTGGAGGTCAGTGTCCCCTCTTCTCCTGGGGTCTGTATGTTCACACACTTTAAGAAGGTAAATCTCAAATGGGAGATCTAGGTTGAGACGTTAATGTTTATTTAGATGGTCAGCAATGGAGTCAGTTTGAAAGGTAATAAAAACTCTGTCTCTGTTCTCCGAATTGACCAATCGTGAAGAGTCAGAGGTTTAGTCAACCTCCGGTCGGGTCATTTAACCTGAAAGTGCAAACAAGTCTGGAAAGATTTATATCCTGTGTCCTGGGACCAGATAAGGAAACTTTCCTGTGAGAAATGTGTGAGTTTCACACCCAGGGTTGTCTTGATTGCTACACCACAGACGCAAGTTCAGCAATTGCCACAAACTCAAGTTCAACGAATCTTAGTTCAACAAACACACAAACTCAAGTTCAACCAACACCTGATTCAAAGGTTTAACAATATCCACAACCTCAAGTTCAAATACAACAGAAACTCAAGTTCAAAAAACACAAACTCAAGTTCACAAAACACACAAATTAAAGTTCAAAAACACCACAAACTCAAGTTCAAACACGACACAAACTCAAGTTCAAAAACACCAAAAACTCAAGTTCAACCAGGACCCAATTCTCAAGTTTAACAATTTCCACAACTTCAAATTCAAGAACAACACAGACTCAAGTTCAAAATCACCACAAACTCAAGTTAAAAAACGGCACAAAATCAAGTTCAAACACAACACAAACTCAAGTTCAACCAACACCTGATTGTCAAGTTTAAAAAATTTCACAACCTCAAGTTTAAATAACACACAATCTCAAGTTCAAACACACCACAAACTCAAGTTCAACAAAAACCACAAACTCAAGTTCAACCAACACCTGATTCTCAAGTTTAAAAATTTTAACAACCTCAAGTTCAAATAACACAGAATCTCAAGTTCAAACACACCACAAACACAAGTTCAAAAACAATATAAACTCAAGTTCAACCAATACCCACTTTCTCAAGTTGAACAATTTCCACCACCTCAAGTTCAAAAACAACACAGACTGAAGTTCAAATACACAACATACTCAAGTTCAAACACAACACAAACTCAAGTTTAAAAAAAAACACAAATTCAAGTTCAACCAACACCTGATTCTCAAGTTTTACAATTCCACAAGCTCAAGTTCAAAAAGAACACAGACTCAAGTTGAAACACGACACAAACTCAAGGTCAACCAATATCCAAGTCTCAAGTTTAAAAATTGCCACAACCTCAAGTGCAACAAACACACAAACTCAAGTTCACCAAACACGCAAATTCAAGGTCAAAAACACCACAAACTCAAGTTCAAACACGACACAAACTCAAGTTCAAAAACACCAATGACTCAAGTTCAACCAATACCAGATTCTCAAGTTTAACAATTTCCACAACCTCAAGTTAAAAAAAAACACAAACTCAAGTTAAAACACGACACAAACTCAAGTAAAAAAAACCACAAACTCAAGTTCAACAAACACCTGATTCTCAAGTTTAAAAATTTTCAAAACCTCAAGTTCAAAAAACACACAAAATAAAGTTAAACAAACATCATGAACTCAAGTTCAGACATGACACAAACTCAAATTCAACACCCAAATCTTAAGTTTTGCTATTGCCACATCCTCAAGTTCAACAAACACACAAACTCAAGTTAAAACACACCAAAACCTAAGTTTAAACACGTCACAAACTCAAGTTAAAAAGCAACAAAAACTCAAGTTCGACCAATACCCAATTCTCAAGATAAAAAATCTCCACAACCTCAAGTTCAAAAACATCACAAACTCAAGTTCAAACACGACACAAACCCAAGTTTAACAAACACACAAACTAAAGATCAAACAATACACAATTCTCAAGTTTAAAGATTTCAACAACATTAAGTTAAAAAACAACAGAAACTCAAGTTCAAAAAACACACAAACTCAAGTTCAACAAAAAACACAAACTCAAGTTCAACAAAAACCACAAACTCAAGTTCAAACACGACACAAACTAGAGTTCAACCAACAACCAAATCTCAAGCTTAACAACTGCCACAACCTCTAGTTAAACAACCACACAAACTCAAGTTCAACAAAAGCCACAAAGTCAAGTTCAAACATGAAACAAACTCATGTTTAAAAACAACACAAACTTAAGTTCAACAAACACAAAAACTCAAGTTCAAACACGACACCAACTCAAGTTCAACTTAAACACAAACTCAAGTTTAAAAAATCCCACAACATCAAGTTCAACAAATTCCACACCCTCAACTTCAAAAAACCAGAAACTCAAGTTCAAAAACGACACAAACTCAAGTTCAACAAAAACCAAAAACTCAAGTTCAAACACGAAACTCAAGTTCAACAAACACAAAAAATAGAGTTCAACAAACACCACAAACTCAAGTTCAAACACGGCACAAACTAGAGTTCAAATAACACACAAGTTTAACAATTTCCACAACCTCAAGTTAAAAAAATTCCACACCCTAAACTTCAGAAATACCACAAACTCAAGTTCAAAATCACCACCAACTCAAGTTCAAAAAGACCAAAAACTCAAGTTCAACAAACACAGCAAATCAAGTTCAAAAACACCACAAACTCAAGTTCAAACACGACACAAACTCAAGTTCAAAAACACCACAAACTCAAGTTCAAACACGACACAAACTCAAGTTAAACAAAAACCACAAACTCAAGTTCAAACACGAAACTCAAGTTCAAAAACACCACAAACTCAAGTTCAAACACGACACAAACTCAAGTTAAACAAAAACCACAAACTCAAGTTCAAACACGAAACTCAAGTTCAAAATCACCACCAACTCGAGTTCAAAAAGACCACAAACTCAAGTTCAACAAACACACCAAATCAAGTTCAAAAACACCACAAACTCAAGTGCAAACACGACACAAACTCAAGTTCGAAAACACCACTAACTAAAGTTCAAACATGACACACACTCAAGTTCAAACACAACACAAACTCAAGTTCAACAAACACACAAAGTCAATTTCAAATACAACAAAAACTCAAGTTCAAACACAACATAAACTAAAGTTCAACAAACACAAAAACTGAAGTTCAAACATGACACAAACTCAAGTTCAACTAAAACACAAACTCAAGTTAAACAATCGCCACAACCTCAAATTCAACAAATTCCACACCCCCAACTTCAAAAAAACCACAAACTCCAGTACAAAAACAACAAAAAATCAAGTTCAACCAACCCCCAAATCTAAAATTTAACAATTGCCACACCCTCAAGTTCAACAAACACACAAACTCAAGTTCAACAAACGCCACAATCTCAAGTTCAAACATGAAACAAACTCATGTTCAAAAACAACACAAACTTAAGTTCAAAAAACACAAAAACTCAAGTTCAAACACGACACAAACTCAAGTTCAACTAAAACACAAACTCAAGTTTAACAATTGCCACAACCTCAAGTTCAACAAATTCCACACTCTCAACTTCAAAAAAACCACAAACTCAAGTTAAAAAACACCACAAACTGAAGTTCACACCGACACAAACTCAAGTTCAACAAAAACCACAAAATCAAGTTCAAACATGAAACTCAAGTTCAAAAACACCACCAACTCAATTTCAGAAACGCCACAAACTCAAGTTCAAAAACAACACAAACTCAAGTTCAACCAACACCCAAATCTCAAGTTTAACAATTGCCACAACCTCAAGTTCAACAAATTCTACCCCCTCAAATTTAAAAATACCACAAAGTCATGTTTAAAAACACCACAAACTCAAGTTCAAACACGAAACAAACTCAGGTTCAACTAAAACACAAACTCAAGTTTAACAATTGCCACAAACTGAAGTTCAAAAAATCCCACACTCTCAACTTCAAAAAAACCACAAACTCAAGTTAAAAAACACCACAAACTGAAGTTCAAACACGACACAAACTCAAGTTAAACAAAAACCACAAAATCAAGTTCAAACATGAAACTCAAGTTCAAACACGACACAAACTCAAGTTCAAAAACACCAAAAACTCAAGTTCAACCAGGACCCAATTCTCAAGTTTAACAATTTCCACAACTACAAATTCAAGAACAACACAGACTCAAGTTCAAAATCACCACAAACTCAAGTTAAAAAACGGCACAAAATCAAGTTCAAACACAACACAAACTCAAGTTCAACCAACACCTGATTGTCAAGTTTAAAAATTTTCACAACCTCAAGTTTAAATAACACACAATCTCAAGTTCAAACACACCACAAACTCAAGTTCAACAAAAACCACAAACTCAAGTTCAACCAACACCTGATTCTCAAGTTTAAAAATTTTAACAACCTCAAGTTCAAATAACACACAATCTCAAGTTCAAACACACCACAAACACAAGTTCAAAAACAATATAAACTCAAGTTCAACCAATACCCACTTTCTCAAGTTGAACAATTTCCACCACCTCAAGTTCAAAAACAACACAGACTGAAGTTCAAATACACAACATACTCAAGTTCAAACACAACACAAACTCAAGTTTAAAAAAAAACACAAATTCAAGTTCAACCAACACCTGATTCTCAAGTTTTACAATTCCACAAGCTCAAGTTCAAAAAGAACACAGACTCAAGTTGAAACACGACACAAACTCAAGGTCAACCAATATCCAAGTCTCAAGTTTAAAAATTGCCACAACCTCAAGTGCAACAAACACACAAACTCAAGTTCACCAAACACGCAAATTCAAGGTCAAAAACACCACAAACTCAAGTTCAAACACGACACAAACTCAAGTTCAAAAACACCAATGACTCAAGTTCAACCAATACCAGATTCTCAAGTTTAACAAATTCCACACCCCCAACTTCAAAAAAACCACAAACTCCAGTACAAAAACAACAAAAAATCAAGTTCAACCAACCCCCAAATCTAAAATTTAACAATTGCCACACCCTCAAGTTCAACAAACACACAAACTCAAGTTCAACAAACGCCACAATCTCAAGTTCAAACATGAAACAAACTCATGTTCAAAAACAACACAAACTTAAGTTCAAAAAACACAAAAACTCAAGTTCAAACACGACACAAACTCAAGTTCAACTAAAACACAAACTCAAGTTTAACAATTGCCACAACCTCAAGTTCAACAAATTCCACACTCTCAACTTCAAAAAAACCACAAACTCAAGTTAAAAAACACCACAAACTCAAGTTCACACCGACACAAACTCAAGTTCAACAAAAACCACAAAATCAAGTTCAAACATGAAACTCAAGTTCAAAAACACCACCAACTCAAGTTCAGAAACGCCACAAACTCAAGTTCAAAAACAACACAAACTCAAGTTCAACCAACACCCAAATCTCAAGTTTAACAATTGCCACAACCTCAAGTTCAACAAATTCTACCCCCTCAAATTTAAAAATACCACAAAGTCATGTTTAAAAACACCACAAACTCAAGTTCAAACACGAAACAAACTCAGGTTCAACTAAAACACAAACTCAAGTTTAACAATTGCCACAAACTGAAGTTCAAAAAATCCCACACTCTCAACTTCAAAAAAACCACAAACTCAAGTTAAAAAACACCACAAACTGAAGTTCAAACACGACACAAACTCAAGTTAAACAAAAACCACAAAATCAAGTTCAAACATGAAACTCAAGTTCAAACACGACACAAACTCAAGTTCAAAAACACCAAAAACTCAAGTTCAACCAGGACCCAATTCTCAAGTTTAACAATTTCCACAACTACAAATTCAAGAACAACACAGACTCAAGTTCAAAATCACCACAAACTCAAGTTAAAAAACGGCACAAAATCAAGTTCAAACACAACACAAACTCAAGTTCAACCAACACCTGATTGTCAAGTTTAAAAATTTTCACAACCTCAAGTTTAAATAACACACAATCTCAAGTTCAAACACACCACAAACTCAAGTTCAACAAAAACCACAAACTCAAGTTCAACCAACACCTGATTCTCAAGTTTAAAAATTTTAACAACCTCAAGTTCAAATAACACACAATCTCAAGTTCAAACACACCACAAACACAAGTTCAAAAACAATATAAACTCAAGTTCAACCAATACCCACTTTCTCAAGTTGAACAATTTCCACCACCTCAAGTTCAAAAACAACACAGACTGAAGTTCAAATACACAACATACTCAAGTTCAAACACAACACAAACTCAAGTTTAAAAAAAAACACAAATTCAAGTTCAACCAACACCTGATTCTCAAGTTTTACAATTCCACAAGCTCAAGTTCAAAAAGAACACAGACTCAAGTTGAAACACGACACAAACTCAAGGTCAACCAATATCCAAGTCTCAAGTTTAAAAATTGCCACAACCTCAAGTGCAACAAACACACAAACTCAAGTTCACCAAACACGCAAATTCAAGGTCAAAAACACCACAAACTCAAGTTCAAACACGACACAAACTCAAGTTCAAAAACACCAATGACTCAAGTTCAACCAATACCAGATTCTCAAGTTTAACAATTTCCACAACCTCAAGTTAAAGAAAAACACAAACTCAAGTTAAAACACGACACAAACTCAAGTAAAAAAAACCACAAACTCAAGTTCAACAAACACCTGATTCTCAAGTTTAAAAATTTTCAAAACCTCAAGTTCAAAAAACACACAAAATAAAGTTAAACAAACATCATGAACTCAAGTTCAGACATGACACAAACTCAAATTCAACCAACACCCAAATCTTAAGTTTAGCTATTGCCACATCCTCAAGTTCAACAAACACACAAACTCAAGTTAAAACACACCAAAACCTAAGTTTAAACACGTCACAAACTCAAGTTAAAAAGCAACAAAAACTCAAGTTCGACCAATACCCAATTCTCAAGATAAAAAATCTCCACAACCTCAAGTTCAAAAACATCACAAACTCAAGTTCAAACACGACACAAACCCAAGTTTAACAAACACACAAACTAAAGATCAAACAATACACAATTCTCAAGTTTAAAGATTTCAACAACATTAAGTTAAAAAACAACAGAAACTCAAGTTCAAAAAACACACAAACTCAAGTTCAACAAAAAACACAAACTCAAGTTCAACAAAAACCACAAACTCAAGTTCAAACACGACACAAACTAGAGTTCAACCAACAACCAAATCTCAAGCTTAACAACTGCCACAACCTCAAGTTAAACAACCACACAAACTCAAGTTCAACAAAAGCCACAAAGTCAAGTTCAAACATGAAACAAACTCATGTTCAAAAACAACACAAACTTAAGTTCAACAAACACAAAAACTCAAGTTCAAACACGACACAATCTCAAGTTCAACTTAAACACAAACTCAAGTTCAAAAAATCCCACAACATCAAGTTCAACAAATTCCACACCCTCAACTTCAAAAAACCAGAAACTCAAGTTCAAAAACGACACAAACTCAAGTTCAACAAAAACCAAAAACTCAAGTTCAAACACGAAACTCAAGTTCAACAAACACAAAAAATAGAGTTCAACAAACACCACAAACTCAAGTTCAAACACGGCACAAACTAGAGTTCAAATAACACACAAGTTTAACAATTTCCACAACCTCAAGTTAAAAAAATTCCACACCCTCAACTTCAGAAATACCACAAACTCAAGTTCAAAATCACCACCAACTCAAGTTCAAAAAGACCAAAAACTCAAGTTCAACAAACACAGCAAATCAAGTTCAAAAACACCACAAACTCAAGTGCAAACACGACACAAACTCAAGTTCAAAAACACCACAAACTCAAGTTCAAACACGACACAAACTCAAGTTAAACAAAAACCACAAACTCAAGTTCAAACACGAAACTCAAGTTCAAAATCACCACCAACTCGAGTTCAAAAAGACCACAAACTCAAGTTCAACAAACACACCAAATCAAGTTCAAAAACACCACAAACTCAAGTGCAAACACGACACAAACTCAAGTTCAAAAACACCACTAACTAAAGTTCAAACATGACACACACTCAAGTTCAAACACAACACAAACTCAAGTTCAACAAACACACAAAGTCAATTTCAAATACAACAAAAACTCAAGTTCAAACACAACATAAACTAAAGTTCAACAAACACAAAAACTGAAGTTCAAACATGACACAAACTCAAGTTCAACTAAAACACAAACTCAAGTTAAACAATCGCCACAACCTCAAATTCAACAAATTCCACACCCCCAACTTCAAAAAAACCACAAACTCCAGTACAAAAACAACAAAAAATCAAGTTCAACCAACCCCCAAATCTAAAATTTAACAATTGCCACACCCTCAAGTTCAACAAACACACAAACTCAAGTTCAACAAACGCCACAATCTCAAGTTCAACAAACGCCACAATCTCAAGTTCAAACATGAAACAAACTCATGTTCAAAAACAACACAAACTTAAGTTCAAAAAACACAAAAACTCAAGTTCAAACACGACAAAAACTCAAGTTCAACTAAAACACAAACTCAAGTTTAACAATTGCCACAACCTCAAGTTCAAAAAATTCCACACTCTCAACTTCAAAAAAAACACAAACTCAAGTTAAAAAACACCACAAACTGAAGTTCACACCGACACAAACTCAAGTTCAACAAAAACCACAAAATCAAGTTCAAACATGAAACTCAAGTTCAAAAACACCACCAACTCAAGTTCAGAAACGCCACAAACTCAAGTTCAAAAACAACACAAACTCAAGTTCAACCAACACCCAAATCTCAAGTTTAACAATTGCCACAACCTCAAGTTCAACAAATTCTACCCCTTCAAATTTAAAAATACCACAAAGTCATGTTTAAAAACACCACAAACTCAAGTTCAAACACGAAACAAACTCAGGTTCAACTAAAACACAAACTCAAGTTTAACAATTGCCATAAACTGAAGTTCAAAAAATTCCACACTCTCAACTTCAAAAAAACCACAAACTCAAGTTAAAAAACACCACAAACTGAAGTTCAAACACGACACAAACTCAAGTTAAACAAAAACCACAAAATCAAGTTCAAACATGAAACTCAAGTTCAAAAACACCGCCAACTCAAGTTCAGAAACGCCACAAACTCAAGTTCAACAAACACGCAAATTCAAGTTCAAAAACACCACAAAATCAAGTTCAAACACGACAAAAAATCAAGTTCAACAAACAGACACACTCATGTTCAACCAACACCCAAATCTCAAGTTTAACAATTTCCACAACCTCCAGCTCAAATACAACACAGACTCAAGTTCAAAAAACACACAAGCTCAAGTTTTACACAAACTCAAGTTCAACAAAAACCACAAACTCAAGTTCAACCAAAACCTGATTCTCAAGATTAAACATTTTCACAACCTCAAGTTCAAAAAACACACAAACTCAAGTTCAAACACGACACAAACTCAAGTTCAACAAACACACAAACTCAAGTTTAACAATTGCCACAACCTCAAGTTCAACAAATTCTACCCCTTCAAATTTAAAAATACCACAAAGTCATGTTTAAAAACACCACAAACTCAAGTTCAAACACGAAACAAACTCAGGTTCAACTAAAACACAAACTCAAGTTTAACAATTGCCATAAACTGAAGTTCAAAAAATTCCACACTCTCAACTTCAAAAAAACCACAAACTCAAGTTAAAAAACACCACAAACTGAAGTTCAAACACGACACAAACTCAAGTTAAACAAAAACCACAAAATCAAGTTCAAACATGAAACTCAAGTTCAAAAACACCACCAACTCAAGTTCAGAAACGCCACAAACTCAAGTTCAAAAACAACACAAACTCAAGTTCAACCAACACCCAAATCTCAAGTTAAACAATTGCCACAACCTCAAGTTCAACAATCACACAAACTCAAGTTCAAACACGACACAAACTCAAGTTCAACAAACACACAAACTCAAGTTTAACAATTGCCACAACCTCAAGTTCAACAAATTACACACCCTCAAGTTCATAAACACCACAAACTCAAGTTCAACCAACACCCAAATCTCAAGTTCAAGCAATAATAAAAACTCAAATTCAAAAACAACACAAACTCGAATTCAAACACAACACAAACTCAAGTTCAACAAACAAAGAAATTCAAGTTCAACCAAAAACAACTTATTGTCAAGTTTAACAATTTCCACAACCTCAAGTTCAAAAACAACAGAAACTCAAGTTCAAAAAACACACAAACTCAAGTTCAACAAACACGCAAATTCAAGTTCAAAAACACCACAAAATCAAGTTCAAACACGACAAAAAATCAAGTTCAACAAACAGACACACTCATGTTCAACCAACACCCAAATCTCAAGTTTAACAATTTCCACAACCTCCAGCTCAAATACAACACAGACTCAAGTTCAAAAAACACACAAGCTCAAGTTTTACACAAACTCAAGTTCAACAAAAACCACAAACTCAAGTTCAACCAACACCTGATTCTCAAGATTAAACATTTTCACAACCTCAAGTTCAAAAAACACACAAACTCAAGTTCAAACACGACACAAACTCAAGTTCAAATGCAACACAAACTCAAGTTCAACAAACACAGTAACTCAAGTTCAAAATCACCAAAAACTCAGGTTCAAAAACAGCAAAAACTCAAGTTCAACCAACACCCAAATCTCAAGTTTAACAATTGCCACAACCTTAACTTCAACAAACTCAAGTTCAAAAACCCTGCAACCTAAAGTAAAAAAAAACACAAACTCAAGTTCAAAAACACCCAAATCTCAAGTTTAACAATTGCCACAACCTCAAGTTCAACAAATTCTACCCCCTCAAATTTAAAAATACCACAAAGTCATGTTTAAAAACACCACAAACTCAAGTTCAAACACGAAACAAACTCAGGTTCAACTAAAACACAAACTCAAGTTTAACAATTGCCACAAACTGAAGTTCAAAAAATTCCACACTCTCAACTTCAAAAAAACCACAAACTCAAGTTAAAAAACACCACAAACTGAAGTTCAAACACGACACAAACTCAAGTTAAACAAAAACCACAAAATCAAGTTCAAACATGAAACTCAAGTTCAAAAACACCACCAACTCAAGTTCAGAAACGCCACAAACTCAAGTTCAAAAACAACACAAACTCAAGTTCAACCAACACCCAAATCTCAAGTTAAACAATTTCCACAACCTCAAGTTCAACAATCACACAAACTCAAGTTCAAACACGACACAAACTCAAGTTCAACAAACACACAAACTCAAGTTTAACAATTGCCACAACCTCAAGTTCAACAAATTACACACCCTCAAGTTCATAAACACACACAAACTCAAGTTCAACCAACACCCAAATCTCAAGTTCAAGCAATAATAAAAACTCAAATTCAAAAACAACACAAACTCAAATTCAAACACAACACAAACTCAAGTTCAACAAACAAAGAAATTCAAGTTCAACCAAAAACAACTTATTGTCAAGTTTAACAATTTCCACAACCTCAAGTTCAAAAACAACAGAAACTCAAGTTCAAAAAACACACAAACTCAAGTTCAACAAACACGCAAATTCAAGTTCAAAAACACCACAAAATCAAGTTCAAACACGACAAAAAATCAAGTTCAACAAACAGACACAACTCATGTTCAACCAACACCCAAATCTCAAGTTTAACAATTTCCACAACCTCCAGCTCAAATACAACACAGACTCAAGTTCAAAAAACACACAAACTCAAGTTCAACAAAAACCACAAACTCAAGTTCAACAAAAACCACAAACTCAAGTTCAAACACGACACAAACTAGAGTTCAACCAACAAACAAATCTCAAGCTTAACAACTGCCACAACCTCAAGTTAAACAACCACACAAACTCAAGTTCAACAAACGCCACAAAGTCAAGTTCAAACACGACACAAACTCAAGTTCAACTTAAACACAAACTCAAGTTTAACAAATCCCACAACATCAAGTTCAACAAATTCAACACCCTCAACTTCAAAAAACCAGAAACTCAAGTTCAAAAACGACACAAACTCAAGTTCAACAAAAACCAAAAACTCAAGTTCAAACACGAAACTCAAGTTCAACAAACACAAAAAATAGAGTTCAACAAACACCACAAACTCAAGTTCAAACACGGCACAAACTAGAGTTCAAATAACACACAAACTCAAGTTTAACAATTTCCACAACCTCAAGTTAAAAAAATTCCACACCCTCAACTTCAGAAATACCACAAACTCAAGTTCAAAATCACCACCAACTCAAGTTCAAAAAGACCAAAAACTCAAGTTCAACAAACACAGCAAATCAAGTTCAAAAACACCACAAACTCAAGTGCAAACACGACACAAACTCAAGTTCAAAAAGACCACAAACTCAAGTTCAAACACGACACAAACTCAAGTTAAACAAAAACCACAAACTCAAGTTCAAACACGAAACTCAAGTTCAAAAACACCACAAACTCAAGTTCAAACACGACACAAACTCAAGTTAAACAAAAACCACAAACTCAAGTTCAAACACGAAACTCAAGTTCAAAATCACCACCAACTCAAGTTCAAAAAGACCACAAACTCAAGTTCAACAAACACACCAAATCAAGTTCAAAAACACCACAAACTCAAGTGCAAACACAACACAAACTCAAGTTCGAAAACACCACTAACTAAAGTTCAAACACGACACACACTCAAGTTCAAACATGACAAAAACTGAAGTTCAAAAACACCATAAAATCAAGTACAAAAACTACAAACTCAAGTTAAAACATGACAAAACTCAAGTTAACAAAAACTACAAACTCGAGTTCAACAAACAACTGATTTTCAAGTTTAAAAATTTTCACAACCTCAAGTTCAAAAAACACAACCAACAGCCAAATCTCAAGTTTAACAATTGCCACAAGCTCAAGTTCAACAAACACACAAACTCAAGTTCAAACACAGCACAAACTCAAGTTCATCAAACACACAAACTCAAGTTCAAAAACACCACAAACTCAAGTTCAAACACGACACAAACTCAAGTTCAAACATGACAAAAACTGAAGTTCAAAAACACCATAAAATCAAGTACAAAAACTACAAACTCAAGTTAAAACATGACAAAACTCAAGTTAACAAAAACTACAAACTCGAGTTCAACAAACAACTGATTTTCAAGTTTAAAAATTTTCACAACCTCAAGTTCAAAAAACACAACCAACAGCCAAATCTCAAGTTTAACAATTGCCACAAGCTCAAGTTCAACAAACACACAAACTCAAGTTCAAACACAGCACAAACTCAAGTTCATCAAACACACAAACTCAAGTTCAAAAACACCACAAACTCAAGTTCAAACACGACACAAACTCAAGTTCAACAAACGCCAAAAACTCAAGTTAAAAATAGCCAGAGATTAAAGTTCAGTAAAAACCACAGACGCAAGTTCAACAATTGCCACAAACTCAAGTTCAAAAAACACAAAAACTCAAGTTCAAATACACCACAAACTCAAGTTCAACAAACAAACTAACTCAAGTTCAACCGACACCTGATTCCCAGGTTTAACAATTTCCACAACCTCAAGTTCAAAAACAACGGAAACTCAAGTTCAAAAAACACACAAACTCAAGTTCAACAAACACACCAAATCAAGTTCAAAAACACCACAAACTCAAGTGCAAACACAACACAAACTCAAGTTCGAAAACACCACTAACTAAAGTTCAAACACGACACACACTGAAGTTCAAACATGACAAAAACTGAAGTTCAAAAACACCATAAAATCAAGTACAAAAACTCCAAACTCAAGTTAAAACATGACAAAACTCAAGTTAACAAAAACCACAAACTCGAGTTCAACAAACAACTGATTTTCAAGTTTAAAAATTTTCACAACCTCAAGTTCAAAAAACACAACCAACAGCCAAATCTCAAGTTTAACAATTGCCACAAGCTCAAGTTCAACAAACACACAAACTCAAGTTCAAACACAGCACAAACTCAAGTTAATCAAACACACAAACTCAAGTTCAAAAACACCACAAACTCAAGTTCAAACACGACACAAACTCAAGTTCAAACATGACAAAAACTGAAGTTCAAAAACACCATAAAATCAAGTACAAAAACTACAAACTCAAGTTAAAACATGACAAAACTCAAGTTAACAAAAACTACAAACTCGAGTTCGACAAACAACTGATTTTCAAGTTTAAAAATTTTCACAACCTCAAGTTCAAAAAACACAACCAACAGCCAAATCTCAAGTTTAACAATTGCCACAAGCTCAAGTTCAACAAACACACAAACTCAAGTTCAAACACAGCACAAACTCAAGTTCATCAAACACACAAACTCAAGTTCAAAAACACCACAAACTCAAGTTCAAACACGACACAAACTAAAGTTCAACAAACGCCAAAAACTCAAGTTAAAAATAGCCAGAGATTAAAGTTCAGTAAAAACCACAGACGCAAGTTCAACAATTGCCACAAACTCAAGTTCAAAAAACACAAAAACTCAAGTTCAAATACACCACAAACTCAAGTTCAACAAACAAACTAACTCAAGTTCAACCGACACCTGATTCCCAGGTTTAACAATTTCCACAACCTCAAGTTCAAAAACAACGGAAACTCAAGTTCAAAAAACACACAAACTCAAGTTCACCAAACACGCAAATTCAAGTTCAAAAACACAAAAAACTCAAGTTCAAAAACGACACAAACTCAAGTTCAACCAACACACAAACTCAAGTTCAAACACACCACAAACTCAAGTTCAACAAACAAACTAACTCAAGTTCAACCAACACCTGATTCCCGGGTTTAACAATTTTCAAAACCTAAAGTTCAAAAACAACAGAAACTCAAGTTCAAAAACACAACAAACGCAAGTTCAAACACGACACAAACTCAAGTTCAACAAAAACCACAAACTCAAGTTCAACTAACAGCTAATTCTCAAGTTTAAAAATTTTCACAAACTCAAGTTAAAAAAAACACAAACTCAAATTCAAACACAGCACAAACTCAAGTTTAAACATGACACAAACTCAAGTTCAAAAACAAAAAAAACTCAACCAATACCCAATTCTTATGTTTAACAATTTCCACAACCTCAAGTTCAAAAACACCACAAACTCAAGTTCAAACAAAACACAAAATCAAGTTCATCAAACACACAAACTCAAGTTCAAAAACACCACAAACTCAAGTTCAAACACAACACAAACTCAAGTTCAACAAACACACTAACTCAAGTTCAACCAACACCTGATTCTCAGGTTTAACAATTTCCACAACCTCAAGTTCAAAAACACCACAAACTCAAGTTCAAACAAAACACAAAATCAAGTTCATCAAACACACAAAATCAAGTTCAAAAACACCACAAACTCAAGTTCAAACACGACACAAACTTAAGTTCAACAAACGCCAAAAACTCAAGTTAAAAATAGCCAGAGATTAAAGTTCAGAAAAACCACAGACGCAAGTTCAACAATTGCCACAAACTCAAGTTCAAAAAACACAAAAAACTCAAGTTCAAACATGACACAAACTCAAGTTCAACCAACACACAAACTCAAGTTTAAACACACTTCAATCTCAAGTTCAACCAACACACAAACTCAAGTTCAAACACACCACAAACTCAAGTTCAACCAACACACAAACTCAAGTTCAAAAATTGACACCAATTAAAGTTCATTAAAAACCACTGTAGCGATTTGAAATGAGCCTTACACAGCGGCACCAAAATAATACGGTTTGAAATTAGCCTCACACGGTCGCACCAAAATAATACTGTAGCGATTTGAATTTATAAGAAATGTCTGAAGATTAATAATCTCAAGTTATGACATTTATGCACTCGTTGAAAGGGGCACCACCCACCCTTAATGGTGGGAAAATAAAGAAAACTAAAGTTTAATTCAGAAATCAAACATCAAGTCAATCATTAATTAATCAATCTCATATCTTAAGCCGAAATTCTCATTTCAGGGACTCCACTTCTGGAAGAACACTAACAGACAAGAACTTAGAAAAATAATGATCTGTTTATTACAGCATAAATGATGGTACAACACACATGCAATAAATGATGATAAGATAATGAGGATATATAACAATAGGTGAATAAATAAAGATTCTGAGTCAGGCTAGGAGCACTAAAGTTAATGATAGTGAGTGAATATGCTCTAACATATTAACCTACACTAACTTTGGTGTCAAGATAAACTCGGATGTGGATTTGGAGGAATCTGAGATTACCAGAATAAGTGGATATCTGAGTTATGAACGCATGAGACAGCATCAGCCCTGTTTGGAGCTCTGGAGGTTTGCATACTTAAGTGAGACTGGTCCTTGGAGAAGATGGAGCAGGTTCCGAAGGTCCGGGGCTAACGGCGATTCGAGCGGTTCAGCTCAAAAGACGACTGAAGTCAGCTGAAGAATGGGCCAGGAGTTGTAGCACTCGGGCCTGAAGTAAAGCCGGCGCCTGTGGATCCTGTGGATGCTCGTTTGGATGCTTCTTTGGTCTCACTCAAAAACTCTGGCACAGAGGATGACCTGGGCCTGCTGGGTTGCGTTCAGAGGTGACTTTGAAATCACACAGATAACTCAGAAAAACGAGGTTCGATGAGCAGAGATAACTTTCAAAAATGGCCTCACGAAATTAAAGAAAAATCAATCAAAAGCTTAATCTTGAATTGCTATGCGCACAAAAAGTTGAAGTTTCAAAACTTGAACTAAGACGATGTTAAAGAAAAATCAACGTGAATCAACACGTGGTGTAAAACTTAGAAGAGTAAGAAAAAGTTCTAAGAGAAAACAAAGAAGAGGACCACAGAAGGGTGTGGACAGAAGACCCAAAAGGGGAGAAGAGTAAGGGGCATAAGAGAGAGCAGACAAGAGAGTGAGCAACCCCACTTCACTGGTTTTATCTTCTCACACTGGGAGTGGCTCTGGCGTGTGTGTGTGAGGAGAAAGAGGAGGGTTCATGGGGTCTCTGATTATTTGATCTACCTTATTCTTTTGGCTGGTAAAAGAGTCAGATCTGATACTCACTCACTATGATTAATATCATTGAATGCTTGGTTTCATGATAAATAATTCAATACTAAACATATATGAATGAAGTGTAGGATCACATCAAACATTCATAGTCAATAAATTTAACTCTTAAAAGTTCATGAAACAGTCTGAAAAGCTGTTGGTCTAAAGAAACTTAAGAATAAAGGATTTATTCTGTCCGAGTAATAATTCTGCTTCTGGAGCACATAGAAAAACGGGAAACATCTCATTTTAACACATATTTCATGATTAGACAGATTAGTACATTGCTGAATGCATAAGATGTCAGGATCAGTCATTTGTATTCTTTCACCAAAGGAATGCAGTCTTTATCAGTGAATGGTCGAGCAGGGTTTTACGACCGAGGTCTGGAGGTCAGTGTCCCCTCTTCTCCTGGGGTCTGTATGTTCACACACTTTAAGAAGGTAAATCTCAAATGGGAGATCTAGGTTGAGACGTTAATGTTTATTTAGATGGTCAGCAATGGAGTCAGTTTGAAAGGTAATAAAAACTCTGTCTCTGTTCTCCGAATTGACCAATCGTGAAGAGTCAGAGGTTTAGTCAACCTCCGGTCGGGTCATTTAACCTGAAAGTGCAAACAAGTCTGGAAAGATTTATATCCTGTGTCCTGGGACCAGATAAGGAAACTTTCCTGTGAGAAATGTGTGAGTTTCACACCCAGGGTTGTCTTGATTGCTACACCACAGACGCAAGTTCAGCAATTGCCACAAACTCAAGTTCAACGAATTTTAGTTCAACAAACACACAAACTCAAGTTCAACCAACACCTGATTCAAAGGTTTAACAATATCCACAACCTCAAGTTCAAATACAACAGAAACTCAAGTTCAAAAAACACAAACTCAAGTTCACAAAACACGCAAATTAAAGTTCAAAAACACCACAAACTCAAGTTCAAACACGACACAAACTCAAGTTCAAAAACACCAAAAACTCAAGTTCAACCAGGACCCAATTCTCAAGTTTAACAATTTCCACAACTTCAAATTCAAGAACAACACAGACTCAAGTTCAAAATCACCACAAACTCAAGTTAAAAAACGGCACAAAATCAAGTTCAAACACAACACAAACTCAAGTTCAACCAACACCTGATTGTCAAGTTTAAAAAATTTCACAACCTCAAGTTTAAATAACACACAATCTCAAGTTCAAACACACCACAAACTCAAGTTCAACAAAAACCACAAACTCAAGTTCAACCAACACCTGATTCTCAAGTTTAAAAATTTTAACAACCTCAAGTTCAAATAACACAGAATCTCAAGTTCAAACACACCACAAACACAAGTTCAAAAACAATATAAACTCAAGTTCAACCAATACCCACTTTCTCAAGTTGAACAATTTCCACCACCTCAAGTTCAAAAACAACACAGACTGAAGTTCAAATACACAACATACTCAAGTTCAAACACAACACAAACTCAAGTTTAAAAAAAAACACAAATTCAAGTTCAACCAACACCTGATTCTCAAGTTTTACAATTCCACAAGCTCAAGTTCAAAAAGAACACAGACTCAAGTTGAAACACGACACAAACTCAAGGTCAACCAATATCCAAGTCTCAAGTTTAAAAATTGCCACAACCTCAAGTGCAACAAACACACAAACTCAAGTTCACCAAACACGCAAATTCAAGGTCAAAAACACCACAAACTCAAGTTCAAACACGACACAAACTCAAGTTCAAAAACACCAATGACTCAAGTTCAACCAATACCAGATTCTCAAGTTTAACAATTTCCACAACCTCAAGTTAAAAAAAAACACAAACTCAAGTTAAAACACGACACAAACTCAAGTAAAAAAAACCACAAACTCAAGTTCAACAAACACCTGATTCTCAAGTTTAAAAATTTTCAAAACCTCAAGTTCAAAAAACACACAAAATAAAGTTAAACAAACATCATGAACTCAAGTTCAGACATGACACAAACTCAAATTCAACCAACACCCAAATCTTAAGTTTAGCTATTGCCACATCCTCAAGTTCAACAAACACACAAACTCAAGTTAAAACACACCAAAACCTAAGTTTAAACACGTCACAAACTCAAGTTAAAAAGCAACAAAAACTCAAGTTCGACCAATACCCAATTCTCAAGATAAAAAATCTCCACAACCTCAAGTTCAAAAACATCACAAACTCAAGTTCAAACACGACACAAACCCAAGTTTAACAAACACACAAACTAAAGATCAAACAATACACAATTCTCAAGTTTAAAGATTTCAACAACATTAAGTTAAAAAACAACAGAAACTCAAGTTCAAAAAACACACAAACTCAAGTTCAACAAAAAACACAAACTCAAGTTCAACAAAAACCACAAACTCAAGTTCAAACACGACACAAACTAGAGTTCAACCAACAACCAAATCTCAAGCTTAACAACTGCCACAACCTCTAGTTAAACAACCACACAAACTCAAGTTCAACAAAAGCCACAAAGTCAAGTTCAAACATGAAACAAACTCATGTTTAAAAACAACACAAACTTAAGTTCAACAAACACAAAAACTCAAGTTCAAACACGACACCAACTCAAGTTCAACTTAAACACAAACTCAAGTTTAAAAAATCCCACAACATCAAGTTCAACAAATTCCACACCCTCAACTTCAAAAAACCAGAAACTCAAGTTCAAAAACGACACAAACTCAAGTTCAACAAAAACCAAAAACTCAAGTTCAAACACGAAACTCAAGTTCAACAAACACAAATAATAGAGTTCAACAAACACCACAAACTCAAGTTCAAACACGGCACAAACTAGAGTTCAAATAACACACAAGTTTAACAATTTCCACAACCTCAAGTTAAAAAAATTCCACACCCTAAACTTCAGAAATACCACAAACTCAAGTTCAAAATCACCACCAACTCAAGTTCAAAAAGACCAAAAACTCAAGTTCAACAAACACAGCAAATCAAGTTCAAAAACACCACAAACTCAAGTGCAAACACGACACAAACTCAAGTTCAAAAACACCACAAACTCAAGTTCAAACACGACACAAACTCAAGTTAAACAAAAACCACAAACTCAAGTTCAAACACGAAACTCAAGTTCAAAAACACCACAAACTCAAGTTCAAACACGACAAACTCAAGTTAAACAAAAACCACAAACTCAAGTTCAAACACGAAACTCAAGTTCAAAATCACCACCAACTCGAGTTCAAAAAGACCACAAACTCAAGTTCAACAAACACACCAAATCAAGTTCAAAAACACCACAAACTCAAGTGCAAACACGACACAAACTCAAGTTCGAAAACACCACTAACTAAAGTTCAAACATGACACACACTCAAGTTCAAACACAACACAAACTCAAGTTCAACAAACACACAAAGTCAATTTCAAATACAACAAAAACTCAAGTTCAAACACAACATAAACTAAAGTTCAACAAACACAAAAACTGAAGTTCAAACATGACACAAACTCAAGTTCAACTAAAACACAAACTCAAGTTAAACAATCGCCACAACCTCAAATTCAACAAATTCCACACCCCCAACTTCAAAAAAACCACAAACTCCAGTACAAAAACAACAAAAAATCAAGTTCAACCAACCCCCAAATCTAAAATTTAACAATTGCCACACCCTCAAGTTCAACAAACACACAAACTCAAGTTCAACAAACGCCACAATCTCAAGTTCAAACATGAAACAAACTCATGTTCAAAAACAACACAAACTTAAGTTCAAAAAACACAAAAACTCAAGTTCAAACACGACACAAACTCAAGTTCAACTAAAACACAAACTCAAGTTTAACAATTGCCACAACCTCAAGTTCAACAAATTCCACACTCTCAACTTCAAAAAAACCACAAACTCAAGTTAAAAAACACCACAAACTGAAGTTCACACCGACACAAACTCAAGTTCAACAAAAACCACAAAATCAAGTTCAAACATGAAACTCAAGTTCAAAAACACCACCAACTCAATTTCAGAAACGCCAAAAACTCAAGTTCAAAAACAACACAAACTCAAGTTCAACCAACACCCAAATCTCAAGTTTAACAATTGCCACAACCTCAAGTTCAACAAATTCTACCCCCTCAAATTTAAAAATACCACAAAGTCATGTTTAAAAACACCACAAACTCAAGTTCAAACACGAAACAAACTCAGGTTCAACTAAAACACAAACTCAAGTTTAACAATTGCCACAAACTGAAGTTCAAAAAATCCCACACTCTCAACTTCAAAAAAACCACAAACTCAAGTTAAAAAACACCACAAACTGAAGTTCAAACACGACACAAACTCAAGTTAAACAAAAACCACAAAATCAAGTTCAAACATGAAACTCAAGTTCAAACACGACACAAACTCAAGTTCAAAAACACCAAAAACTCAAGTTCAACCAGGACCCAATTCTCAAGTTTAACAATTTCCACAACTACAAATTCAAGAACAACACAGACTCAAGTTCAAAATCACCACAAACTCAAGTTAAAAAACGGCACAAAATCAAGTTCAAACACAACACAAACTCAAGTTCAACGAACACCTGATTGTCAAGTTTAAAAATTTTCACAACCTCAAGTTTAAATAACACACAATCTCAAGTTCAAACACACCACAAACTCAAGTTCAACAAAAACCACAAACTCAAGTTCAACCAACACCTGATTCTCAAGTTTAAAAATTTTAACAACCTCAAGTTCAAATAACACACAATCTCAAGTTCAAACACACCACAAACACAAGTTCAAAAACAATATAAACTCAAGTTCAACCAATACCCACTTTCTCAAGTTGAACAATTTCCACCACCTCAAGTTCAAAAACAACACAGACTGAAGTTCAAATACACAACATACTCAAGTTCAAACACAACACAAACTCAAGTTTAAAAAAAAACACAAATTCAAGTTCAACCAACACCTGATTCTCAAGTTTTACAATTCCACAAGCTCAAGTTCAAAAAGAACACAGACTCAAGTTGAAACACGACACAAACTCAAGGTCAACCAATATCCAAGTCTCAAGTTTAAAAATTGCCACAACCTCAAGTGCAACAAACACACAAACTCAAGTTCACCAAACACGCAAATTCAAGGTCAAAAACACCACAAACTCAAGTTCAAACACGACACAAACTCAAGTTCAAAAACACCAATGACTCAAGTTCAACCAATACCAGATTCTCAAGTTTAACAATTTCCACAACCTCAAGTTAAAGAAAAACACAAACTCAAGTTAAAACACGACACAAACTCAAGTAAAAAAAACCACAAACTCAAGTTCAACAAACACCTGATTCTCAAGTTTAAAAATTTTCAAAACCTCAAGTTCAAAAAACACACAAAATAAAGTTAAACAAACATCATGAACTCAAGTTCAGACATGACACAAACTCAAATTCAACCAACACCCAAATCTTAAGTTTAGCTATTGCCACATCCTCAAGTTCAACAAACACACAAACTCAAGTTAAAACACACCAAAACCTAAGTTTAAACACGTCACAAACTCAAGTTAAAAAGCAACAAAAACTCAAGTTCGACCAATACCCAATTCTCAAGATAAAAAATCTCCACAACCTCAAGTTCAAAAACATCACAAACTCAAGTTCAAACACGACACAAACCCAAGTTTAACAAACACACAAACTAAAGATCAAACAATACACAATTCTCAAGTTTAAAGATTTCAACAACATTAAGTTAAAAAACAACAGAAACTCAAGTTCAAAAAACACACAAACTCAAGTTCAACAAAAAACACAAACTCAAGTTCAACAAAAACCACAAACTCAAGTTCAAACACGACACAAACTAGAGTTCAACCAACAACCAAATCTCAAGCTTAACAACTGCCACAACCTCAAGTTAAACAACCACACAAACTCAAGTTCAACAAAAGCCACAAAGTCAAGTTCAAACATGAAACAAACTCATGTTCAAAAACAACACAAACTTAAGTTCAACAAACACAAAAACTCAAGTTCAAACACGACACAATCTCAAGTTCAACTTAAACACAAACTCAAGTTCAAAAAATCCCACAACATCAAGTTCAACAAATTCCACACCCTCAACTTCAAAAAACCAGAAACTCAAGTTCAAAAACGACACAAACTCAAGTTCAACAAAAACCAAAAACTCAAGTTCAAACACGAAACTCAAGTTCAACAAACACAAAAAATAGAGTTCAACAAACACCACAAACTCAAGTTCAAACACGGCACAAACTAGAGTTCAAATAACACACAAGTTTAACAATTTCCACAACCTCAAGTTAAAAAAATTCCACACCCTCAACTTCAGAAATACCACAAACTCAAGTTCAAAATCACCACCAACTCAAGTTCAAAAAGACCAAAAACTCAAGTTCAACAAACACAGCAAATCAAGTTCAAAAACACCACAAACTCAAGTGCAAACACGACACAAACTCAAGTTCAAAAACACCACAAACTCAAGTTCAAACACGACACAAACTCAAGTTAAACAAAAACCACAAACTCAAGTTCAAACACGAAACTCAAGTTCAAAATCACCACCAACTCGAGTTCAAAAAGACCACAAACTCAAGTTCAACAAACACACCAAATCAAGTTCAAAAACACCACAAACTCAAGTGCAAACACGACACAAACTCAAGTTCGAAAACACCACTAACTAAAGTTCAAACATGACACACACTCAAGTTCAAACACAACACAAACTCAAGTTCAACAAACACACAAAGTCAATTTCAAATACAACAAAAACTCAAGTTCAAACACAACATAAACTAAAGTTCAACAAACACAAAAACTGAAGTTCAAACATGACACAAACTCAAGTTCAACTAAAACACAAACTCAAGTTAAACAATCGCCACAACCTCAAATTCAACAAATTCCACACCCCCAACTTCAAAAAAACCACAAACTCCAGTACAAAAACAACAAAAAATCAAGTTCAACCAACCCCCAAATCTAAAATTTAACAATTGCCACACCCTCAAGTTCAACAAACACACAAACTCAAGTTCAACAAACGCCACAATCTCAAGTTCAACAAACGCCACAATCTCAAGTTCAAACATGAAACAAACTCATGTTCAAAAACAACACAAACTTAAGTTCAAAAAACACAAAAACTCAAGTTCAAACACGACACAAACTCAAGTTCAACTAAAACACAAACTCAAGTTTAACAATTGCCACAACCTCAAGTTCAACAAATTCCACACTCTCAACTTCAAAAAAAACACAAACTCAAGTTAAAAAACACCACAAACTGAAGTTCACACCGACACAAACTCAAGTTCAACAAAAACCACAAAATCAAGTTCAAACATGAAACTCAAGTTCAAAAACACCACCAACTCAAGTTCAGAAACGCCACAAACTCAAGTTCAAAAACAACACAAACTCAAGTTCAACCAACACCCAAATCTCAAGTTTAACAATTGCCACAACCTCAAGTTCAACAAATTCTACCCCTTCAAATTTAAAAATACCACAAAGTCATGTTTAAAAACACCACAAACTCAAGTTCAAACACGAAACAAACTCAGGTTCAACTAAAACACAAACTCAAGTTTAACAATTGCCACAAACTGAAGTTCAAAAAATTCCACACTCTCAACTTCAAAAAAACCACAAACTCAAGTTAAAAAACACCACGAACTGAAGTTCAAACACGACACAAACTCAAGTTAAACAAAAACCACAAAATCAAGTTCAAACATGAAACTCAAGTTCAAAAACACCACCAACTCAAGTTCAGAAACGCCACAAACTCAAGTTCAAAAACAACACAAACTCAAGTTCAACCAACACCCAAATCTCAAGTTAAACAATTGCCACAACCTCAAGTTCAACAATCACACAAACTCAAGTTCAAACACGACACAAACTCAAGTTCAACAAACACACAAACTCAAGTTTAACAATTGCCACAACCTCAAGTTCAACAAATTACACACCCTCAAGTTCATAAACACCACAAACTCAAGTTCAACCAACACCCAAATCTCAAGTTCAAGCAATAATAAAAACTCAAATTCAAAAACAACACAAACTCAAATTCAAACACAACACAAACTCAAGTTCAACAAACATAGAAATTCAAGTTCAACCAAAAACGCCTTATAGTCAAGTTTAACAATTTCCACAACCTCAAGTTCAAAAACAACAGAAACTCAAGTTCAAAAAACACACAAACTCAAGTTCAACAAACACGCAAATTCAAGTTCAAAAACACCACAAAATCAAGTTCAAACACGACAAAAAATCAAGTTCAACAAACAGACACACTCATGTTCAACCAACACCCAAATCTCAAGTTTAACAATTTCCACAACCTCCAGCTCAAATACAACACAGACTCAAGTTCAAAAAACACACAAGCTCAAGTTTTACACAAACTCAAGTTCAACAAAAACCACAAACTCAAGTTCAACCAAAACCTGATTCTCAAGATTAAACATTTTCACAACCTCAAGTTCAAAAAACACACAAACTCAAGTTCAAACACGACACAAACTCAAGTTCAACAAACACACAAACTCAAGTTTAACAATTGCCACAACCTCAAGTTCAACAAATTCTACCCCTTCAAATTTAAAAATACCACAAAGTCATGTTTAAAAACACCACAAACTCAAGTTCAAACACGAAACAAACTCAGGTTCAACTAAAACACAAACTCAAGTTTAACAATTGCCATAAACTGAAGTTCAAAAAATTCCACACTCTCAACTTCAAAAAAACCACAAACTCAAGTTAAAAAACACCACAAACTGAAGTTCAAACACGACACAAACTCAAGTTAAACAAAAACCACAAAATCAAGTTCAAACATGAAACTCAAGTTCAAAAACACCGCCAACTCAAGTTCAGAAACGCCACAAACTCAAGTTCAAAAACAACACAAACTCAAGTTCAACCAACACCCAAATCTCAAGTTAAACAATTGCCACAACCTCAAGTTCAACAATCACACAAACTCAAGTTCAAACACGACACAAACTCAAGTTCAACAAACACACAAACTCAAGTTTAACAATTGCCACAACCTCAAGTTCAACAAATTACACACCCTCAAGTTCATAAACACCACAAACTCAAGTTCAACCAACACCCAAATCTCAAGTTCAAGCAATAATAAAAACTCAAATTCAAAAACAACACAAACTCAAATTCAAACACGACACAAACTCAAGTTCAACAAACATAGAAATTCAAGTTCAACCAAAAACGCCTTATAGTTAAGTTTAACAATTTCCACAACCTCAAGTTCAAAAACAACAGAAACTCAAGTTCAAAAAACACACAAACTCAAGTTCAACAAACACGCAAATTCAAGTTCAAAAACACCACAAAATCAAGTTCAAACACGACAAAAAATCAAGTTCAACAAACAGACACACTCATGTTCAACCAACACCCAAATCTCAAGTTTAACAATTTCCACAACCTCCAGCTCAAATACAACACAGACTCAAGTTCAAAAAACACACAAGCTCAAGTTTTACACAAACTCAAGTTCAACAAAAACCACAAACTCAAGTTCAACCAAAACCTGATTCTCAAGATTAAACATTTTCACAACCTCAAGTTCAAAAAACACACAAACTCAAGTTCAAACACGACACAAACTCAAGTTCAACAAACACACAAACTCAAGTTTAACAATTGCCACAACCTCAAGTTCAACAAATTCTACCCCTTCAAATTTAAAAATACCACAAAGTCATGTTTAAAAACACCACAAACTCAAGTTCAAACACGAAACAAACTCAGGTTCAACTAAAACACAAACTCAAGTTTAACAATTGCCATAAACTGAAGTTCAAAAAATTCCACACTCTCAACTTCAAAAAAACCACAAACTCAAGTTAAAAAACACCACAAACTGAAGTTCAAACACGACACAAACTCAAGTTAAACAAAAACCACAAAATCAAGTTCAAACATGAAACTCAAGTTCAAAAACACCGCCAACTCAAGTTCAGAAACGCCACAAACTCAAGTTCAAAAACAACACAAACTCAAGTTCAACCAACACCCAAATCTCAAGTTAAACAATTGCCACAACCTCAAGTTCAACAATCACACAAACTCAAGTTCAAACACGACACAAACTCAAGTTCAACAAACACACAAACTCAAGTTTAACAATTGCCACAACCTCAAGTTCAACAAATTACACACCCTCAAGTTCATAAACACCACAAACTCAAGTTCAACCAACACCCAAATCTCAAGTTCAAGCAATAATAAAAACTCAAATTCAAAAACAACACAAACTCAAATTCAAACACGACACAAACTCAAGTTCAACAAACATAGAAATTCAAGTTCAACCAAAAACGCCTTATAGTCAAGTTTAACAATTTCCACAACCTCAAGTTCAAAAACAACAGAAACTCAAGTTCAAAAAACACACAAACTCAAGTTCAACAAACACGCAAATTCAAGTTCAAAAACACCACAAAATCAAGTTCAAACACGACAAAAAATCAAGTTCAACAAACAGACACACTCATGTTCAACCAACACCCAAATCTCAAGTTTAACAATTTCCACAACCTCCAGCTCAAATACAACACAGACTCAAGTTCAAAAAACACACAAGCTCAAGTTTTACACAAACTCAAGTTCAACAAAAACCACAAACTCAAGTTCAACCAAAACCTGATTCTCAAGATTAAACATTTTCACAACCTCAAGTTCAAAAAACACACAAACTCAAGTTCAAACACGACACAAACTCAAGTTAAACAAAAACCACAAACTCAAGTTCAAACACGACACAAACTCAAGTTAAACAAAAACCACAAACTCAAGTTCAAACACGAAACTCAAGTTCAAAAACACCACAAACTCAAGTTCAAACACGACACAAACTCAAGTTAAACAAAAACCACAAACTCAAGTTCAAACACGAAACTCAAGTTCAAAATCACCACCAACTCGAGTTCAAAAAGACCACAAACTCAAGTTCAACAAACACACCAAATCAAGTTCAAAAACACCACAAACTCAAGTGCAAACACGACACAAACTCAAGTTCGAAAACACCACTAACTAAAGTTCAAACATGACACACACTCAAGTTCAAACACAACACAAACTCAAGTTCAACAAACACACAAAGTCAATTTCAAATACAACAAATACTCAAGTTCAAACACAACATAAACTAAAGTTCAACAAACACAAAAACTGAAGTTCAAACATGACACAAACTCAAGTTCAACTAAAACACAAACTCAAGTTAAACAATCGCCACAACCTCAAATTCAACAAATTCCACACCCCCAACTTCAAAAAAACCACAAACTCCAGTACAAAAACAACAAAAAATCAAGTTCAACCAACCCCCAAATCTAAAATTTAACAATTGCCACACCCTCAAGTTCAACAAACACACAAACTCAAGTTCAACAAACGCCACAATCTCAAGTTCAACAAACGCCACAATCTCAAGTTCAAACATGAAACAAACTCATGTTCAAAAACAACACAAACTTAAGTTCAAAAAACACAAAAACTCAAGTTCAAACACGACACAAACTCAAGTTCAACTAAAACACAAACTCAAGTTTAACAATTGCCACAACCTCAAGTTCAACAAATTCCACACTCTCAACTTCAAAAAAACCACAAACTCAAGTTAAAAAACACCACAAACTGAAGTTCACACCGACACAAACTCAAGTTCAACAAAAACCACAAAATCAAGTTCAAACATGAAACTCAAGTTCAAAAACACCACCAACTCAAGTTCAGAAACGCCACAAACTCAAGTTCAAAAACAACACAAACTCAAGTTCAACAAACACACAAACTCAAGTTTAACAATTGCCACAACCTCAAGTTCAACAAATTACACACCCTCAAGTTCATAAACACCACAAACTCAAGTTCAACCAACACCCAAATCTCAAGTTCAAGCAATAATAAAAACTCAAATTCAAAAACAACACAAACTCAAATTCAAACACGACACAAACTCAAGTTCAACAAACAAAGAAATTCAAGTTCAACCAAAAACACCTTATTGTCAAGTTTAACAATTTCCACAACCTCAAGTTCAAAAACAACAGAAACTCAAGTTCAAAAAACACACAAACTCAAGTTCAACAAACACGCAAATTCAAGTTCAAAAACACCACAAAATCAAGTTCAAACACGACAAAAAATCAAGTTCAACAAACAGACACACTCATGTTCAACCAACACCCAAATCTCAAGTTTAACAATTTCCACAACCTCCAGCTCAAATACAACACAGACTCAAGTTCAAAAAACACACAAGCTCAAGTTTTACACAAACTCAAGTTCAACAAAAACCACAAACTCAAGTTCAACCAAAACCTGATTCTCAAGATTAAACATTTTCACAACCTCAAGTTCAAAAAACACACAAACTCAAGTTCAAACACGACACAAACTCAAGTTCAAATGCAACACAAACTCAAGTTCAACAAACACAGTAACTCAAGTTCAAAATCACCAAAAACTCAGGTTCAAAAACAGCAAAAACTCAAGTTCAACCAACACCCAAATCTCAAGTTTAACAATTGCCACAACCTTAACTTCAACAAACTCAAGTTCAAAAACCCTGCAACCTAAAGTTAAAAAAAAACACAAACTCAAGTTCAAAAACACAAAAAACTCAAGTTCAAACACGACACAAACTCAAGTTCAACCAACACCCAAATCTCAAGTTAAACAATTGCCACAATTTCAAGTTCAACAAACACACAAACTCAAGTTCAACAAATGCCACAAACTCAAGTTCAACAAACGCCACAAACTCAAATTCAAACACAACACAAACTCAAGTTCAACAAACACACATACTCGAGTTCAAACACCACAAACTCAAGTTCAACAAACACACAAACTCAAGTTTAACAATTGCCACAACCTCAAGTTAAACAAATTACACACCCTCAAGTTCAAAAACACCACAAACTCAAGTTCAAACCGACACAAACTCAAGTTCAACAAACACACAAACTCAAGTTCAACAAACACACAAACTCAAGTTCATCAAACACACGAACTCAAGTTCAAATACACCACAAACTCAAGTTCAAACACGACACAAACTCAATTTCAACCAACACCTGATTCTCAAGTTTATAAATTTTCACAACCTCAATTTCAAAAAACACACAAAATGAAGTTCAACAAACAAGAACTCAACTTCAAACACGCCACGAACTCAAGTTGAACCAACACTCAAATCTCAAGTTAAACAATTGCCACAACCTAAAGTTCATCAAACAAACCAACTCAAGTTCAAACACACAACAAACTCAAGTTCAAACATGACACAAACTCAAGTTCAACAAACACCAAAAACTCAAGTTCAACAATTGCCACCAAGTAAAGTTCACAAAAACCAGACCCAAGTTCAACAATTGACAGAAAACTGAAGTTCAAACACGACACAAACTCAAGTTCAACAAAAACCACAAAATCAAGTTCAAACATGAAACTCAAGTTCAAAAACACCACCAACTCAAGTTCAGAAACGCCACAAACTCAAGTTCAAAAACAACACAAACTCAAGTTCAACCAACACCCAAATCTCAAGTTAAACAATTGACACAACCTCAAGTTCAAAAAACACACAAACTCTAGTTCAAACACACCACAAACTCAAGTTCAAACACGACATAAACTCAAGTTCAACCAACACTCAAAACTCAAATTTGACAATATCCAAAACCTCAAGTTCAAAAACAACAGAAACTCAAGTATTAATACGCCACAAACTCAAGTTCAAAAAACAACATAACCTGAATTTCAAAAACACCACAAACTCAAGTTCAAACACAACACAGACTCAAGTTCAACAAACACACAAAGTCAATTTCAAATACAACAAAAACTCAAGTTCAAACACAACATAAACTAAAGTTCAACAAACACAAAAACTGAAGTTCAAACATGACACAAACTCAAGTTCAACTAAAACACAAACTCAAGTATAACAATTGCCACAACCTCAAGTTAAAAAAAACCCCAACTCACGTTCAAAAACACCACAAACTCAAGTTCAAACAAGACACATACTCAAGTACAACAAACGCCACAAACTCAAGTACAACAAACGCTACAAACTAAAGTACAGTGAAAAATACAGACTCAAGTTCAACAATTGCCACAAACTCAAGTTCAACCAACACCACAATCTCAAGTTCAACAAATGACCTAAACTCACATTTAACAATTGCCAAAAACTCAAGTTCAACAAACTCAAGTTCAAAAACACACAAACTCAAGTTAAACAATGCCGAAACTGAAGTTCAACGAACACCACAAACTCAAGTTCAACAAATTTCAAAGTTTGAAGTTCAACCAACACCCAAATATCAAGTTTAACAATTGCCACAAAATCAAGTTAAAAAAAAACAGAAACTCAAGTTCAAACACGCCACAAACCCAAGTTCAACAAACACACAAACTCAAGTTCAAAAACACCACAAACTCAAGTTCTTAACAACACAAATTTAAGTTCAAAAAACACACAAGCTCAAGTTCAAAAACACCCCAAACTGAAGTTCAAACATGACACAAACTCAAGTTCAACAAAATCCCAAATCTCAAGTTCAACAATTTCCACAACCTCAAGTTCAAAAACAACAGAAACTCAAGTTAAAACACACCACAAACTCTAGTTCAACAAACACACAAACTCAAGTTCAAAAACACAAAAAACTCAAGTTCAAACACGACACAAACTCAAGTTTAACAATTGCCACAAATCTAAGTTAAAAAAACACAGAAACTCAAGTTCAAAAACACCACAAACTCATATTCAACCAACACACAAATCTCAAGTTTAACAATTACCACAAACTTAAGTTAAAAAAACACAAACTAAAGTTCAAAAACACCAAAGACTCAAGTTCAAAAAATACACAAAATCAAGTTCAAAAACACCACGAAGTCAAGTTCCAACAAGACACAAATTCAAGTAAAATGAACATCCCAAACTCAAGCTCAACAAATGTCAAAGTTTTAAGTTCAACCAACACCCAAATCTGAAGTTTAACAGTTGCCAAAACCTCAAGTTAAAAAACAACAAAAATTCAAGTTAAAACACGCCACAAACTCAAGTTCAACAAACGCCACAACCTCAAGTTAAAAAACACCACAAACTCGGGTTAAACCAACACCAAAATCTCAAGTTTAACAATTGCCTCAAACTTCAGTTCAAAAAACACACAAGCTCAAGATCAAAAACACCACAAACTCAAGTTCAAACACAATACACAAACTCAAGTTCAACCAAATCCCAAATCTCAAGTTTAAAAATTTTCACAACTTCAAGATCAAAAGCAATAGAAACTCAAATTCAAACATGCCACAAACTCAAGTACATCAAACGCCACAAATTCAAGTTCAACAATTGCCACCAACAAAAGTTCAGAGAAAAATACAGACTCAACGTTAACAATTGCCACAAACTCAAGTTCAACAAACACCACAAGCTTAAGTTAAAAAAAGGCCAACATTTCAAATTCAACAAATGACCTATACTCACATTAAACAATTGCCAAAAACTCAAGTTCAACAAACTCAAGTTCAAAAATTGCAAAAAACTCAGGTTCAAAAAACACACAAATTCAAGTTCAAAAACACCACAAACTCAAGTTCAAAAATGCCGAAACTTAATTTCAACAAACACCCAAATCTAAAGTAAAACAATTGCCACAACCTCATTTTCAAAAACAACAGAAACTCAAATTCAAAAACACCAAAAACTTCAGTTAAAAAACCACACAAACTCAGGTTCAACAAACACACAATCTCAAGTTTAACCAATACTCAATTCTCACATTTAACAATTTCCACAACCTCAAGTTCAAACACAACACAAACTCAAGTTCAACCAATCCCAAATCTCAAGTTTAAAAATTTCCACAACTTCAAGATCAAAAGCAACAGAAACTCAAATTCAAACATGCCACAAACTCAAGTACAACAAACGCCACAAATTCAAGTTCAACAATTGCCACCAACAAAAGTTCAGAGAAAAATACAGACTCAACGTTAACAATTGCCACAAACTCAAGTTCAACAAACACCACAAGCTTAAGTTAAAAAAAGGCCAACATTTCAAATTCAACAAATGACCTATACTCACATTAAACAATTGCCAAACACTCAAGTTCAACAAACTCAAGTTCAAAAATTGCAAAAAACTCAGGTTCAAAAAACACACAAATTCAAGTTCAAAAACACCACAAACTCAAGTTCAAAAATGCCGAAACTTAATTTCAACCAACACCCAAATCTAAAGTAAAACAATTGCCACAACCTCATTTTCAAAAACAACAGAAACTCAAATTCAAAAACACCAAAAACTCAAGTGAAAAAAAACCACACAAATTTAAGATCACAAAACAGCACAATCTCAAGTTCAAACACGACACAAACTCAGGTTAAAAAAACACACAAACTCAAGTTTAACCAATACCCAATTCTCACGTTTAACAATTGCCACAACCTCATGTTCAAAAACAACATAAACTCAAATTCAAAAACACCAAAAACTCAAGTTCAAACACAACACAAACTCAAGTTCAACAAACACACAAACTCAAGTTCAACAAACACACAAACTCAAGTTCATCAAACACACGAACTCAAGTTCAAATACACCACAAACTCAAGTTCAAACACGACACAAACTCAATTTCAACCAACACCTGATTCTCAAGTTTAAAAATTTTCACAACCTCAATTTCAAAAAACACACAAAATGAAGTTCAACAAACAAGAACTCAACTTCAAACACGCCACAAACTCAAGTTGAACCAACACTCAAATCTCAAGTTAAACAATTGCCACAACCTAAAGTTCATCAAACAAACCAACTCAAGTTCAAACACACAACAAACTCAAGTTCAAACATGACACAAACTCAAGTTCAACAAACACCAAAAACTCAAGTTCAACAATTGCCACCAAGTAAAGTTCACAAAAAACCAGACTCAAGTTCAACAATTGACAGAAAACTGAAGTTCAAACACGACACAAACTCAAGTTCAACAAAAACCACAAAATCAAGTTCAAACATGAAACTCAAGTTCAAAAACACCACCAACTCAAGTTCAGAAACGCCACAAACTCAAGTTCAAAAACAACACAAACTCAAGTTCAACCAACACCCAAATCTCAAGTTAAACAATTGACACAACCTCAAGTTCAAAAAACACACAAACTCTAGTTCAAACACACCACAAACTCAAGTTCAAACACGACATAAACTCAAGTTCAACCAACACTCAAAACTCAAATTTGACAATATCCAAAACCTCAAGTTCAAAAACAACAGAAACTCAAGTATTAATACGCCACAAACTCAAGTTCAAAAAACAACATAACCTGAATTTCAAAAACACCACAAACTCAAGTTCAAACACAACACAGACTCAAGTTCAACAAACACACAAAGTCAATTTCAAATACAACAAAAACTCAAGTTCAAACACAACATAAACTAAAGTTCAACAAACACAAAAACTGAAGTTCAAACATGACACAAACTCAAGTTCAACTAAAACACAAACTCAAGTATAACAATTGCCACAACCTCAAGTTAAAAAAAACCCCAACTCACGTTCAAAAACACCACAAACTCAAGTTCAAACAAGACACATACTCAAGTACAACAAACGCCACAAACTCAAGTACAACAAACGCTACAAACTAAAGTACAGTGAAAAATACAGACTCAAGTTCAACAATTGCCACAAACTCAAGTTCAACCAACACCACAATCTCAAGTTCAACAAATGACCTAAACTCACATTTAACAATTGCCAAAAACTCAAGTTCAACAAACTCAAGTTCAAAAACACACAAACTCAAGTTAAACAATGCCGAAACTGAAGTTCAACGAACACCACAAACTCAAGTTCAACAAATTTCAAAGTTTGAAGTTCAACCAACACCCAAATATCAAGTTTAACAATTGCCACAAAATCAAGTTAAAAAAAAACAGAAACTCAAGTTCAAACACGCCACAAACCCAAGTTCAACAAACACACAAACTCAAGTTCAAAAACACCACAAACTCAAGTTCTTAACAACACAAATTTAAGTTCAAAAAACACACAAGCTCAAGTTCAAAAACACCCCAAACTGAAGTTCAAACATGACACAAACTCAAGTTCAACAAAATCCCAAATCTCAAGTTCAACAATTGCCACAACCTCAAGTTAAAAAAAAACCCAACTCAAATTCAAAAACACCAAAAACTTCAGTTAAAAAAACACACAAACTCAGGTTCAACAAACACACAATCTCAAGTTTAACCAATACCCAATTCTCACATTTAACAATTTCCACAACCTCAAGTTCAAACACAACACAAACTCAAGTTCAAACACGACACAAACTCAGGTGCAAAAACACCACAAACTCAAGTTCAACAATTGCCACCAACTAAAGTTTAGAGAAAAATACAGACTCAAGTTCAATAATTGCCACAACTTCAAGTTCAACAAACACACAAACTCAAGTTCAAAAACACCACAACCTAGAATGCAAACACGACACAAACTCAAGTTAAAAAAAAACACAGTCAAGTGCAACATTTGCCACAAACTTAATTTCAACATACTCAAGTTCATAAGTGGCCACAAACTTAAGTTCAAAACACACACAAACTCTAGTTCAAACAATCCAAAAACAAAAGTTCAAACAAGACACAAACTCAAGATCAACCAACACCCAAACCTCAAGTTTAACAATTGCCACAACTTCAAGTTCAAAGACAACAGAAACTCAAGTTCAAACACGCCACAAACTCAAGTTCAAACACATCACAAACTCAAGTTCAACAAAAGCCACAAACTCAAGTTCAAAGATGCCACCAACTAGAGTTCACTAAAAACCACAAACTTAAGTTGAACAAAGACCACAAACTCAAGTTCAACAAACTCAAGTTCATAAATTGCCACAAACTTAAGATAAAAAAACACACAAACTCAAATTCAAACACGACACAAAGTCAAGTTCAAAAAACACCACAAACTCAAGTTCAACCAACACCCAAATCTCAAGTTTAACAATTGCCACAACCTCAAGATCAAAGCAACAGAAACTCAAGTTCAAACACGCCACAATCTCAAGTTCTTAACGACAAAAACTCAAGTTCAACAAACACACAAACTCAAGTTCAACCAATGCCCAATTCGCAAGTTTAACAATTTCTACAACCTCAAGTTAAAAAAAACAAAAACTCTAGTTCAGACACACCACAAACTCAAGTTCAACCAACACCCAAGTCACAAGTTTAACAATTGCCACAAACTTCAGTTCAAAAAACACACAAGCTCAAGATCAAAAACACCACAAACTCAAGTTCAAACAAGATACACAAACTCAAGTTCAACCAAATCCCAAATCTCAAGTTTAACAATTTCCAAAACCTCAAGATCAAAAGCAACAGAAAACAGAAAAAGATCAAAAACACCAGACTCAAGTTCAAACAAGACAAACAAACTCAAGTTCAAAAACACAAAAAAGTCAAGTTCAAACAAGACACAAACTCAAGTTAAATGAACACCACAAAGTCAAGTTCAACATATGTCAAAGTTTTAAGTTCAACCAACACCCCAAAAAAGATTAACAATTGCCAAAACCTCAAGTTAAAAAACAACAAAAATTCAAGTTAAAACACGCCACAATCTCAAGTTAGACAAACAAAAAAACTCAAGTTCGAACAGGACACAAACTCAGGACACAAAACAACAGTAACTCAAGTTCAAACACGACACAAACTCAACTTAAAACACGACACAAACTCAAATTCAACCAAATCCCAAGTCTCAAGTTTAACAATTTTACCACCCTTAAGTTCAAAAAACAACAGAAACTCAAGTTCAAACACGCCACAAACTCAAGTACAACAAACGCCACAAACTCAAGTTCAACAATTGCCACAAACTCAAGTTCAGGGAACAATACAGACTCAAGTTCAACAATTGCCACAAACTCAAGTTCAACAAACACCACAATCTTCAGTTCAAAAAATGCCAAAATTTCAAATTCAACAAATGACCTATACTCACATTTAACAATTGCCACAAACTCAAGTTCAACAAACTCAAGTTCAAAAATTGCAAAAAGCTCAAGTTCAAAAAACACACAAATTCAAGTTCAAAAACACCACAACACCGAATCTGAATTTCAACCAACACCCAAATCTCAATTTTAACAATTGCAAAAACTTCAAGTTCAAAGACAACAGAAACTCAAATTAAAAAACTCCGAAAACTCAAGTTAAAAAAAACACAAAAATTCAAGTTCAAAAACACCACAATCTCAAGTTCAAACACGACACAAACTCAGGTTCAACAAACACACAAACTCAAGTTTAACCAATACCCAAATCTCAGGTTTAACAATTTCCACATTCTCAAGTTCAAAAACACCACAAACTCAAGTTCTTGACGACACAAACTAAAGTTCAACAAACACATGAACTCAAGTTCAATCAATACCCAATTCTCAAGTTTAACAATTTCAAAAACCTCAAGTTCAAAAACACGCCAAAGACTCAAGTCCAAGCACGACAAAAACTCAAGTTCAAATAAGGCCACAAACTGAATTTCAACCAACACCCAAATCTCTAGTTTAACAATTGCCACAACCTCAACTTCAAAAACACCACAAACTCAACTTCAAACACGCCACAAACTCAAGTTCAACAAACACACAAACTTAGGTTCAAAAACACCACAAACTCAAGTTCAAACACAACACAAACTCAAGTTCAACCAACACCCAAATCTCAAGTTTAACAATTGCCACAACCTCAAGTTAAAAAACAACACAAACTCAAGTTCAAACACGCGACAAACTCAAGTTTAAATATTTCCACCAACTTAAGGACACTAAAAACCAAAGACTCAAGTTCAAAACTCAAGTTCAAAAATTGCAACAAACTCAAGTTTAAACACGACACAAACTCAAGTTGAAACACGACAGACTCAAGTTCAAACACGACACAAACTCAAGTTGAAACACGACAGACTCAAGTTCAAACACGACACAAACTCAAGTTCAAACACACAAAAACTCAAGTTCAACAAACACACAAACTCAAGTTCAAAAACACCACAAACTCAAGTTCTAAACAACAAAAACTCAAGTTCAACACACGAACTCAAGTTCACTCAATGCCCAATTCGCAAGTTTAACAATTTCCACAACCTCCAGTTAAAAAAAAACAAAAACTCAAGTTCAGACACACCACAAACTCAAGTTCAAAAAACACACAGACTCAAGTTCAAAAATAACCAGAAAATCTAGTTCAAAAACACCACAAACTCAAGTTCAACCAACACCCAAGTCACAAGTTTAACAGTTGCCACAAACTTCAGTTCAAAAAACACACAAGCTCAAGATCAAAAAAACCACAAACTCAAGTTTAAACACGATACACAAACTTAAGTTCAACCAAATCCCAAATCTCAAGTTTAACAATTTCCACAACCTCAAGATCAAAGCAACAGAAACTCAAGTTCAAACACGCCACAAACTCAAGTACAACAAACACCACAAATTCAAGTTCAACAATTGCCACCAACTTAAGTTCAGAGAAAAATACAGACTCAACGTTAACAATTGCCACAAACTGGAGTTCAACAAACACCACAAGCTTAAGTTCAAAAAAGGCCAACATTTCAAATTCAACAAATGACCTATACTCACATTAAACAATTGCCAAAAACTCAAGTTCAACAAACTCAAGTTCAAAAATTGCAAAAAACTCAGGTTCAAAAAACACACAAATTCAAGTTCAAAAACACCACAAACTCAAGTTCAAAAATGCCGAAACTTAATTTCAACCAGCACCCAAATCTCAAGTTTAACAATTGCCACAACCTCATGTTCAAAAACAACAGAAACTCAAATTCAAAAACACCAAAAACTCAAGTGAAAAAAACCCACACAAATTTAAGATCACAAAACAGCACAATCTCAAGTTCAAACACGACACAAACTCAGGTTCAAAAAACACACAAACTCAAGTTTAACCAATACCCAATTCTCACGTTTAACAATTGCCACAACCTCATGTTCAAAAACAACAGAAACTCAAATTCAAAAACACCAAAAACTCAAGTTAAAAAAAACCCACACAAATTCAAGATCACAAAACAGCAATCTCAAGTTCAAACAAGACACAAACTCAGGTTCAACAAACACACAAACTCAAGTTTGTGGCAATACAATTGCCACAAACTCAAGTTCAACAAACACCACAATCTTAAGTTCAACAAATTCCAAAATTTCAAGTTCAACAAATGACCTAAACTCACATTTAACAATTGCCAAAAACTAAAGTTCAACAAACTCAAGTTAAAAAAGTGCCACAAACTGAAGTTCAAAAACACCACAAACTCAAGTTCAAAAAACACACAAACTCAAGTTCAAAAACACCACAAACTCAATTTCAAACACGATACAAACTCAAGTTCAACAAACACCACAAACTCAAGTTTAAGAATTGCAACAACCTCAAATTCAAACATGCCAAAAACTCAAGTTCAACAAAAACACAAACTCAAGTTCAAAAAAACCACAACCTCAAGTTCAACAAAAAACCACAAACTCAAGTTCAATAAATGTGAAAATTTTAAATTAAACCAACACCCAAATCTCAAGTTTAACAATTGCCACAACCTCAAGTTCAAAAACAACACAAACTCAAGTTCAAACACGCCACAAACTCATTTTGAAACACGCCACAAACTCAAGTTCATACAACACCCAATTCTCAAGTTTAACAATTTCCACAACCTTGAGTTCAAAAAACACCAAAAAACACACAAACTCAAGTTCAAACACGCCACAACCTCAATTCAAAAAACACCACAAACTCAAGTTCATACACGACACAAACTCAAGTTCAAAAAAACAAACAAACTCAAGTACAACCAACACCCGATTCTCAGGTTTAACAATTTCCACAACCTCAAGTTCAAAAACAACAGAAACTCAAGTTCAAAAACACCACACAAACTGAAGTTCAAAAACGACACAAACTCAAGTTTAACAAACACAACAAGTCAAGTTCAAGCAACACCCGATCCTCAAGTTCAACAATTTCCACAAACTCAAGTTCAAAAACACCAGAACCTCAAGTTCAAAAAACATAATAAACTCAAGTTCAAATATGCCACAAACTCAAGTTCAAAAAACAAACAAACTCAAGTACAACCAACACCCGATTCTCAAGTTTAACAATTGCCACAACCTCAAGTTAAAAAAAACACAAACTCAAGTTCAAACACTTCACAAACTCAAGTTCAACAAACGCCACAAACTCAAGTTCAACAAACGCCACAAAATCAAGGTCAACAATTGCCACCAACTAAAGTTCACTAAAAACCACAGACTCAAGTTCAACAATTGCCAAAAAATCAAGCCAAACAAAGTCAAGTTCATAAGTTGCCACAAACTTCAAACACAACAACAAACTCAAGTTCAAAAACACCACAAACTCAAGTTCAAAAACGACACAAACTCAAGTTCAACAAACAAAACTAACTATTTTGAGTAATTTTGAGGTGTTTGAGAGGTTTTTTGTAGACTTACCCTAGTGGTCCTAAGTTGTTGTTGATGTGAGGCGTTTCTTTTCCAGTAGTCTGTTGGAGGGGGGAAAAGGTTCCAGCTGTCCAGCCGTGGCGGCAGCGGTGTGTCTGAAGTCCGGGGTCCTCCGCGGGAAGGTTTGCTGGGACTCGCTGCCGTCGGCGGGTCGAAGCTCGGAGTGATGGAGGCGCGGCGTCTTCTTCGAGGCGGTGGTAAATCTTCTTGGTCAGTACTTTCTCTCTATTACAGGAACAAGAATTGCTCTTTAGTGCACAGCACTTAAATGTGCTTTTGACAGGAGAAGACATCCTCAGAGTTGGGCTCAAGTCATGGTTTGTGCTGTTCCTCTCAGACATGGTTGTGTTCTCTTCTCGATGTTTGTATTCCAGAATGGATGTCTCTTGGTTGTATTTTAAACTTTCAAGTTATTTTAAGTTAATTTTAATGTATTTTATTGTTTTAAATTGAGTTTTGCTACATTAAATTTGTATGCACTCGCAAGGGATTGTGGGTATTTTAGTTCTGAGGGATGAGAGCCTAAGGAATCAATCTTCCTGTTACAGCAAAGGATTGTGGGTAAAACCGTGAGTGAGGGAGGTACTTCCTTTCTGGCATGAGAGCCTTGGGAATCAATCTCCCTGTTGTAGCAAAGGATTGTGGGTAAAATCGTGAGTGAGGGAGGTACATTTTTCCTGGCATGAGAACCTCAGGAGTCAGTCCTTCCTAAGAAAAAGAGGGGAGGGGGGAAGAAAAACAAAAGCACAGGAACCCTAAAATAAAATAAAATAAAATAAAATAATATAAAACAATGAAAAAATAAAAAAATAAAAGAAGAACAAAAGTGGATTGCAAAAGGGAAAGGGGAAGAAAAAAGGAAAAAAAGAAGTGTCAAGAGCAAATAGCAAAAATCAGAAGTGAGCTTAGAAACAGAGAACAGTTCCCTAAAAGAAAGACAGAAATGTAAATTTGATCAATGTCCTAAGAGAAAATCTGTACGTGTGTGTGTGTGTTCTTTTTTGCTAACTTAGTCTGGTGTCACTGATGGTCAGTTATTGATAAGTATTTAGTCAAAAAGTCACAGAGGATTGTGGTGGGAGCAGGTGGTCCGTCTGGCACCATTCTGCTCATGCAGGGATTCGAGTGATAGAAAGAGAATAGATCTTGCCACCGTGACTCGCCATTGAGACTCTCCTCACCTTCTGATTTTCATCCTCTGATAGGAGAGAGAGGTACAGATCAGGAGAGAGGGAGAAAAGGAGGGAGGCAGGGTGGGGTCAGGAGTTAATTTGTCTTGAAAAGTATTTATCTTTTCGTCATTGCTGTTAGGGTTCAGATGTTTTTTGTTTAGTTATCTGAGGAATGTAGTGTTAGTATAGGTTCCAAGGTGGAGGATTCTTTGGAATTCACTCTCACCCTTGAAACTGGAAGATCTTAGATTCTATAAAGGGGGTGGGGGGGGGGGGTTAGAGGTTGTGTGCACAGAAGGAGCATGGGCTGAGACTATTCTCGGAATGATATTGTGACAAGTCTGTCTGAAGGCAAGTGGCTGGTTAGGTGTGGGTAAGAGATACAGTGATAGCCCCTGCTTTCGTCAGTTGACTTGGCAGTTTGGGGTAGGCTGATCAAGGGCTTGCACTGGCCGGCGCATGTTAACCTGTCACAAGTTCCAGTCGAGTCTACGAGCTCAATCTGTGTGTAAAAATTATGTGTTGGTAGAAAGTTTAATGACTCAGCTCAGTTGGTATGCTATGCTGTCTATCTTTTAGACTATGTGTTTGTAGAGCAATATTATGTATATATTATATTACAGGACTAGGAAAAGGTTAAAGGTTTTTGGCGTGAGGGTTAAAATCACTGTCCAAAACCTTTGTAGGAACTCTTTTCCAACCTTTTGGAGGGAGCTAGACTAAAAAAAAAAAAGAAAAATGAAAAAAAAAATGTTTGGGGTGTGAAGGCTTCCTTAAGGTAATACCCGTGTACTAGTTTCTAGGCTAGGGTAAGGTTTAAGGTTTTTAGTGTTAGGGTTAAAGTCACTGTGCAATATTTTTTAAGGAACATGTTTAAGACCTTTTGGAGTTAGTTAGACAAAAGAAAATGAAAAATAAAAAAAAAGTGGGGGGATGTTAGGGCTTCCTTTAGGTAATACCCGGGTATTAGGTTACGGGGCTGGGGAAAGGTTTAAGGGCTTTGGTGTTAGGGTTAAAATCACTGTCCAAAACCTTTGTAGGAACTCTTTTCCAACCATTTGGAGTTAGTTAGACCAAAAAAAAATAAATATTAAAAAAAATGGGGTGTTAAGGCTTCCTTAAGGTTATACCAGGGTAATAGGTTACAGGGCTAGGTAAAGGGTAAAGGTTTTCGGCGTGAGGGTTAAGATCAACGTCCAAAACCTTTGTAGGAACTCTTTTCCAACCTTTTGGAGTTAGTTAGACCAAAAAAAATGAAGAATGAAAAAAAAAATATTTAGGGTGTTCGGGCTTCCTGAAGGTAATACCCAAGTATTAGGTTTTGGGGCTAGGGTAAGGTTTAAGGTTTTTGGCGTAAGGGTTAAAATCACTGTCCAAAACCTTTGTGGGAACAAGTTTCAGACCTTTTGGAGTTAGTTACACCAAAAAAAATGTAAAATGAAAAAAATATATTTGGGGTGTTAGTGCTCCCTGAAGGTAATACCCGGGTATTAGGTTATGGGGCTAGGGTAAGGTTCAAGGTTTTTGGCATTAGGGTCAAAATCACTGTACAAAACCTTTGTGGGAACAAGTTTCAGACCTTTTGGAGTTAGTTAGACCAAAAAATAACGAAAAATGAAAAAAAATATTTGGGGTTTTCGGGCTTCCTCAAGGTAATACCCGGGTATTAGGTTTTGGGGCTAGGGTAAGGTTTAAGGTTTTTGGCGTTAGGGTTAAAATCACTGTCCAAAACCTTTGTAGGAACTCTTTTCCAACCTTTTGGAGTTAGTTTGACCAAAAAAGAAAAAGAAAAAAGAAAAAAAAAGATTTGGGGTTTTCGGGCTTCCTGAAGGTAATACCTGGGTATTAGGTTATGGGGCTAGGGTAAGGTTTAAGGTTTTTGGCGTTAGGGTTTAAATCACTGTCCAAAACCTTTTTAGGAACATGTTTCAGACCTTTTGGAGTTAGTTAGACCAAAAAATAACGAAAAATGAAAAAAAAATATTTGGGGTGTTCAGGCTTCCTGAAGGTAATACACGGTTTCGGTTATGGGGCTATGGTCAGGTTTAAGGTTTTTGGCGTTAGGTGTTAAAATCACTGTCCAAAACCTTTGTAGGAACTCTTTTCAAACCTTTTGGAGTTAGTTTGACAAAAAAAGAAAAAGAAAAAAGAAAAAAAAATATTTGGGGTTTTCGGGCTTCCTGAAGGTAATACCCGGGTATTAGGTTATGGGGCTAGGGTAAGGTTTAAGGTTTTTGGCATGAGGGTTAAAAACACTGTCCAAAACCTTTGTAGGAACTCTTTTCCAACCTTTTGGAGTAAGTAAGACCAAAAAAAAATGAAAAAAGAAAAAAAAATAGTTGGGGATTTCGCGCTTCCTGAAGGTAATACCCAGGTATTAGGTTATGGGGCTAGGGTAAGGTTTAAGGTTTTTGGCGTTAAGGTTAAAATCACTGCCAAAAACTTTGTAGGAACTCTTTTCCAACCTTTTTGGAGTTAGTTAGACCAAAAAAAATGAAAAATGAAAATAAATATTGGGGGTATTCGGGCTTCCTGAAGGTCATACCCGGGTATTAGGTTATGGGGCTAGGGTAAGGTTTAAGGTTTTTGGCGTTAGAGTTAAAATCTGTGTCCAAAACCTTTGTAGGAACATGTTTCAGACCTTTTGGAGTAAGTTAGACCAAAAAATAACGAAAAATAAAAAAAATATATTTGGGGTTTTCGGGCTTCCTGAAGGTAATACCCAGGTATTAGGTTATGGGGCTAGGGTAGGGTTTAAGGTTTTTGGCGTTAAGGTTAAAATCACTGTCCAAAACCTTTTTAGGAACATGTTTCAGAACTTTTGGAGTTGGTTACACCAAAAAAAATGTAAAATGATAAAAAAAATAGTTGGGGTTTTCGGGCTTCCTGAAGGTAATACCCGGGTATTAGGTTATGGGGCTAGGGTAAGGTTTAAGGTTTTTGGCGTTAGGTGTTAAAATCACTGTCCAAAACCTTTGTAGGAACTCTTTTCCAACCTTTTGGAGTTAGTTAGACCAAAAAAAAAAGAAATAAGAAAAAAAAAATTGGGGGTTATCGGGCTTCCTGTATGTAATACTATTATTAGGTTATGGGGATATGGTAAGGTTTAAGGTTTTTGGCATGAGGGTTATAATCACTGTCCAAAACCTTTGTAGGAACTCTTTTCCAACCTTTTGGAGTTAGTTAGACCAAAAAAAAAGAAAAATGAAAAAAAATATATTTGGGGTGTTCGGGCTTCCTAAAGGTAATACCCGGGTATTAGGTTATGGGACTAGGGTAAGGATCAAGGTTTTTGGGGTTAGGGTTAAAATCACTGTCCAAAACCTTTGTAGCAACTCTTTTCCAACCTTTTGGAGTTAGTTAGAACAAAAAAAATGAAAAATGAAAAAAAATTTGGGGGGTATTCGGGCTTCCTGAAGGTCATACCCGGGTATTAGGTTATGGGGCTAGGGTAAGGTTTAAGGTTTTTGGCGTTAGAGTTAAAATCTGTGTCCAAAACCTTTGTAGGAACATGTTTCAGACCTTTTGGAGTTAGTTAGACCAAAAAATAACGAAAAATGAAAAAAAATATTTGGGGTTTTCGGGCTTCCTGAAGGTAATACCTGGGTATTAGGTTATGGGGCTGGTAAGGTTTAAGGTTTTGGGTGTTAGGGTTAAAATCACTGTCCAAAACCTTTATAGGCACTCTTTTCCAACCTTTTGGATTTAGTTTGACTAAAAAAAAAGAAAAATAAAAAAATATATTTGGGGTTTTCGGGCTTCCTGAAGGTAATACCCGGGTATTAGGTGATGGGGCTAGGGTAGGGTTTAAGGTTTTTGGCGTTAGGGTTAAAATCACTGTCCAAAACCTTTTAGGAACATGTTTCAGAACTTTTGTAGTTGGTTACACCAAAAAAAATGTAAAATGATAAAAAAAATATTTGGGGTTTTCGGGCTTCCTGAAGGTAATACCCGGGTATTAGGTTATGGGGCTAGGGTAAGGTTTAAGGTTTTTGGCGTTAGGTGTTAAAATCACTGTCCAAAACCTTTGTAGGAACTCTTTTCCAACCTTTTGGAGTTAGTTTGACCAAAAAAGAAAAAGAAAAAAGAAAAAAAAATTTGGGGTTATCGGGCTTCCTGAAGGTAATACCTGGGTATTAGGTTATGGGGCTAGGGTAAGGTTTAAGGTTTTTGGCGTTAAGGTTTAAATCACTGTCCAAAAGCTTTTTAGAAACATGTTTCAGACCTTTTGGAGTTGGTTACACAAAATAAATGTAAAATGAAAAAAAAATATTTGGAGTGTTCAGGCTTCCTGAAGGTAATAGACGGTTTTGGTTATGGGGCAATGGTAAGGTTTAAGGTTTGTGGCGTTAGGGTTAAAATCTGTGTCCAAAACCTTTGTAGGAACATGTTTCAGACCTTTTGGAGTTAGTTAGACCAAAAAATAACGAAAAATGAAAAAAAATATTTGGGGTTTTCGGGCTTCCTGAAGGTAATACCCGGGTATTAGGTTATGGGGCTAGGGTAAGGTTTAAGGTTTTTGGCATGAGGGTTAAAATCACTGTCCAAAACCTTTGTAGGAACTCTTTTCCAACCTTTTGGAGTTAGTTAGACCAAAAAAAAAGAAAAATGAAAAAAAATTGGGGGTATTCGGGCTTCCTGAAGGTAATACCCGGGTATTAGGTTATGGGGCTAGGGTAAGGTTTAAGGTTTTTGGCGTTAGAGTTAAAATCTGTGTCCAAAACCTTTGTAGGAACATGTTTCAGACCTTTTGGAGTTAGTTAGACCAAAAAATAATGAAAAATGAAAAAGAATATTTGGGGTTTTCGGGCTTCCTGAAGGTAATACCTGGGTATTACGTTTTGGGGCTAGGGTAAGGTTTAAGGTTTTGGGTGTTAGGGTTAAAATCACTGTCCAAAACCTTTATAGGCACTCTTTTCCAACCTTTTGGATTTAGTTTGACTAAAAAAACAAGAAAAATAAAAAAAATATATTTGGGGTTTTCGGGCTTCCTGAAGGTAATTCCCGGGTATTAGGTTATGGGGCTAGGGTAGGGTTTAAGGTTTTTGGCGTTAGGGCTAAAATCACTGTCCAAAACCTTTTTAGGAACATGTTTCAGAACTTTTGGAGTTGGTTACACCAAAAAAAATGTAAAATGATAAAAAAAATATTTGGGGTTTTCGGGCTTCCTGAAGGTAATACCCGGGTATTAGGTTATGGGGCAAGGTAAGGTTTAAGGTTTTTGGCGTTAGATGTTAAAATCACTGTCCAAAACCTTTGAAGGAACTCTTTTCCAACCTTTTGGAGTTAGTTTGACCAAAAAAGAAAAAGAAAAAAGAAAAAAAAATTTGGGGTTATCGGGCTTCCTGAAGGTAATACCTGGGTATTAGGTTATGGGGCTAGGGTAAGGTTTAAGGTTTTTGGCGTTAGGGTTATAATCACTGTCCAAAACCTTTTTAGGAACATGTTTCAGACCTTTTGGAGTTGGTTACACAAAATAAATGTAAAATGAAAAAAAAATATTTGGAGTGTTCAGGCTTCCTGAAGGTAATACACGGTTTTGGTTATGGGGCTAGGGTAAGGTTTAAGGTTTTTGGCGTTAGGGTTAAAATCTGTGTCCAAAACCTTTGTAAGAACATGTTTCAGACCTTTTGGAGTTAGTTAGACCAAAAAATAACGAAAAATGAAAAAAAATATTTGGGGTTTTCGGGCTTCCTGAAGGTAATACCCGGGTATTAGGTTATGGGGCTAGGGTAAGGTTTAAGGTTTTTGGCATGAGGGTTAAAAACACTGTCCAAAACCTTTGTAGGAACTCTTTTCCAACCTTTTGGAGTAAGTAAGACCAAAAAAAAAGAAAAAAGAAAAAAAAATAGTTGGGGATTTCGTGCTTCCTGAAGGTAATACCCGGGTATTAGGTTATGGGGCTAGGGTAAGGTTTAAGGTTTTTGGCGTTAAGGTTAAAATCACTGCCAAAACCTTTGTAGGAACTCTTTTCCAACCTTTTTGGAGTTAGTTAGACCAAAAAAAATGAAAAATGAAAATAAATATTGGGGGTATTCGGGCTTCCTGAAGGTAATACCCGGGTATTAGGTTATGGGGCTAGGGTAAGGTTTAAGGTTTTTGGCGTTAGAGTTAAAATCTGTGTCCAAAACCTTTGTAGGAATATGTTTCAGACCTTTTGGAGTTAGTTAGACCAAAAAATAACGAAAAATGAAAAAAAATATTTGGGGTTTTCGGGCTTCCTCAAGGTAATACCCGGGTATTAGGTTTTGGGGCTAGGGTAAGGTTTAAGGTTTTTGGCGTTGGGGTTAAAATCACTGTCCAAAACCTTTGTGGCAACTCTTTTCCAACCTTTTGGAGTTAGTTAGAACAAAACAAAAATGAAAAATGAAACAAAAAATATTTGGGGTGTTCGGGCTTCCTGAAGGTAATACCCGGGTATTAGGTTATGGGGCTAGGGTAAGGTTTAAGGTTTTTGGCGTTAGGTGTTAAAATCACTGTCCAAAACCTTTGTAGGAACTCTTTTCCAACCTTTTGGAGTTAGTTTGACCAAAAAAGAAAAAGAAAAAAAAAAAAAAAAAAATTTGGGGGTTATCGGGCTTCCTGAAGGTAATACCTGGGTATTAGGTTATGGGGCTAGGGTAAGGTTTAAGGTTTTTGGCGTTAGGGTTAAAATCACTGTCCAAAACCTTTTTAGGAACATGTTTCAGACCTTTTGGAGTTAGTTAGACCAAAAAATAACGAAAAATGAAAAAAAAATATTTGGGGTGTTCAGGCTTCCTGAAGGTAATACACGGTTTTGGTTATGGGGCTATGGTCAGGTTTAAGGTTTTTGGCGTTAGGGTTAAAATCTGTGTCCAAAACCTTTGTAGGAACTCTTTTCAAACCTTTTGGAGTTAGTTTGACAAAAAAAGAAAAAGAAAAAAGAAAAAAAAATATTTGGGGTTTTCGGGCTTCCTGAAGGTAATACCCGGGTATTAGGTTATGGGGCTAGGGTAAGGTTTAAGGTTTTGGGTGTTAGGGTTAAAATCACTGTCCAAAACCTTTATAGGCACTCTTTTCCAACCTTTTGGATTTAGTTTGACTAAAAAAAAAAGAAAAATAAAAAAAATATATTTGGGGTTTTCGGGCTTCCTGAAGGTAATACCCGGGTATTAGGTGATGGGGCTAGGGTAGGGTTTAAGGTTTTTGGCGTTAGGGTTAAAATCACTGTCCAAAACCTTTTTAGGAACATGTTTCAGAACTTTTGTAGTTGGTTACACCAAAAAAAATGTAAAATGATAAAAAAAATATTTGGGGTTTTCGGGCTTCCTGAAGGTAATACCCGGGTATTAGGTTATGGGGCTAGGGTAAGGTTTAAGGTTTTTGGCGTTAGGTGTTAAAATCACTGTCCAAAACCTTTGTAGGAACTCTTTTCCAACCTTTTGGAGTTAGTTTGACCAAAAAAGAAAAAGAAAAAAGAAAAAAAAATTTGGGGTTATCGGGCTTCCTGAAGGTAATACCTGGGTATTAGGTTATGGGGCTAGGGTAAGGTTTAAGGTTTTTGGCGTTAAGGTTTAAATCACTGTCCAAAAGCTTTTTAGAAACATGTTTCAGACCTTTTGGAGTTGGTTACACAAAATAAATGTAAAATGAAAAAAAAATATTTGGAGTGTTCAGGCTTCCTGAAGGTAATAGACGGTTTTGGTTATGGGGCAATGGTAAGGTTTAAGGTTTGTGGCGTTAGGGTTAAAATCTGTGTCCAAAACCTTTGTAGGAACATGTTTCAGACCTTTTGGAGTTAGTTAGACCAAAAAATAACGAAAAATGAAAAAAAATATTTGGGGTTTTCGGGCTTCCTGAAGGTAATACCCGGGTATTAGGTTATGGGGCTAGGGTAAGGTTTAAGGTTTTTGGCATGAGGGTTGAAAACACTGTCCAAAACCTTTGTAGGAACTCTTTTCCAACCTTTTTGGAGTTAGTTAGACCAAAAAAAATGAAAAATGAAAAAAAATTGGGGGTATTCGGGCTTCCTGAAGGTAATACCCGGGTATTAGGTTATGGGGCTAGGGTAAGGTTTAAGGTTTTTGGCGTTAGAGTTAAAATCTGTGTCCAAAACCTTTGTAGGAACATGTTTCAGACCTTTTGGAGTTAGTTAGACCAAAAAATAATGAAAAATGAAAAAGAATATTTGGGGTTTTCGGGCTTCCTGAAGGTAATACCTGGGTATTACGTTTTGGGGCTAGGGTAAGGTTTAAGGTTTTGGGTGTTAGGGTTAAAATCACTGTCCAAAACCTTTATAGGCACTCTTTTCCAACCTTTTGGATTTAGTTTGACTAAAAAAACAAGAAAAATAAAAAAAATATATTTGGGGTTTTCGGGCTTCCTGAAGGTAATTCCCGGGTATTAGGTTATGGGGCTAGGGTAGGGTTTAAGGTTTTTGGCGTTAGGGCTAAAATCACTGTCCAAAACCTTTTTAGGAACATGTTTCAGAACTTTTGGAGTTGGTTACACCAAAAAAAATGTAAAATGATAAAAAAAATATTTGGGGTTTTCGGGCTTCCTGAAGGTAATACCCGGGTATTAGGTTATGGGGCAAGGTAAGGTTTAAGGTTTTTGGCGTTAGATGTTAAAATCACTGTCCAAAACCTTTGAAGGAACTCTTTTCCAACCTTTTGGAGTTAGTTTGACCAAAAAAGAAAAAGAAAAAAGAAAAAAAAAATTTGGGGTTATCGGGCTTCCTGAAGGTAATACCTGGGTATTAGGTTATGGGGCTAGGGTAAGGTTTAAGGTTTTTGGCGTTAGGGTTATAATCACTGTCCAAAACCTTTTTAGGAACATGTTTCAGACCTTTTGGAGTTGGTTACACAAAATAAATGTAAAATGAAAAAAAAATATTTGGAGTGTTCAGGCTTCCTGAAGGTAATACACGGTTTTGGTTATGGGGCTAGGGTAAGGTTTAAGGTTTTTGGCGTTAGGGTTAAAATCTGTGTCCAAAACCTTTGTAAGAACATGTTTCAGACCTTTTGGAGTTAGTTAGACCAAAAAATAACGAAAAATGAAAAAAAATATTTGGGGTTTTCGGGCTTCCTGAAGGTAATACCCGGGTATTAGGTTATGGGGCTAGGGTAAGGTTTAAGGTTTTTGGCATGAGGGTTAAAAACACTGTCCAAAACCTTTGTAGGAACTCTTTTCCAACCTTTTGGAGTAAGTAAGACCAAAAAAAAAGAAAAAAGAAAAAAAAATAGTTGGGGATTTCGTGCTTCCTGAAGGTAATACCCGGGTATTAGGTTATGGGGCTAGGGTAAGGTTTAAGGTTTTTGGCGTTAAGGTTAAAATCACTGCCAAAACCTTTGTAGGAACTCTTTTCCAACCTTTTTGGAGTTAGTTAGACCAAAAAAAATGAAAAATGAAAATAAATATTGGGGGTATTCGGGCTTCCTGAAGGTCATACCCGGGTATTAGGTTATGGGGCTAGGGTAAGGTTTAAGGTTTTTGGCGTTAGAGTTAAAATCTGTGTCCAAAACCTTTGTAGGAATATGTTTCAGACCTTTTGGAGTTAGTTAGACCAAAAAATAACGAAAAATGAAAAAAAATATTTGGGGTTTTCGGGCTTCCTCAAGGTAATACCCGGGTATTAGGTTTTGGGGCTAGGGTAAGGTTTAAGGTTTTTGGCGTTGGGGTTAAAATCACTGTCCAAAACCTTTGTGGCAACTCTTTTCCAACCTTTTGGAGTTAGTTAGAACAAAACAAAAATGAAAAATGAAACAAAAAATATTTGGGGTGTTCGGGCTTCCTGAAGGTAATACCCGGGTATTAGGTTATGGGGCTAGGGTAAGGTTTAAGGTTTTTGGCGTTAGGTGTTAAAATCACTGTCCAAAACCTTTGTAGGAACTCTTTTCCAACCTTTTGGAGTTAGTTTGACCAAAAAAGAAAAAGAAAAAAGAAAAAAAAATTTGGGGGTTATCGGGCTTCCTGAAGGTAATACCTGGGTATTAGGTTATGGGGCTAGGGTAAGGTTTAAGGTTTTTGGCGTTAGGGTTAAAATCACTGTCCAAAACCTTTTTAGGAACATGTTTCAGACCTTTTGGAGTTAGTTAGACCAAAAAAAATGAAAAATGAAAATAAATATTGGGGGTATTCGGGCTTCCTGAAGGTCATACCCGGGTATTAGGTTATGGGGCTAGGGTAAGGTTTAAGGTTTTTGGCGTTAGAGTTAAAATCTGTGTCCAAAACCTTTGTAGGAATATGTTTCAGACCTTTTGGAGTTAGTTAGACCAAAAAATAACGAAAAATGAAAAAAAATATTTGGGGTTTTCGGGCTTCCTCAAGGTAATACCCGGGTATTAGGTTTTGGGGCTAGGGTAAGGTTTAAGGTTTTTGGCGTTGGGGTTAAAATCACTGTCCAAAACCTTTGTGGCAACTCTTTTCCAACCTTTTGGAGTTAGTTAGAACAAAACAAAAATGAAAAATGAAACAAAAAATATTTGGGGTGTTCGGGCTTCCTGAAGGTAATACCCGGGTATTAGGTTATGGGGCTAGGGTAAGGTTTAAGGTTTTTGGCGTTAGGTGTTAAAATCACTGTCCAAAACCTTTGTAGGAACTCTTTTCCAACCTTTTGGAGTTAGTTTGACCAAAAAAGAAAAAGAAAAAAGAAAAAAAAATTTGGGGGTTATCGGGCTTCCTGAAGGTAATACCTGGGTATTAGGTTATGGGGCTAGGGTAAGGTTTAAGGTTTTTGGCGTTAGGGTTAAAATCACTGTCCAAAACCTTTTTAGGAACATGTTTCAGACCTTTTGGAGTTAGTTAGACCAAAAAATAACGAAAAATGAAAAAAAAATATTTGGGGTGTTCAGGCTTCCTGAAGGTAATACACGGTTTTGGTTATGGGGCTATGGTCAGGTTTAAGGTTTTTGGCGTTAGGGTTAAAATCTGTGTCCAAAACCTTTGTAGGAACTCTTTTCAAACCTTTTGGAGTTAGTTTGACAAAAAAAGAAAAAGAAAAAAGAAAAAAAAATATTTGGGGTTTTCGGGCTTCCTGAAGGTAATACCCGGGTATTAGGTTATGGGGCTAGGGTAAGGTTTAAGGTTTTTGGCGTTAGGTGTTAAAATCACTGTCCAAAACCTTTGTAGGAACTCTTTTCCAACCTTATGGAGTTAGTTTGACCAAAGAAAAAAAGAAAAAAGAAAAAAAAAATTTGGGGTTATCGGGCTTCCTGAAGGTAATACCTGGGTATTAGGTTATGGGGCTATGGTAAGGTTTAAGGTTTTTGGCGTTAGGGTTTAAATCACTGTCCAAAACCTTTTTAGGAACATGTTTCAGACCTTTTGGAGTTGGCTACACAAAATAAATGTAAAATGAAAAAAAAATATTTGGGGTGTTCTGGCTTCCTGAAGGTAATACACGGTTTTGGTTATGGGGCTATGGTAAGGTTTAAGGTTTTTGGCGTTAGGGTTAAAATCTGTGTCCAAAACCTTTGTAGGAACATGTTTCAGACCTTTTGGAGTTAGTTAGACCAAAAAATAACGAAAAATGAAAAAAAATAGTTGGGGTTTTCGGGCTTCCTGAAGGTAATATCGGGGTATTAGGTTATGGGGCTAGGGTAAGGTTTAAGGTTTTTGGCGTTAAGGTTAAAATCTGTGTCCAAAACCTTTGTAGGAACTCTTTTCCAACCTTTTTGGAGTTAGTTAGACCAAAAAAAATGAAAAATGAAAAAAAATATTGGGGGTATTCGGGCTTCCTGAAGGTCATACCCGGGTATTAGGTTATGGGGCTAGGGTAAGGTTTAAGGTTTTTGGCGTTAGAGTTAAAATCTGTGTCCAAAACCTTTGTAGGAACATGTTTCAGACCTTTTGGAGTTAGTTAGACCAAAAAATAACGAAAAATAAAAAAAATATATTTGGGGTTTTCGGGCTTCCTGAAGGTAATACCCAGGTATTAGGTTATGGGGCTAGGGTAGGGTTTAAGGTTTTTGGCGTTAAGGTTAAAATCACTGTCCAAAACCTTTTTAGGAACATGTTTCAGAACTTTTGGAGTTGGTTACACCAAAAAAAATGTAAAATGATAAAAAAAATAGTTGGGGTTTTCGGGCTTCCTGGAGGTAATACCTGGGTATTACGTTTTGGGGCTAGGGTAAGGTTTAAGGTTTTGGGTGTTAGGGTTAAAATCACTGTCCAAAACCTTTATAGGCACTCTTTTCCAACCTTTTGGATTTAGTTTGACTAAAAAAACAAGAAAAATAAAAAAAATATATTTGGGGTTTTCGGGCTTCCTGAAGGTAATACCCGGGTATTAGGTGATGGGGCTAGGGTAGGGTTTAAGGTTTTTGGCGTTAGGGTTAAAATCACTGTCCAAAACCTTTTTAGGAACATGTTTCAGAACTTTTGGAGTTGGTTACACCAAAAAAAATGTAAAATGATTAAAAAAATATTTGGGGTTTTCGGGCTTCCTGAAGGTAATACCCGGGTATTAGGTTATGGGGCTAGGGTAAGGTTTAAGGTTTTTGGCATGAGGGTTAAAAACACTGTCCAAAACCTTTGTAGGAACTCTTTTCCAACCTTTTGGAGTAAGTTAGACCAAAAAAAAAAAAAAGAAAAAAAATAGTTGGGGATTTCGCGCTTCCTGAAGGTAATACCCGGGTATTAGGTTATGGGGCTATGGTAAGGTTTAAGGTTTTTGGCGTTAAGGTTAAAATCACTGTCCAAAACCTTTTTAGGAAGATGTTTCAGACCTTTTGGAGTTGGTTACACAAAATAAATGTAAAATGAAAAAAAAATATTTGGGGTGTTCAGGCTTCCTGAAGGTAATACACGGTTTTGGTTATGGGGCTATGGTAAGGTTTAAGGTTTTTGGCGTTAGGGTTAAAATCTGTGTCCAAAACCTTTGTAGGAACATGTTTCAGACCTTTTGGAGTTAGTTAGACCAAAAAATAACGAAAAATGAAAAAAAATATTTGGGGTTTTCGCGCTTCCTGAAGGTAATACCCGGGTATTAGGTCATGGGGCTAGGGTAAGGTTTAAGGTTTTTGGCATGAGGGTTAAAAACACTGTCCAAAACCTTTGTAGGAACTCTTTTCCAACCTTTTGGAGTAAGTAAGACCAAAAAAAAAGAAAAAAGAAAAAAAAATAGTTGGGGATTTCGCGCTTCCTGAAGGTAATACCCGGGTATTAGGTTATGGGGCTAGGGTAAGGTTTAAGGTTTTTGGCGTTAAGGTTAAAATCACTGCCAAAACCTTTGTAGGAACTCTTTTCCAACCTTTTTGGAGTTAGTTAGACCAAAAAAAATGAAAAATGAAAAAAAATTTGGGGGGTATTCGGGCTTCCTGAAGGTCATACCCGGGTATTAGGTTATGGGGCTAGGGTAAGGTTTAAGGTTTTTGGCGTTAGAGTTAAAATCTGTGTCCAAAACCTTTGTAGGAACATGTTTCAGACCTTTTGGAGTTAGTTAGACCAAAAAATAACGAAAAATGAAAAAAAATATTTGGGGTTTTCGGGCTTCCTGAAGGTAATACCTGGGTATTACGTTTTGGGGCTAGGGTAAGGTTTAAGGTTTTGGGTGTTAGGGTTAAAATCACTGTCCAAAACCTTTATAGGCACTCTTTTCCAACCTTTTGGATTTAGTTTGACTAAAAAAACAAGAAAAATAAAAAAAATATATTTGGGGTTTTCGGGCTTCCTGAAGGTAATACCCGGGTATTAGGTGATGGGGCTAGGGTAGGGTTTAAGGTTTTTGGCGTTAGGGTTAAAATCACTGTCCAAAACCTTTTTAGGAACATGTTTCAGAACTTTTGGAGTTGGTTACACCAAAAAAAATGTAAAATGATAAAAAAAATATTTGGGGTTTTCGGGCTTCCTGAAGGTAATACCCGGGTATTAGGTTATGGGGCTAGGGTAAGGTTTAAGGTTTTTGGCATGAGGGTTAAAAACACTGTCCAAAACCTTTGTAGGAACTCTTTTCCAACCTTTTGGAGTAAGTTAGACCAAAAAAAAAAAAAAGAAAAAAAATAGTTGGGGATTTCGCGCTTCCTGAAGGTAATACCCGGGTATTAGGTTATGGGGCTATGGTAAGGTTTAAGGTTTTTGGCGTTAAGGTTAAAATCACTGTCCAAAACCTTTTTAGGAAGATGTTTCAGACCTTTTGGAGTTGGTTACACAAAATAAATGTAAAATGAAAAAAAAATATTTGGGGTGTTCAGGCTTCCTGAAGGTAATACACGGTTTTGGTTATGGGGCTATGGTAAGGTTTAAGGTTTTTGGCGTTAGGGTTAAAATCTGTGTCCAAAACCTTTGTAGGAACATGTTTCAGACCTTTTGGAGTTAGTTAGACCAAAAAATAATGAAAAATGAAAAAAAATATTTGGGGTTTTCGCGCTTCCTGAAGGTAATACCCGGGTATTAGGTTATGGGGCTAGGGTAAGGTTTAAGGTTTTTGGCATGAGGGTTAAAAACACTGTCCAAAACCTTTGTAGGAACTCTTTTCCAACCTTTTGGAGTAAGTAAGACCAAAAAAAAAGAAAAAAGAAAAAAAAATAGTTGGGGATTTCGCGCTTCCTGAAGGTAATACCCGGGTATTAGGTTATGGGGCTAGGGTAAGGTTTAAGGTTTTTGGCGTTAAGGTTAAAATCACTGCCAAAACCTTTGTAGGAACTCTTTTCCAACCTTTTTGGAGTTAGTTAGACCAAAAAATAACGAAAAATGAAAATAAATATTGGGGGTATTCGGGCTTCCTGAAGGTCATACCCGGGTATTAGGTTATGGGGCTAGGGTAAGGTTTAAGGTTTTTTGCGTTAGGGTTTAAATCACTGTCCAAAACCTTTTTAGGAACATGTTTCAGACCTTTTGGAGTTGGTTACACAAAATAAATGTAAAATGAAAAAAAAATATTTGGGGTGTTCAGGCTTCCTGAAGGTAATACACGGTTTTGGTTATGGGGCTATGGTAAGGTTTAAGGTTTTTGGCGTTAGGGTTAAAATCTGTGTCCAAAACCTTTGTAGGAACATGTTTCAGACCTTTTGGAGTTAGTTAGACCAAAAAATAACGAAAAATGAAAAAAAAAATTTGGGGTTTTCGGGCTTCCTGAAGGTAATACCTGGGTATTACGTTTTGGGGCTAGGGTAAGGTTTAAGGTTTTGGGTGTTAGGGTTAAAATCACTGTCCAAAACCTTTATAGGCACTCTTTTCCAACCTTTTGGATTTAGTTTGACTAAAAAAAAATGAAAAATAAAAAATATATATTTGGGGTTTTCGGGCTTCCTGAAGGTAATACCCGGGTATTAGGTTATGGGGCTAGGGTAGAGTTTAAGGTTTTTGGCGTTAAGGTTAAAATCACTGTCCAAAACCTTTTTAGGAACATGTTTCAGAATTTTTGGAGTTGGTTACACCAAAAAAAATGTAAAATGATAAAAAAAATATTTGGGGTTTTCGGGCTTCCTGAAGGTAATACACGGTTTTGGTTATGGGGCTATGGTAAGGTTTAAGGTTTTTGGCGTTAGAGTTAAAATCTGTGTCCAAAACCTTTGTAGGAACATGTTTCAGATCTTTTGGAGTTAGTTAAACCAAAAAATAACGATAAATGAAAAAAAATATTTGGGGTTTTCGGGCTTCCTCAAGGTAATACCCGGGTATTAGGTTTTGGGGCTAGGGTAAGGTTTAAGGTTTTTGGCGTTAGGGTTAAAATCACTGTCCAAAACCTTTGTAGGAACTCTTTTCCAACCTTTTGGAGTTAGTTAGACCAAAAAAAAAGAAAAATGAAAAAAAATATATTTGGGGTTTTCGGGCCTCCTGAAGGTAATACCCGGGTATTAGGTTATGGGACTAGGGTAAGGATCTAGGTTTTTGGGGTTAGGGTTAAAATCACTGTCCAAAACCTTCGTAGCAACTCTTTTCCAATCTTTTGGAGTTAGTTAGAACAAAATAAAATGAAAAATGAAAAAAATATATATTTGGAGTGTTCGGGCTTCCTGTATGTAATACTATTATTAGGTTATGGGGATATGGTAAGGTTTAAGGTTTTTGGCGGTAGGGTTATAATCACTGTCCAAAACCTTTGAAGATACTCTTTTCCAATCTTTTGGAGTTAGTTAGACCAAAAAAAAGAAAAGTGAAAAAAAAATATTTGGGGTTTTCGGGCTTCCTGAAGGTAATACTCGGGTATTAGGTTATGGGGCTAGGGTAAGTTTTAAGGTTTTTGGCGTAAGGGGTTAAAATCACTGTCCAAAACCTTTGTAGGAACTCTTTTCCAACCTTTTGGAGTTAGATAGACCAAAAAAAATGTAAAATGGTAAAAAAAATATTTGGGGTTTTCGGGCTTCCTGAAGGTAATACCCGGCTATCAGGGTTATGGGGCTATGGTAAGGTTTAAGGTTTTTGGCATTAGGGTTAAAATCACTGTCCAAAACCTTTGAAGAAACTCTTTTCCAACCGTTTGGAGTTGGTTACAACAACAAAAAATGTAAAATGAAAAAAAAATATTTGGGGTGTTAGGGCTTCCTGAAGGTAATACCCGGGTATTAGGTTATGGGGCTAGGGTAAGGTTTAAGGTTTTTGGCATTAGGGTTAAAATCACTGTCCAAAACCTTTGTAGGAACTCTTTTTCAACCTTTTGGAGTTAGTTAGACCAAATAAAGACGAAAAATGGATAAAAAAAATTTGGGGGTGGTAGGGCTTCTATAAGGTAATACTCGGGTATTAGGTAACGGGGCTAGGGTAAGGTTTGAGGTTTTTAGCGTTAGGGTTTAAATCACTGTCCAAAACCTTTTTAGGAACATGCTTCAGACCTTTTGGAATTAGTCAGACAAAAAAAACCCGAAAAAAAAAATTATATTTGTAATGGTAGGGCTTCCTTTAGGTAATACCCGGGTATTAGGTTACAGGGCTAGTTAAAGGTTAAAGGTTTTTGACGTGAGGGTTAAAATCACTGTCCAAAACCTTTTTAGGAACTGTTTTCCCTCCCTTTTGGAGTTAGTTAGACCAAAAAAAAAAAACGAAAAATGAAAAAAAAAATGTTTGGGGAGTTAAGGCTTCCTTATGGTAATACCCGGGTATTAGGTTATGGGGCTAGGGTAAGGTTTGAGGTTTTTAGCGTTAGGGCTTAAATCACTGTCCAAAACCTTTTTAGGAACATGTTTCAGACCTTTTTGAATTGGTCAGAAAAAGAAAAAACCTGAAAAAATATATATATATATATTTGGGATGGTAGGGCTTCCTTTACGTAATACCCGGGTATTAGGTTACAGGGCTAGTTAAAGGTTAAAGGTTTTTGGCGTGAGGGTTAAATTCACTGTCCAAAACCTTTTTAGGAACTCTTTTCCAACCTTTTGGAGTGAGTTAGACCAAAAAAAAAAAACGAAAAATGAAAAAAAAAATGTTTGGGGTGTTAAGGCTTCCTTATGGTAATACCTGGGTATTAGGTTATCGGGCTAGGGTAAGGTTTAAGTTTTTTGGGGTTAGGGTTAAAATCACTGTCCAAAACCTTTGAAGGAACTCTTTTCCAACCTTTTGGAGTTAGTTAGACCAAAAAATAAGCAAAAAATGGTTTTTGGGGTTAGGGTTAAAATCACTGTCCAAAACCTTTGAAGGAACTCTTTTCCAACCTTTTGGAGTTAGTTAGACCAAAAAAAAAAAAACGAAAAATGAAACAAAAATATTTGGGGTGTTCGGGCTTCCTTAAGGTAATACCCGGGTATTAGGTCACGGGGCTAGGGTAAGGTTTAAGGTTTTTGGCGTTAGGGTTAAAATCACTGCCCAATATTTTTTTAGGAACATGTTTCAGACCTTTTGTAGTTAGTTGGACCAAAAAAAAAAACGAAAAATGAAAAAAAAAATTTGGGGGTGGTAGGGCTTCCTTTAGGTAATACCTGGGTAATAGGTTACAGGGCTAGTTAAAGGTTTAAGGATTTTCGCGTTAGGGTTAAAATCACTGTCCAAAACCTTTTTAGGAACCCTTTTCCAACCTTTTGGAGTTAGTTGGACCAAAAAAAAATGAAAAATAAAATTTCTTTGGGTGTTAGGGCTTCCTTAAGGTAATACCCGGGGCTGGGTTACGGGGCTAGGGTAAGGCTTATGGTTTTTGGGGTTAGGGTTAAAATCACTGTCCAAAACCTTTGAAGGAACTCTTTTCCAAACGTTTGGAGTTAGACCAAAAAAAAACGAAAAATGAAAAAAAAAATGTTTTTGGTGTTAAGGCTTCCTTAAGGTAATACCCAGGTATTAGGTTACGGGACTAGGTAAGGTTTAAGGTATTTGGCATGAGGGTTAAAATCACTGTCCAAAACCTTTGAAGGAACTCTTTTCCAATCTTTTGGAGTTAGTTAGACCAAAAAAAAAAAACGAAAAATGAAAAAAAAAATGTTTTCGGTGTTAAGGCTTCCTTAAGGTAATACCCGGGTATTAGGTCACGGGGCTAGGGTAAGGTTTAAGGTATTTGGCATGAGGGTTAAAATCACTGTCCAAAACCTTTGAAGGAACTCTTTTCCAAACGTTTGGAGTTAGACCAAAAAAAAACGAAAAATGAAAAAAATTTTTGGGGGTGGTAGGGCTTCCTTTAGGTAATACCTGGGTAATAGGTTACAGGGCTAGGGTAAGGTTAAAGGTTTTTGGCGTTAGGGTTAAAATCACTGTCCAAAACCTTTGAAGGAACTCTTTTCCAACCTTTTGGAGTTAGTTAGACCAAAAAAAAAGAAAAATGAAAAAAAAAAATTTGCGGCTGTTAAGGCTTCCTTTAGGTAATACCCGGATATTAGGTTATGGGGCTAGGGTAAGGTTTAAGGTTTTTGGCGTTAGGGTTAAAATCACTGTCCAATATTTTTTTAGGAACATGTTTCAGACCTTTTGGAGTTAGTTAGACCAAAAAAAAACGAAAAATGAAAAAAAAAAATTTGGGGGTGGTAGGGCTTCCTTTAGGTAATACCCGGGTATTAGGTTTCAGGGCTAGTTAAAGGTTAAAGGTTTTTGGCGTGATGGTTAAAATCACTGTCCAAAACCTTTTTAGGAACTCTTTTCCAACCTTTTGTAGTTAGTTAGACCAAAAAAAATGGAAAAATGGAAAAAAAAATGTTTGGGATGGTAAGGCGTCCTTAAAATAATACCCGTGTATTAGGTTCCGGGGCTAGTTAAAGGTTTAAGGATTTTCGCGTATGGGTTAAAATCACTGTCCAAAACCTTTTTAGGAACCCTTTTCCAACCTTTTGGAGTTAGTTGGACCAAAAAAAAATGAAAAATGAAAAATAAAATTTTTTTGGGTGTTAGGGCTTCCTTAAGGTAATACCCGGGGCTAGGTTACGGGGCTAGGGTAAGGCTTATGGTTTTTGGGGTTAGGGTTAAAATCACTGTCCAAAACCTTTGAAGGAACTCTTTTCCAAACGTTTGGAGTTAGACCAAAAAAAAACGAAAAATGAAAAAAAACATGTTTTTGGTGTTAAGGCTTCCTTAAGGTAATACCCAGGTATTAGGTTACGGGACTAGGTAAGGTTTAAGGTATTTGGCATGAGGGTTAAAATCACTGTCCAAAACCTTTGAAGGAACTCTTTTCCAATCTTTTGGAGTTAGTTAGACCAAAAAAAAAAACCAAAAATGAAAAAAAAAATGTTTTCGGTGTTAAGGCTTCCTTAAGGTAATACCCCGGTATTAGGTCACGGGGCTAGGGTAAGGTTTAAGGTTTTTGGCGTTAGGGTTAAAATCACTGTCCAATATTTTTTTAGGAACATGTTTCAGACCTTTTGTAGTTAGTTAGACCAAAAAAAAAAACGAAAAATGAAAAAAATTTTTGGGGGTGGTAGGGCTTCCTTTAGGTTATACCTGGGTAATAGGTTACAGGGCTAGGGTAAGGTTAAAGGTTTTTGGCGTTAGGGTTAAAATCACTGTCCAAAACCTTTTTAGGAACTCTTTCCAACATTTTGGAGTCAGTGAGACCAAAAAAAAACGAAAAGTGAAAACAATTTTTTTTGGGGTGTTAAGGCTTCCTTAAGGTAATTCCAGGGTATTAGATCACGGGGCTAGGGAAAGGTTAAAGGTTTTTGGCGTTAGGGTTAAAATCACTGTCCAAAACCTTTGAAGGAACTCTTTTCCAACCTTTTGGAGTTAGTTAGACCAAAAAAAAACGAAAAATGAAAACAATTTTTTTTGGTGTGTTAAGGCTTCCTTAAGGTAATTCCAGGGTATTAGATTACGGGGCTAGGGAAAGGTTAAAGGTTTTTGGCGTTAGGGTTAAAATCACTGTCCAAAACCTTTTTAGGAACTCTTTTCCAACATTTTGGAGTTAGACCAAAAAAAAACGAAAAATGAAAACAATTTTTTTTGGGGTGTTAAGGCTTCCTTAAGGTAATTCCAGGGTATTAGATTACGGGGCTAGGGAAAGGTTAAAGGTTTTTGGCGTTAGGGTTAAAATCACTGTCCAAAACCTTTGAAGGAACTCTTTTCCAACATTTTGGAGTCAGGCCAAAAAAAAACGAAAAATGAAAACAATTTTTTTTGGGGGTGTTAAGGCTTCCTTAAGGTAATTCCAGGGTATTAGATTACGGGGCTAGGGAAAGGTTAAAGGTTTTTGGCGTTAGGGTTAAAATCACTGTCCAAAATCTTTGAAGGAACTCTTTTCCAACCTTTTGGAGTTAGTAAGACCAAAAAAAAATGAAAAATGAAAAAAAAAAATTTGCGGCTGTTAAGGCTTCCTTAAGGTAATACCCGGATATTAGGTTATGGGGCTAGGGTAAGGTTTAAGGTTTTTGGCGTTAGGGTTAAAATCACTGTCCAATATTTTTTTAGGAACATGTTTCAGACCTTTTGGAGTTAGTTAGACCAAAAAAAAACGAAAAATGAAAAAAAAAAATTTGGGGTGGTAGGGCTTCCTTTAGGTAATACCCGGGTATTAGGTTTCAGGGCTAGTTAAAGGTTAAAGGTTTTTGGCGTGAGGGTTAAAATCACTGTCCAAAACCTTTTTAGGAACTCTTTTCCAACATTTTGGAGTTAGTTAGACCAAAAAAAATGGAAAAATGGAAAAAAAAATGTTTGGGATGGTAAGGCGTCCTTAAGGTAATACCCGTGTATTAGGTTCCAGGGCTAGTTAAAGGTTTAAGGATTTTCGCGTTAGGGTTAAAATCACTGTCCAAAACCTTTTGAGGAACCCTTTTCCAACCTTTTGGAGTTAGTTGGACCAAAAAAAAATGAAAAATGAAAAAAAAAATTTTTTGGGGTGTTAGGGCTTCCTTAAGGTAATACCCGGGGCTAGGTTACGGGGCTAGGGTAAGGCTTATGGTTTTTGGGGTTAGGGTTAAAATCACTGTCCAAAACCTTTGAAGGAACTCTTTTCCAAACGTTTGGAGTTAGACCAAAAAAAAACGAAAAAATGAAAAAAAAAAATGTTTTTGGTTTTAAGGCTTCCTTAAGGTAATACCCAGGTATTAGGTTACGGGACTAGGTAAGGTTTAAGGTATTTGGCATGAGGGTTAAAATCACTGTCCAAAACCTTTGAAGGAACTCTTTTCCAATCTTTTGGAGTTAGTTAGACCAAAAAAAAAAAACGAAAAATGAAAAAAAAAATGTTTTCGGTGTTAAGGCTTCCTTAAGGTAATACCCGGGTATTAGGTCACGGGGCTAGGGTAAGGTTTAAGGTATTTGGCATGAGGGTTAAAATCACTGTCCAAAACCTTTGAAGGAACTCTTTTCCAAACGTTTGGAGTTAGACCAAAAAAAAACGAAAAATGAAAAAAAATTTTGGGGGTGGTAGGGCTTCCTTTAGGTAATACCTGGGTAATAGGTTACAGGGCTAGGGTAAGGTTAAAGGTTTTTGGCGTTAGGGTTAAAATCACTGTCCAAAACCTTTGAAGGAACTCTTTTCCAACCTTTTGGAGTTAGTTAGACCAAAAAAAAAGAAAAATGAAAAAAAAAAATTTGCGGCTGTTAAGGCTTCCTTTAGGTAATACCCGGATATTAGGTTATGGGGCTAGGGTAAGGTTTAAGGTTTTTGGCGTTAGGGTTAAAATCACTGTCCAATATTTTTTTAGGAACATGTTTCAGACCTTTTGGAGTTAGTTAGACCAAAAAAAAACGAAAAATGAAAAAAAAAAATTTGGGGGTGGTAGGGCTTCCTTTAGGTAATACCCGGGTATTAGGTTTCAGGGCTAGTTAAAGGTTAAAGGTTTTTGGCGTGATGGTTAAAATCACTGTCCAAAACCTTTTTAGGAACTCTTTTCCAACCTTTTGTAGTTAGTTAGACCAAAAAAAATGGAAAAATGGAAAAAAAAATGTTTGGGATGGTAAGGCGTCCTTAAAATAATACCCGTGTATTAGGTTCCGGGGCTAGTTAAAGGTTTAAGGATTTTCGCGTATGGGTTAAAATCACTGTCCAAAACCTTTTTAGGAACCCTTTTCCAACCTTTTGGAGTTAGTTGGACCAAAAAAAAATGAAAAATGAAAAATAAAATTTTTTTGGGTGTTAGGGCTTCCTTAAGGTAATACCCGGGGCTAGGTTACGGGGCTAGGGTAAGGCTTATGGTTTTTGGGGTTAGGGTTAAAATCACTGTCCAAAACCTTTGAAGGAACTCTTTTCCAAACGTTTGGAGTTAGACCAAAAAAAAACGAAAAATGAAAAAAAACATGTTTTTGGTGTTAAGGCTTCCTTAAGGTAATACCCAGGTATTAGGTTACGGGACTAGGTAAGGTTTAAGGTATTTGGCATGAGGGTTAAAATCACTGTCCAAAACCTTTGAAGGAACTCTTTTCCAATCTTTTGGAGTTAGTTAGACCAAAAAAAAAAACCAAAAATGAAAAAAAAAATGTTTTCGGTGTTAAGGCTTCCTTAAGGTAATACCCCGGTATTAGGTCACGGGGCTAGGGTAAGGTTTAAGGTTTTTGGCGTTAGGGTTAAAATCACTGTCCAATATTTTTTTAGGAACATGTTTCAGACCTTTTGTAGTTAGTTAGACCAAAAAAAAAACGAAAAATGAAAAAAATTTTTGGGGGTGGTAGGGCTTCCTTTAGGTTATACCTGGGTAATAGGTTACAGGGCTAGGGTAAGGTTAAAGGTTTTTGGCGTTAGGGTTAAAATCACTGTCCAAAACCTTTTTAGGAACTCTTTCCAACATTTTGGAGTCAGTTAGACCAAAAAAAAACGAAAAGTGAAAACAATTTTTTTTGGGGTGTTAAGGCTTCCTTAAGGTAATTCCAGGGTATTAGATCACGGGGCTAGGGAAAGGTTAAAGGTTTTTGGCGTTAGGGTTAAAATCACTGTCCAAAACCTTTGAAGGAACTCTTTTCCAACCTTTTGGAGTTAGTTAGACCAAAAAAAAACGAAAAATGAAAACAATTTTTTTTGGTGTGTTAAGGCTTCCTTAAGGTAATTCCAGGGTATTAGATTACGGGGCTAGGGAAAGGTTAAAGGTTTTTGGCGTTAGGGTTAAAATCACTGTCCAAAACCTTTTTAGGAACTCTTTTCCAACATTTTGGAGTTAGACCAAAAAAAAACGAAAAATGAAAACAATTTTTTTGGGGTGTTAAGGCTTCCTTAAGGTAATTCCAGGGTATTAGATTACGGGGCTAGGGAAAGGTTAAAGGTTTTTGGCGTTAGGGTTAAAATCACTGTCCAAAACCTTTGAAGGAACTCTTTTCCAACATTTTGGAGTCAGGCCAAAAAAAAACGAAAAATGAAAACAATTTTTTTTGGGGGTGTTAAGGCTTCCTTAAGGTAATTCCAGGGTATTAGATTACGGGGCTAGGGAAAGGTTAAAGGTTTTTGGCGTTAGGGTTAAAATCACTGTCCAAAATCTTTGAAGGAACTCTTTTCCAACCTTTTGGAGTTAGTAAGACCAAAAAAAAATGAAAAATGAAAAAAAAAAATTTGCGGCTGTTAAGGCTTCCTTAAGGTAATACCCGGATATTAGGTTATGGGGCTAGGGTAAGGTTTAAGGTTTTTGGCGTTAGGGTTAAAATCACTGTCCAATATTTTTTTAGGAACATGTTTCAGACCTTTTGGAGTTAGTTAGACCAAAAAAAAACGAAAAATGAAAAAAAAAAATTTGGGGTGGTAGGGCTTCCTTTAGGTAATACCCGGGTATTAGGTTTCAGGGCTAGTTAAAGGTTAAAGGTTTTTGGCGTGAGGGTTAAAATCACTGTCCAAAACCTTTTTAGGAACTCTTTTCCAACATTTTGGAGTTAGTTAGACCAAAAAAAATGGAAAAATGGAAAAAAAAATGTTTGGGATGGTAAGGCGTCCTTAAGGTAATACCCGTGTATTAGGTTCCAGGGCTAGTTAAAGGTTTAAGGATTTTCGCGTTAGGGTTAAAATCACTGTCCAAAACCTTTTGAGGAACCCTTTTCCAACCTTTTGGAGTTAGTTGGACCAAAAAAAAATGAAAAATGAAAAAAAAAATTTTTTGGGGTGTTAGGGCTTCCTTAAGGTAATACCCGGGGCTAGGTTACGGGGCTAGGGTAAGGCTTATGGTTTTTGGGGTTAGGGTTAAAATCACTGTCCAAAACCTTTGAAGGAACTCTTTTCCAAACGTTTGGAGTTAGACCAAAAAAAAACTAAAAATGAAAAAAAAAAATGTTTTTGGTTTTAAGGCTTCCTTAAGGTAATACCCAGGTATTAGGTTACGGGACTAGGTAAGGTTTAAGGTATTTGGCATGAGGGTTAAAATCACTGTCCAAAACCTTTCTTAGGAACTCTTTTCCAACCTTTTGGAGTTAGTTAGACCAAAAAATAACGAGAAATGAAAAAAAAAAATTTTGGGGGGTAGTTAAAGCTTCCTTAAGGTAATACCCGGGTATTAGGTTACGGGGCTAGGGTAAGGTTTAATGTTTTTAGCGTTAGGGTTAAAATCACTGTCCAATAACTTTTAGGAACATGTTTCAGACCTTTTGGAGTTAGTTAGACCAAAAAAGAACTAAAAATGAAAAAAAATTTTTTGGGGTGGTAGGGTTCCCTTTAGGTAATACCCGGGTATTAGGTTACAGGGCTAGTTAAAGGTTAAAGGTTTTTGGCGTTAGGGTTAAAATCACTGTCCAAAACCTTTTTAGGAACATGTTTTAGACCCTTTGGAGTTAGTCAGACCAAAAAAAAACGAAAAATGAAAAAAAAAAATGTTTGGGGAGTTAAGGCTTCCTTGACGTAATACCACGGGTATTTGGTTACGGGGCTAGGGTAACGTTTAAGGTTTTTGGCGTTAGGGTTAAAATCACTGTCCAATATTTTTTTAGGAACATGTTTCAGACCTTTTGGAGTTAGACCAAAAAATACTGAAAAATGTTTAAAATTTTTTTGGGGTGGTAGGGCTTCCTTTAGGTAATAACCGGGTATTAGGTTACAGGGCTAGGTAAAGGTTAAAGGTTTTTGGCGTTAGGGTTAAAATCACTGTCCAAAACCTTTTTAGGAACATGTTTTAGACCCTTTGGAGTTAGCCAGACCAAAAAAGAAACGAAAAATGAAAAAAAAAAATGTTTGGGGTTTTTAGGCTTCCTTAAGGTAATACCCAGGTATTTGGTAATGGGGCTAGGGTAACGTTTAAGGTTTTTGGAGTTAGGGTTAAAATCACTGTCCAATATTTTTTTAGGAACATGTTTCAGACCTTTTGGAGTTAGACCAAAAAATACTGAAAAATGTAAAAAAAGAAATGTTTGGGTTGTTACGGCTTCCTTTAGGTAATACCCGGGTATTAGGTTACAGGGCTAGTTAAAGGTTAAAGGTTTTTGGCGTTAGGGTTAAAATCACTGTCCAAAACCTTTTTAGGAACATGTTTTAGACCCTTTGGAGTTAGTCAGACCAAAAAAAAAACGAAAAATGAAAAAAAAAAATGTTTGGGGTGTTAAGGCTTCCTTGACGTAATACCACGGGTATTTGGTTACGGGGCTAGGGTAACGTTTAAGGTTTTTGGCGTTAGGGTTAAAATCACTGTCCAATATCTTTTTAGGAACATGTTTCAGACCTTTTGGAGTTAGACCAAAAAATACTGAAAAATGTTAAAAAAAATTTTGGGGTGGTAGGGCTTCCTTTAGGTAATAACCGGGTATTAGGTTACAGGGCTAGGTAAAGGTTAAAGGTTTTTGGCGTTAGGGTTAAAATCACTGTCCAAAACCTTTTTAGGAACATGTTTTAGACCCTTTGGAGTTAGTCAGACCAAAAAAAAAACGAAAAATGAAAAAAAAAAAATGTTTGGGGTTTTAAGGCTTCCTTAAGGTAATACCCAGGTATTTGGTAATGGGGCTAGGGTAACGTTTAAGGTTTTTGGAGTTAGGGTTAATATCACTGTCCAATATTTTTTTAGGAACATGTTTCAGACCTTTTGGAGTAAGTTAGACCAAAAAATACTGAAAAATGTAAAAAAAGAAATGTTTGGGTTGTTACGGCTTCCTTTAGGTAATACCCGGGTATTAGGTTACGGGGCTAGGGTAACGTTTAAGGTTTTTGGCGTTAGGGTTAAAATCACTGTCCAAAACCTTTTTAGGAACATGTTTCAGACCTTTTGGAGTTAGTTTGACAAAAAAAAAACTGAAAAATGACAAAAAAATGTTTGGGGTGTTAGGGCTTCCTTTAGGTAATATTGCGTTACGGGGGTAGGGTAAGGGTTAAGGTTTTTGGCGTTAGGGTTAAAATCACTGTCCAAAACCTTTTTAGGAACATGTTTTAGACATTGTGGAGTTAGTTAGACCAAAAAAAAATGTAAAATGAAAAAAAAATGTTTGGGGTGTTAGTGCTTCCTGAAGGTAATACCCAGGTATTAGGTTACGGGGCTAGGGTAAGGTTTAAGGTTTTGGGGGTTAGGGTTAAAATCACTGTCCAAAACCTTTTTAGGAACATGTTTCAGTCCTTTTGGAGTTATTTACACCAAAAAAACCTGAAGAAATGACAAAAAAATGTTTGGGGTGTTAGGGCTTCCTTTAGGTAATACCCGGGTATTGGGTTACGGGGGTAGGGTAAGGTTTAAGGTTTTTGGCGTTAGGGTTAAAATCACTGTCCAAAACCTTTTTAGGAACATGTTTTTAACCTTTTGGAGTTAGTTAGACCAAAAAATACTGAGAAAGTGTAAAAAAAAATGTTTGGGGTTTTAAGGCTTCCTTAAGGTAATACCCAGGTATTTGGTAATGGGGCTAGGGTAACGTTTAAGGTTTTTGGAGTTAGGGTTAATATCACTGTCCAATATTTTTTTAGGAACATGTTTCAGACCTTTTGGAGTAAGTTAGACCAAAAAATACTGAAAAATGTAAAAAAAGAAATGTTTGGGTTGTTACGGCTTCCTTTAGGTAATACCCGGGTATTAGGTTACGGGGCTAGGGTAACGTTTAAGGTTTTTGGCGTTAGGGTTAAAATCACTGTCCAAAACCTTTTTAGGAACATGTTTCAGACCTTTTGGAGTTAGTTTGACAAAAAAAAAACTGAAAAATGACAAAAAAATGTTTGGGGTGTTAGGGCTTCCTTTAGGTAATATTGCGTTACGGGGGTAGGGTAAGGGTTAAGGTTTTTGGCGTTAGGGTTAAAATCACTGTCCAAAACCTTTTTAGGAACATGTTTTAGACATTGTGGAGTTAGTTAGACCAAAAAAAAATGTAAAATGAAAAAAAAATGTTTGGGGTGTTAGTGCTTCCTGAAGGTAATACCCAGGTATTAGGTTACGGGGCTAGGGTAAGGTTTAAGGTTTTGGGGGTTAGGGTTAAAATCACTGTCCAAAACCTTTTTAGGAACATGTTTCAGTCCTTTTGGAGTTATTTACACCAAAAAAACCTGAAGAAATGACAAAAAAATGTTTGGGGTGTTAGGGCTTCCTTTAGGTAATACCCGGGTATTGGGTTACGGGGGTAGGGTAAGGTTTAAGGTTTTTGGCGTTAGGGTTAAAATCACTGTCCAAAACCTTTTTAGGAACATGTTTTTAACCTTTTGGAGTTAGTTAGACCAAAAAATACTGAGAAAGTGTAAAAAAAAATGTTTGGGGTGTTAGGGCTTCCTTTAGGTAATACCCAGGTATTAGGTTACGGGGCGAGGGTAACGTTTAAGGTTTTTGGCGTTAGGGTTAAAATCACTGTCCAATATTTTTTTAGGAACATGTTTCAGTCCTTTTGGAGTTAGTTATGTGGGGGAAAATAACAGATATGTTTGGATGTTTTGGAGGTTACTATGAGGCAAGAAAACAGGATATGGTGGGTGAGGTCAGATTGGGATAAACTTCATCAGGTCATGGTGAACTGTAATTACAATAACAGGAAATTTGGCAGAGGAAGATATCTCTGGGCTTCAGAGATAGTGGCAGGGAAAAAGTCACGTAGGGAACTATCCCACGGGAAAGTGACAATCCAGTTGAGATCAGTGACGTCAGTGGAGTACTATAAGAGATCTGTGGTTTTTCTGTTCTGGGGTCTGTCTGTTCGACTGTTCATGAGCTGTGTTTGATGCTGTGACCAGAATAAAATCCCGCGAGAGGCTGCCAGCTTGATTCTGTCTTCGTGTAGTTCATTCCTGCATTTTTGCACCGAGGTCATCTTCTAAATAATTGGCGAGCTACAGCCAAGATTTTGCCGAGGCCTGGGGCGGTGGCCTCCCCACGCGAGTGAAATCCACGTGCCGGCACACAAAAGGTAGGAGAAGTTTATTTCTCTATTAGATGTGTGATTTCACTGTGTGGTGAGACCATCGTGTGTTTGGGCCCTCGCAAAAGAAAGAGCCTAGAATCAAAGGAAGCAGAGTCAGGCGGAGTCTCTCACGTGTTATTCATGTATACATGAAGGCTGCTCCAAAGTGTGTGGAAAATTGTGGGACAGACAAATTAACTATTGGCGTCAAAGCAGCTGGGAATCTTGGCCAAGTGTCTGTTGACTGTGTCTTATGGGGATAGTAGGAGTAAAGCGAACAGGCCTCGAGATTAAGGCGTAGGGAGGCAGAGTGGATTCGGTCCAGACCCCGAGCAACAGGCTTATGGGGGTAGTTAAGGCGTAAATGCGAAAAGGTCTCTAGCTTAATGCTTAGGGGGGCAGAGGAGTATCGCTAACAGATCCCGAGAACAGTGATCAGCAGAGCAGATCTGTTGTTGTGGGTGAACAAGGTGCCAGGACTTTCAGTTCTAGGGGCATAGAGTTAACGGGCGCGCGAGTTTGAGAAGCCGGCAGCCAAGCCCTGGCAGATGTGTAAAAAAGATTAACCCGATGAGGTTGGACAGACCTCAGAGATACTGCTCTGCGGAGCCCGGGGAGGTCTGAAAGGGCAAGGAACCTGGACAGACCACCCCATGTTAAGTTCTGTAATCTGGGGCTGATCTTTTACTGAGCTCGAAAGGCAGAAACCCTGCAGGTTGCAGACTTATCTAATATAAATAACGTGGAGAAATCCACTAGGAATTATGGAACAGATTTAGATGTGGTTGACTGGACTGTACACACAGTTCAATCACACTTGCTGGGAAATCCCGCTAAAAGTCAGGTCTGTCGCTAATTATGGGCACATTTTAACATATATCCACAAAAACTTATAGATGAAACGAACGCATTTCTCATAATAAGTAACGGGAAATAAAGAAAAACAAACAAAAAACTGCAATCTGAGGACAGAGGTTAATCATACGGAACATTGGACATTGGAGGTATTGAAAATTTATAAGGTAGGAGTTGTTTGATCCACAATTTCCTTCCAAATTGACACCACGAAAAACACGGATGATCAATGTGTTATCCTTATGAGTCAGCCAACTAAATAGAATACCTTCAAAAATCACCAAAAAGACTAAACAAAAGTATATTTGACGAATAAAATAGAAACACCCCAAAAATGTGTGTGTGAGGACCGGTCCGTGTGAAAGTGATCACTCTTTTCCTTTCTCTCTCTCCTCGCACTCCGCTGTTAAGCGTGTTGAGGGTGTGTGTGTGTTGTGTGTGTGCATGGTGGAGAAAGCCCACAACACATTGAGATATACAGTATGTTTGATTGCAAATACATTGACATGCATATATCCTGCATTGTACAAGCTGAACATAATCAGCTGCAAACTAATATGTAAATAATGGAAAATGTTTAACAAGGTGGTTGCAGGAATCCTATAAGCAAGCTAAGATTAACTGCGTTGTCACGGCTCTGTATATGGTGCCTAAATTCGTTTCGGGGGGACAAGGGACCCCGTTTCGGGGGGACAGGGGACCATGGTTCTGCGAACTTCACATGGGATAAGGACACTCTGTGGCCACAAAAAGAAAAAGGTAGGAGATTTCCTAAAATTTGGTTGAGAGTTCTTTTCCCTGTGAGGTGGTGCGGACTACTGCTCTCTGTCCTCTTCGAATCAAAGAACCTAGAATAGAAATAAGAGGAGACAGTGGGAATGAAGACAGTCTGAGAAAACTGCATGCATGCAGTCAGCTGATCAAAGTGTGCTAAATTTGGGAGAGGAAGCCAATTTAAATTGGATATATATCAGCTGAATTAAGAGAAACTGCAGTTGGTTGTGTCAGACCGCCTCACGCTGCTACATGCGTGAGACTATGTGAAGATAGTAGACTGGGTGCAGAAGCACTTCGTCTCCTTCAGGGTGTGAGAATTGCCTCACGCTGCTATAAGTGTGAGATTGTCATATGTGAAGCTATAGGCGGGGTGCAGAAAAGCACTGGCCAGTAGCTTGGGGAGACAGCCGGGCCTGGGTTATGATGTGTTTTAAGGAGATAAAAAGGTTCTGGGTAATTTTAGGGATAACAAGGGGAGCGGCAGACACGAGTGTGTCTGTCCATTGTTGAACTGTGAGTTTTAGACCATCTTTTATGAGCTCTGAAGGGTGGCAGCTGATGGACGAGCAGATTCATCTCGTAATACATACGTGGATTTTCTTTCTGGAAAACTCCACTAGAAAGGAGGATTTGTCATGCAGAGTTCCGCTGAGGCTTAAGAAAAAGCCAAAAGGAGAACGAAAGTGGCATATTTCCTCATAAATTCTGATCCAGAACTCTAGAGGGCCGAATAAGTATAATGACGGAATAGAAGATATTTGAAATGTACACATATATATATCTTTTATATGTCAAAGACCTCACAAAATCAGTGTTATAATTGGAATTTAATTACAGATACAGATTGGCTTGATGAGCAGGAGCTAGAAAAAGAGGTCAATAAGGATAGGCTGAAAAGCCTATTAAGGGATCCCAATTGAACAAGCACGTCCCATATCTCCTGACCAATTGTAGAAAAATCACACAAATTGAAAAAAATCACACAAATTGGAAAAATTGAAGAAATCAAAACAAGAATTAAAATAGAAGACTGCTGACTGACTCCAGTGACTGACTTTGACTTCTAACACGTGTGAAAGGGTATACCATTGTGTGATGAAAAAGTGAAGTGTGTGGGTTGATTGGATGTTTGTGTGTGTCTGTTTTGTTCTGTGTCAACTAAGTTCTCTGGCAGTGTTCACAGCCAGACTCTGCACCTGTGTGTGTGTTATGCTAGTCAAAGATTGCTGTGTTTTCCTCACTTGTGTTTATTTCATAGTTGTGTATGTGAATACTGTGCTCATTGCGGTCATGTTATCAGTTGAGACATAGAAGGTTAAATACTCCTGGGAAAGAGGTTCTGTTCCTAGTACCATGATGAACACTCCTGATATGAAGGTTTTAGCTTATGCTTAAATATTATGATGGTTTTTTGTTGTGAACACACCTCTTATGCTACTTAACAAATTTTCTGTGTTAAAGCTGCTGAACAAATGTTTGTGAAAGTATAAAAGATACAAAAAGGGGAAAAAGAAATGAGGTACCACAAGTGCAAAACTTCTAAAACTTCAAATCTAAGAGTTGCTTCTATACATCTGCTGTTTTTGCCAAAATACTGTGGGTTTTTTTTTAAATATTATTGAAGCTGTTAATATCAATACTGACTATTGCTATAGAACTGCAGTTAAGGCAAAAGCTTTATACTGTGTATTTTTGGGGAATTTTACAAAACTGCTGGGGATCAAGTTTTAATGTGTGTGCTCATTAGAATAATATAATTTACAAAAACCATAACCAGAAAGGGAAGATTAGTTTAACTCCAATTGCATTGGTAGGGTGTAAATATACTGAACACTTAAATGATATCCAAAAACTTACAAAGAAATGGGAACATTGAGTCAAGGGGTTTGAATTTTTATGACCTAGGGGAGGCACATCTGATGTGGCTGTGTGTGAGGATTTGGAGCAGCGAATCTAAGACCATAAACACAAGGATAAAAGTAAAACACGCAAAAACAAGAGATATGGAACTAAAAGTACTGGACATGTTCAAAGATTTGTGTCATTTTCATACTTTAGATTATTTGTTTTTTTTTTCTTAATCATGCTCTGATCTTTATAATCACTGCTATTTTTGCCCCATATGTTTTGAAAAGGAAATTGACAGTTTTCGTGAAATTGTGGCTGTGGAAAACCACACACCTTGTTGGGCTGATTGCCAGACTACCACAAACTGAACAGGGGGCAGGGAGATGGATATCGGTTTTTGAGGATGAACTGTAAAGAAAATGTTGACTACACCAGACATGAAAGCACTCTTGGCTAAACTGCTGGGAACTAAGACGATGGAGGAGTTTCTGCGCAAGGCAAAACAAGGTTGAATGATGAATCCCATGATAGATGGGAGTGAGTTCAATGCATATTGTGATGTGATGTGGAGGGTGCTGCCAGATGAAGAGCGGAGACCGAAAGAACAGGAAAAGAACATTCAGCGGAAGTTGAAACAGCCACCTCTAAGGAAGACACTGCAAAAGAGACCCAACGATGCGGACCGTGCAGATGCTAACTGCGGTAAAACCTGTGACAGTAACCTGTTAAATCACCTGTTGTGAATGTTTATCCTCAGACAGAACCCTGCTCCATAGAGATGATATATCCCGGCAGGGGGAGAGAGTGGAATTCTGACGGACGTGTGACGTCTATAGACCTGCTGGGGATGTGATCATACCAGACATTTTTGACAACTGCCCAGACCAGGGACGTCTCTGGCTGGATCTGTGGTGGGGGGGCCCAGCCCAGACAATGTGAAAGTGGTGGCTTACTACAGTGTGATTTTTGTGGATGATGGAAAAAGTTAATTGTTAGTTTAATTTTAACCCTGTTGACCTTATAGACCGAAAAGACCTATGTAGAAGTAACATTCAAATTTGGTGCTCACCGCAAGGTGTGTAAGTAGACAGTTATGGTTTATAGTTTTAAGTAAATATCGTGACATTAGCATTGTAACATTCCTGTTCTGTTAGTTTAATACTGATAAATCTAAATGCAGCTGTGCTGAATCCGCATACACTCCTCACAGATGTGCCACCTAATGTAAAAGTAATAGGAAACTATCAAAGGGCAATAAGGCCACAGAAAATGGGTTAGAGTCAAATAACTAGGTTTTGTACCAGTAGTATTAACAAACGAACTTAGGCTCTGACTTTCACAGTGATTCACACTGTGCAAGGGGGGAGATGATGAGACAATTAAAACAACATTTTTAGAATATGCTGTCAATAGTTGATAAACTTTTGGGTCATTGTGATATGTGTTTTGTTAGATGAATTGAAGAGACCAATAAAACAGTAGCGGGACACCTTTCTAGTTCCAGAGAGACGCTTTTAGAAATCTATTCATAGACAATGTGGACATGATTAAAACTGCCAAGGGATATGTTACATGTTTGTAATGATGACGGGTTCAGTCGATGGATAGAAGCAACACCATCAAAAGATCTTGGAGTCAAAATAAATCTGTCATTGCATGATTTGGTACATCATTTTGGGGAAGAAAGTTAATCTCTCAAGTAAATATCTGATCAGAGAATTTGCACTAACACTAACCTATAGGAAGATGCTTTGCTACTTGCGCTTATGAGCTTTCACAATCAAAAGCACTGAGATAAATCTTTCACTGCATGATTGACTAACTTACAAAGCTATGCTTTACTGCGGCTAAATAATTAAGTTTTTCGCTTGAGCAGCTGAAAATTAGTGAATTAAATATATGAGGCAGCTAACTACGATGCAAAGATCTAACGATTAGCAGGAGGAGTGCTAAAATCTGATCCCAGTCAAGAGGGGGAGGCCAGTTGAGCCAGAGCACCAGGTGTACATCACCGTCCTTTGAGGAGGGTGGCAAAAAGAATGAGGAGAAGACCTGAACACTTTGGTCCTGGTGAACTCTACTTCAGTGCAGGAAGTGGCACGAACCACGACGGGAAGTACCGTACACGGTGGTGCGAGCTACTCCCACAGCAGTCCAGGTCGAAGGGAGCGGGACGTGGTATCACCTGTCACACTGCACGAAGGTTCCAGGCAAAACCAAGGGCGGTATTGAGTTGAAAAACAAAGATGAAAAACATGACATTGTGGTGTGTGCTGGTGGTAATGAACTCTCTCCTATGGATGCCTGTAGAAGCAGTGGAGCTAGAGACTCAAAGGGGAAAACAGAGCACCCCGGGGACCAGAGCCACGCCAGAGACCAACCCGCATGACAGAGGAGACAGAGCATCTGAATCAGATGAGTATGATGCAACCACACAGACACCAATCCATGACGTGCTAAACTCTGAGCCAGCACTCTCAGCTGAGCTCAAACACATAAACATTCCGTACCAAGTGGTGTATGGACGAACACGGGGTAAAAGAGCTATACACAAAATGTGGCGGTGGCGTGCTAGCATGGACATACCCGATAGCATGCAAAACAGAAGCATAACATACGGGGTAATGGTCATGTCACGAGAGTATGTGCGAACCCAATGTGTGGTGTTCGGTGTAGGCTTCTGTATGGGTCGGGATCTCATCATGGGTATTTAGAAACGTGCGTAGACTGTAAATTTCGCCAGACATGTGAAGAATTCGCCACCACAACGTCACAAGACGAGCCCCCTACAAACTACAAAGTAGACGAAACGGATAATTACGAGTGTTTCGCCAGTGGAGGGTTTATGAATAAACCAGGGGGAGGAGTCCAGGTGGGAAACACAACTGTTAATTGTAAAATTACGTGGGTATTGTCATGGTTTCCTGAAGCTAATATGAGCGAACCGTTTATAACTAGACCTGTTTGGTTTGAAAATCCAGAGCAAACGTTAGATCAAACATGTGAAAACATAACTATGACCAGACCGAGTATGCATTTTTTCGCAAGGCAAACTGTTGCAGTAGCTGACAGTTACTGGATGTGTGGAGACAACATTGTGCGAAACACACTTCCACCAAAATGGATTGGACTCTGTACATTAGTGCGAATGAAAGTGTCAGTTGTCGTGTTGTATGACGGCGTCGAGGAGATCCTTAAAATCCAGGGAGAAACAGCCAAATTGAACCGCCACAAAAGGCAGATTGACGAAAAGGTGTACATCAATAGTATAGGAGTGCCAATAGGAATTCCAGAGGAGTTTAAAGCTCAGGATGAGATCAGAGCAGGTCTAGAGTCGATTCTCCCCTGGATCACCACTAATAAAAATGTCCAATGGATAAATTACATTTATTACAACCAACAGAGGTTTGTTAATGCGACATCTGAAATCCTGAGCGCTCTCGGTATTCAATTACACGCAGCAAGTATAATGGCCCAACAAAATAGACAGGCTTTGAATTGGCTGACAGCGGATAGGGGAGGAGTATGTCACATGTTCGGGAAACATTGTTGTACCTTTATTCCAAATAACACAGCCCCTGATGGTATATTTTCTGTGGCAATGGGGAAGCTTACAGAACTCAGAGTTGAGCTCAGGGAGAGTGCGGGCAAGGGGGGACTGTCATGGGATTGGTTTGACCAAATTTTAGGAAAATGGGGAGCCGTTTGGGCTAAGATAGGACTCAGTGAACTAGCAGTCCTAATTTTAATTTCCTTTTTGATATGTTGCATCATCCCCATCCTGAGGAGGCAGTGTCTGCGGGCTCTGGAAAAACAGATGACCGTGGTGACTGGTCTCCAAAGAGCTCAAATGTTGAACTTGCTGACGCCGTCCCAAATGGCACAACTCTGCTTGGACGACAGCAGGGCAGGAAACGGGGGCTATCCGGACTTATACCCAAACCCTGCCTGTGTGGGTGACTCTGATGAGGACGAACAGAGTCAAGTGTAAGGTAAACAAGCAGAGGTGCAGCAGCAGCGAGCAAGCAAAAGGAAAAGCAAATGGGACGGCGGAGCAAATGGACTAACATATCAATACAAACATATTCTGTTGTTATCCATGTGTATTCTGCATACTCACATCATTTACACATACTCATTCCAGGAATATGGAAACAGGTAAAGGAAATGGTTAATCATTTTTTTGAGCAAAATAAAACATGTGGTTGATTGTCATGTAGAGTGGGTCAGTGAAAAGCTGTTAGATTTAGAAGGTTCACGGTGAAGGTCGCCAGCGGGAGGGGCCGTAGGGGAATTTCCTGCTCAAAGCAGCCAGCAGGTTTTCGCCCCTGCCAGATGTGAACCAAGTCACAAGTGATTTAAGTGTTGTGTTTATGAAAATGTAACATTCGTGATCACAAGCATGAGTTGGATTGGTTTGAAAACATACATATGCATCTGTAATCAATCTAGTAGTATCATATCACATAACGTTGTCATAACTCATTTATGTAACGTAACTAAGGCTAAGACAAGATAAGTGTGAATCTCCAACGGCGTCATTGAACTCGTTTAATCTTGAAAAGATTCAAAGGGGGGATATGTGGGGGAAAATAACAGATATGTTTGGATGTTTTGGAGGTTACTATGAGGCAAGAAAACAGGATATGGTGGGAGAGGTCAGATTGGGATAAACTTCATCAGGTCATGGTGAACTGTAATTACAATAACAGGAAATTTGGCAGAGGAAGATATCTCTGGGCTTCAGAGATAGTGGCAGGGAAAAAGTCACGTAGGGAACTATCCCACGGGAAAGTGACAATCCAGTTGAGATCAGTGACGTCAGTGGAGTACTATAAGAGATCTGTGGTTTTTCTGTTCTGGGGTCTGTCTGTTCGACTGTTCATGAGCTGTGTTTGATGCTGTGACCAGAATAAAATCCCGCGAGAGGCTGCCAGCTTGATTCTGTCTTCGTGTAGTTCATTCCTGCATTTTTGCACCGAGGTCATCTTCTAAAGTTACACCAAAGAAACCTGAAAAAAAGACAAAAAAATGTTTGGGGTGTTAGGGCTTCCTTTAGGTAACACCCGGGTTACGGGGGTAGGGTAAGGTTTAAGGTTTTTGGCGTTAGGGTTAAAATCACTGTCCAAAACCTTTTTAGGAACATGTTTTACACCTTTTGGAGTTAGTTAGACCAAAAAAAAATGTAAAATGAAAAAAAAATGTTTGGGGTGTTAGTGCTTCCTGAAGGTAATACCCGGGTATTAGGTTACGGGGCTAGGGTAAGGTTTAAGGTTTTGGGGGTTAGGGTTAAAATCACTGTCCAATATTTTTTAGGAACATGTTTCAGACCTTTTGGAGTTAGGTAGACCAAAAAAAAACTGAAAAAATGACAAAAAAATTTTTGGGGGGTTTTAGGGCTTCCTTTAGGTAATACCTGGGTATTGGGTTACGGGGCTAGGTAAAGGTTAAAGGTTTTTGGCGTTAGGTTTAAAATCACTGTCCAAAACCTTTTTAGGAACTCTTTTCCAACCTTTTGGAGTTAGTTATACAAAAAAGAATCAAAAAATGAAAAAAAAAAGTTTGGGGTGTTAGGGTTTCCTTAAGGTAGTACCCTGGTATTGAGTTACGGGGCTAGGGTCAGGTTTAAGGTTTTTGGCGTTAGGGTTAAAATCACTGTCCAAAACCTTTTCAGGAACATGTTTCAGACCTTTTGGAGTTAGTTAGACCAAAATTAAACGAAGTAAAAAAAAAAAATTTGGGGGGTGTAAAGTCTTCCTTAAATCATTTGATGCACATAAAGGAAGAGTTGAAATAATTTTAAAATGAGAAATTCTACAGCCAGTTTGTATTCCATTTGAAAGTACATTATTCAATAAGTGATTCATCATATTGAAATATTTACACATCAGTTCATTGAAAGGTTTTGCTTTATTTTATTTTTTTTTAAGTGATTGTAATACTGTGTAATATGGTGACTTTTATTATATTAAAATATTTATAATTACATTTACAAATATCTTTTCTGCAGGAATGTGCTTTAAACCGAAGTACTTTGTATTAAAGGTATGTCATGGCATTTAACAATATGATTTATATGTGTTTGTATACAATGACAGACATTAAAATATGAACTTTAGGTGGGATTGATATATTTTTTCATGACTTAATATTATATTCCATGATATGAAGTGATAGACCTATGCAAAATGTCAAAGAGAAAATGTATTAGACATGCTAAAAGTTTGTAGATAGATGTATTACCAAGCCTTATGTTTGCATAATTGTAAACCATGATCACAGTATGTTAAATAGAAAAACCAGGATAGCATTTACCGTGTTGGATGAAAACATGGTAGTAACATAGTGTGGTAGCACATCCTTTTTAAAACCATAGTAGTCCCACAGTGACCTTGAAGTGCTACATATTAACTATGATAATACCACAGCTAAACCTGATTATATGCATGAAAACCATAGTAAACCATAGTGAATTTCTGTAATGGAATATAAACTATGATAATACCACAGCTACCATGAAGTACTATGGATAAACCATAGTAGTACTATGGGTAAGACCATAGTTTTTGTAATCACCATGAGGTACCATGGTAAAGCATGGTTTACCATGGTTAAATGCATAAAAACCATAGTAAACCATAGTGAATTTCCGTAATGGAATATAAACTATGATAATACCACAGCTACCATGAAGTACTATGGATAAACCATGGTAGTACTATGGGTAAGACCATAGTTTTTGTAATCACCATGAGGTACCATGGTAAAGCATGGTTTACCATGGTTAAATGCATAAAAACCATAGTAAACCATAGTGAATTTCCGTAATGGAATATAAACTATGATAATACCATGAGCTCCCCTGCCCTTCTCTCCCCTAAAAGTTCTGAGACCTGGCGAGCCGCAGGCTGAATATTAAAGCTAGCGTATCTGCAGTACAAATATATAAACATTTTGTGCATTTTAAAACACTCATAGCATTATTTTACAAATATATAAACATTGACAGAATTCGTTTCGGGGGACAAGGGACCATGGTTCTGCGAACTTCACATGGGATAAGGACACTCTGTGGCCACAAAAAGAAAAAGGTAGGCGATTTCCTAAAATTTGGTTGAGAGTTCTTTTCCCTGTGAGGTGGTGCGGACTACTGCTCTCTGTTCTCTTCGAATCAGTTGGTTGTGTCAGACCGCCTCACGCTGCTACATGCGTGAGACTAAGTGGAGATAGTAGACTGGGTGCAGAAGCACTTCGTCTCCTTCAGAGTGTGAGATTGCCTCACGCTGCTATAGGTGTGAGTTTGTCATATGTGGAGCTATAGGCTGGGTGCAGGAAAGCACTGGCCAGTAGCGTGGGGAGACAGCCGGGCCCGGGTTGTGATGTGTTTTCTAAGCTGAATGCCTGGTGACAAAAGGTTCTGGGTAATTTTTGGGATAACAAGGGGAGTGGCAGGCACGAGTGTGTCTGTCCATTGTTGAACTGTGCGTTTGGGCAATTTTTGGTTTA